TAGTTTCAATTAAGATTTAACGTCTTTGTTCCCTGCACCAGAGCCGAGGAGCAGAAAAAACTAATAAGGTGGAACGGTTTCTCAAAAGAGAGAGAGAGAGGGAGGGAGGGAGGAAGGGAAAGAGAGAAAGAGAAAGAAAGAGAGAGATGTATACAACATTACCGTTCATGTTTTGCTCCCTGCATTCCCCTGCTTATTAATGCTGCTGGCACATCACTGCTCTTTGCACATGATTTATAAGGAAAGGAAAGAAGAAAGATTAATACCAGGCTGGAGCAATAAACTCAAAGATGAAAGGGAGATCTGAAGGAACATGCGGATTAATCTTGCCTCCTTTTGAAGTTATATTGCTTCTTTCTTTCTTTCCTTCCTTCCTTCCTTCCTTCCTTCCTTCCTTCCTTCCTTTCCTTTCCTTTCCTTTCCTTTCCTTTCCTTTCCTTTCCTTTCCTTTATGATTTTTACAAATAACTCCAGGCAATGAACATACTGTATACTCCTTTCCTCTCGTTTCCCAGAAACACTAACCCTATGGGGTGGGTTGGGCTGAGAGAGAGGGACTGCTCCAAAGTCCCTCAGCCAGCTTTCATTCCTAAGGTGGGACTAGAACTCACCGTCTCCTGGTGATTGACCCAAAGTCACCCAGCGGCTTTCATGCCTAAAGTGGGACTAGAATTCACGGTCTCCTGATGATTGGCCCAAAGCTAGCTTTCATTCCTAAGGTAGGACTAGAATTCACAGTCTCCTGGCCCAAAGTCACCCAGCCAGCTTTCATGCAGAAAGCGGGACTAGAACTCCCAGCCTCTTGGTGATTGGCCCAAAATCACCCAGCCTGCTTTAACCACGAGACAAAATCTTGTGTAGGGCCCCACAAAAATACGGATGTCAAACTTAGGTTGTCCATCTGAACCAAACCACCCACTCTTTTATTGTTTTATTGTTTTTACGTGACAGAAGGCTCAGTGGCTTTCATGCTGATATTGATTTGATTCTTACTGACCCGGAATTTAGCAGGAATAAAATCCAATCTCTTGGGGATTGATTCCATCTCTGTTTAGTCACGGTTGGGAGATGGGCCACCGTGTGAATTACGTATTTAAATGAATTCTTTTGGAAGGCAATCCATGGCCCAGAGGCAAAGTCACGGAAGCAGTGGTGTTCACAATTGAACTAAGCCATATTATAAGGCAGGGGTCTTCAAACATGGCCCTTTCATGAGTTGTGGACTTCAACTCCCAGAATTCCTCAGTCAGGCATGGGTGCCTGGCTGAGGAATTCTGGGAGTTGAAGTCCACAAGTCATCAAAGGGCCAAGTTTGAAGACCCCTGTTATAAGGTTTTTGTATTTCCTGCGAAACCATAAACAAACCGCATAATAGCTTGGGATGATCATGGGTGAATCAGGACAAACTATCATTCTAGGTTAGTAATTGGGATCCGAATACTAAACTTGAGCAATCAATAACGTTAAACCCAGTTGGGGAGCTTCAAACCATTCACATCTGGGGATATTTTCATGGTAGCTACAGGCTAGTTCAGTGGTTCTCAACCTGTGGGTCGGGACCCCATTTGGGGTCGAACGACCATTTCACGGGGGTCGCCAAACAACACAGTCCACCATTTTTTTCCCCCTTTTCCTTAGCTGTGCTACTCCTTTTTATTCTCTTGGCTTTTGAAAGCCAATAGAATAGACTCTCTTGAATAGAGTCTAATTCTATTGGCTTTCAAAAGCCAGTAGGAATTGTCCAGGCTGTCTCTGTCCTGCTGAGCCCGCTCAAAGTCCCATTCTGCAAATGGTGCTGCACCAGTTGAGTAGTCTTCGACTTACGACCGGTTGAGTAGTCCTCAACTTACAACCGGTTGGGGGGGGGGTCGCGGCATTAAAAAGGTTGAGAACCACTGGGCTAGTTGATCATTTAGATTCAAACACTGAGTTGTTGTTTTTTTTTATTAAAAGAAGGACCGCGGCCAAATAATAGTGCTGACTTCCCCTTTTTCATCCGAAACTGGCTCAATCCAAAAAGCCCACAATGTGTTTCCTAAGAAGTACAAAGGAAAGTTTTATGGTGGAACTGGCGTGTCTAATATACACACTGCAAACACACACACACATACTATTCAAAACTCGACGGAGAGAAATTAACAGCTCCCCGATTGTGCCAAGGAATCTTGGTTGATAGCTCCAAACACATTCTCCTGATTGTTTTCTTGAGCAATTGGCAAGATGTTTTCCCAGAGGGGAAATTTCCAGAGAAACTGAGGATAGAAACGATCCCTTGAAGCGTGTGGGTGCTTCATATTGAAATACGTAGATTCATCTCCACAGGCTCTTCAACTACCGCTCAGATCTTTGAGGGTAATGCTGGCTGAAGAATGGAACCGCTGGTCTCCACACGTTGTGAGGGCTCCACCACTGGACGCTTTCAAGAAGAGACTAGACAACCATTTGTCTAAATTGGTATAGGGTTTCCTGTCTGAGCAGGGGCTTGGACTAGAAGACCTCCAAGGTCCCTTCCAACGGTGTTATTCTGAAGGGACACCTTTCTTCATGTACCAGGGAGAACGCCATGAGGTTTTAAATCTCCTTCATCCTGATTGTCCTGGATTCCTGGGCTGATCCCATCTTCAGCTAGCCTACTAGGTTGTTGTGAGGCTAAAGAAGAGAGCTTCCCCCCCCCCCCCAACCTCATTCGAGGCAGGTGGGAAGTTACACGTTAGGTATGTTTATTGCTTGTTGCTTCAGGAAGTTGTCTACACTGTTGGATGGAACAAGGCCATTGTTCTCCGTTGATTTGATGGGCTCCATAAAACAAGGGGGAGAAATCTAGCTTTAACAAGCTTTTTCCACCAGGTGACATTTCCTGAAGCAAAGTGGGCTGTGTGTGTGTGTGTGTGTGTGTGTGTGTGTGTGTGTGAGAGAGAGAGAGAGAGAGAGAGAGAGAGAGAGAGAGAGAGAGAGAGAGAGAGATTGGGCTAAAGGGTGCCAGCATTGCAGACAAAATAAAGACAACTCGGCAATGGCATTTAGTCAACCCAGAGGTAGCAACATTTCCAAGGGTGGGTAGGAAAAAAGAAACATGTCACCCTGCTCTTGGAAGAACTATTAAGGCCTTTGTAATCAGATGTTGGTGGCCAGGGAGTAGTTGGAGGCTGCTCTCCCCTCTACTCCCACCCCCCCCCCCCAAAAAAAAATCACAGTAAGGAGAGGCAAATCTGATGAGCTTAATAAAAATACAGTTTCAGTAGAAGAGAATATATGCGGCTCAGGGTTGAACGATGAGGTCCTTGGTGCTGTCTGAGCTTGGTGGGTTTCTTGGAGATGTTTCATGACCCAACTAGGTAACATCATCAGTTGTAGAAGGGAGTAGGGTTTGTGGAGGAGGAAGAGGAGGAGGAGGACTGTGGAGTCCTTGGTGCGTCTGAGCTTGGTGGTTTTCTTGCAGACGTTTCATGACCCAACTAGGTAACATCATCAGTTGTAGAAGGGAGTAGGGTTGGAGGAGGAGGAGGAGGACTGTAGAGTCCTTGGTGCTCTCTGAGCTTGGTAGTTTTCTTGCAGACGTTTCATGACCCAACTAGGTAATATCATCAGTTGTAGAAGGGAGTAGGGTTGGAGGAGGAGGAGGAGGAGGAGTGGTGGTGCAGGGTCCTTGGTGCTCTCTGAGCTTGGTGATTTTCTTGCAGACGTTTCATGACCCAACTAGGGAACATCATCAGTGTTAGAAGAGAGTGGGGTTTGCAGAGAGGAGGATGAGAAAGATTGTGGGGTCCTTGGTGCTCTCTGAGCTTGATTGATTTCCTGCAGACATCTCATTATCCAACCAGGTAACCTCATCAGTGCTAATGAATGTGGGGATTGCTCCTTGTTCACATACAGTAGCTTGCCTGGCTGGCCTGGGTGGAGGTCTGGTTTTCTCTCTGCTAGTTCCTTGATTGGTGTATTGTTTTTCGCTTGACGGCTTGCCTCCCTGAAGTATAACGTTACCGTCAGCTTCTATGATTCCAAGAACAAAAAGCTTTCTTTTCTATAAAATGAAGGATTCTGGCCCTTTAATTGACGGAATTACTTTTTACAAAGGGACCATCCCCAAGGCAGTTTATTTTACAAAGGTTTTTGCACATCCTAAGTTTTCACCTTGCTTTGAGAGCTGGTTAAAAAAAAAAGGTGTCCAAAAAGCAAATTACACCAGAAACAGCAATAGGGTGGGGACCAAGACATCTGGCCGATGCTTATAATTATTCACTGTGTCCTTTATTTAAACTTTGCTCAACTCCTACAAACACACTATTCATTTTACACTGCCAAGCCAATTAAGACGTGGACTGACTCTCACTTACAATTGTTTCGGGTAGGCTGACCTTTCACCTCCAGCCCAGTTGCACCCCAAAAGAACATAAAGAAATGAAAGGAATGCTTAGAACATTCTGCAGTGATTTATTTCCCCACCACCACATCTACCCCATCTCTTGTAAATTACTATGTTTTTTTACTTTTTTTTTTCCCCCCAATCCCTATCCATGAAGTTTTGTGTTTCACGGGGATCACTGCTTGCAAATATACCTTGAATTGGTTACTGGACAGGGGCAAACGCCATTTATAATTCCTGCTTGTGGATTTAAAGCTCATGAACCTAAATGCAGGCAGTCCACGACTTACATTCATTTAGTGAGGATTGTTTTTCACACTTAGGACCGTTGCAGGATCCCCCATGTTCTGGTGATCAAAATTCAGACTCTTGGCAACTGATGGTTGCGGTGTCCTGGGGCCACATGATCCCCTTTTGCAGACCTTCCCAAGCAAGATCCATAGGGAAGCCAATCACAAGGTGATCAGGCCGAGAGTTTCCAGTTACAAAGAACTGGTCCAAGAAACTAGAAGCGGGCAAAGATGGCAGTGACATAATTAACCTGGCTTCCTTGAGAAAGTGTCAACTTCCTTGAGAAAGTGTCAACTGTGGCGCTTGACAAATAACATTCTCATGTCTTTGTCCGTCTTTTATCCAGGTGTCCGTGGTTGACCAGAGCCATCTCCCCAGCTGTCCCACTCTACAATGGGCTCGTATTCCTGTTTGTGCTTGCAAACTTCAGTATGGCCACGTTTATGGACCCGGGAGTCTTCCCACGAGGTAAATCGGGAAGAGGGAAGTTGCAGAAGTGTAGGAAGGAAGGAAGGAAGGCCCTATCCTACCATTTCCTGTAAAATACCTAGCAAATGCTCATGACTTTGTAGGAACTACAAGCCTCTCTGTTGTCAGGCATGTGAAGGACCGGGTCCACCCGAGAAAGTTCAGTTAAACTATTTCATTGCTAAAAGCCTACGCACAGGAATCTTCTCAGCTGAATTGCTAAGATTTAGCTAAGGGTCAACGGCACTCAGGAGAGTTTGAACTTTGTTTGTGGTAACGTAGGGATTCTAGGCTGATCCCTCTTTTCACGCCATCCCCAGGTTCTGCCACTCCTTCTCCTACACCCATTTGTCTATTTTCGTGGTTCTGTAGAAGGAAATCTTTGCATTGATCCACAGGGACTCCCCATTGGATGCTCTTGAAGGTGTCTCCTCTTTACATCATCCAAAAGATTCTTTTGGGGGGACAGATAATCAGTCTATATCTGGCCAAATTCACTCTCTTTTTTTCCTGGGTTTTCATCTTAAAGCCCAGGGAATATCAACAGCACTTTTGTTACACGAGAAGGTTCAATTAAAGTGATTTATTGCTAAAAGCCTACACCAGGGGTAGGCAACCTTGGCTCTTTTATGACTAGTGCTGGCTCAGGAATTCTGGGAGTTGAAGTCCACGAGTCATAAAAGAGCCAAGGTTGCCTACCCCTGGCCTACACACAGGAATCTTCTCAGCTAACTTGCTAAAATTTAAATAAGGGTCAACAGTACTCCTGGGGAGTAAGAAAGGTTGGACTTAGTTTACTTGTGACTGCGCAGGGATTCTACGTAAGAGATTCACTCTGCCCCCCTGGTTTTGCGATCCCTCCTGCTGCAGTCTCATTTCCTCTCCCTTCAAAATTTAATCAATGCAATCTGTCTCGATTGATCGATTAAATTTTGAAGGGAGAGAAAATGATTAATCCCTCTGGAAATAAATAAAATAATAAAGGCAGGCAGAGGAAGAAATTAGATGCCTTTCAGGTGCATCAGCTGGGGCATGGCTTCACAACCAGGTTGCCCGTGGTAGAAGGGACGTTAGGCATTGTAAGAGACCAGCAGCAGAATTCCAACCAGCTACAAGTAGTCCTTGACTTACAGCAATTCATTTAGTGGCCCTTCAAAGATACGACAGCATTGAAAAAAGTGACTTATGACCGTTTTCCAAACGGACGACCGTCGCTGCATCCCCGTGGTCAAAACGTGATCAAAACTCAGACGCTTGCAACTGACTCGTATTTATGACAGTTGCAATGTCCTAGGGTCATGTGACCAGCATCTGGTTGTCTATCCACACCCTGCGGTGTCTTTGTGCCTAATTGTTATTCTTTAGATCAGAGGTCCCCAACCTTTTGGGCACCAGGGACCAGTTCCGTGGAGAGAGGTTTTTCCACAGACCGGAGAGTGCGCGGTTTCGTGTGCTGCCTGCATCCCACGTATGGGGCTTTGCTTGTTTGTGCGGACCAGTTGCTGGCATGCCGTGGCCTGGTACTGATCCATGGACTTGGGGTTGGGGACCCCCGCTTTAGATTTAGAACAGATTAGGACACAAAGAGCCGAGGTGGCGCAGCAGTTAGAGTGCAGTACTGCAGGCCACTTTAGCTGACTGTGTTCAGCAGGTCAGCGGTTCAAATCTCACCGGCTCAAGGTTGACTCAGCCTTCCATCCTTCCGAGGTAGATAAAGGCTACCTCGGAAGGATGGAAAGATTGTTGGGGGCAATGTAAAATATATATACATTGCTTACTGGTGTACACGGCTTAGAGAGTGCTTGCACTTAAAGCAGTATATAAGTCTCATAAATAAATAAATACATAAATAAATAAATAAATTTCCTCTAAACTTATTTGATGGCTTCTATAAGTCTCTAGATTCCCTAATCTCCTTCTTGCGGTACACGCTAGCCAAGTCCATGCTCAGGCCCTGAATGTGCTCTCTTCATTCCTTGGATGCTTTTGTTCTTCTTTGGCAATTTGTGATTGTTGTGGCCGGTGACTCAGAGTCTTGTCAGCTGCGTGGGGGTGTTCGGGGGGGGGGGGTGCGCTTTGCCGGGTGTTGGATTGGCAGATGTACACGTAAACAGTCTTGGCAAATCGGAATTGGAATATATTTTTGCGGGAACACAGCCCAAGATACATCAAGGGTGATTGGGCTGAAGAAATAAGACCTGGGTGTCTGGCTTCCCACAAAGTTAAAACTGACCAGCTGGAATATAATTGGACCCCCCTCACACAACCGGATCATCCAGTGATGTTGATAGTTAGACATTTGAGGCAGATGAAAAAAAACCTATAGTAATCCTTGAGCTAAACCAGGGGTAGGCAACCTTGGCTCTTTGATGACTCGTGGACTTCGACTCCCAGAATTCCTGAGCCAGCCATGCTGAGGGGAAAGGGGGAGGTTTCCAAGGTGAGCCATGCTGGCTCAGGAATTCTGGGAGTTGAAGTCCACAAGTCATAAAAGAGTCAAGCTTGCCTACCCCTGCCCTATACCAGCGGTAGGCAACCTTGGCTCTTTGATGACTCGTGGACTTCAACTCCCAGAATTCCTGAGCCAGCCATGCTGAGGGGAAAGGGAGAGGTTTCCAAGCTGAGCCATGCTGGCTCAGGAATTCTGGGAGTTGAAGTCCACAAGTCATGAAGGAGCCATAGTTCCCCCATGCTGGCTCAGGAATTCTGGGAATTGAAGTCCACGAGTCATGAGGGGGCCATAGTTCCCCCATGCTGGCTCAGGAATTCTGGGAGTTGAAGTCCACGAGTCATAAAAGAGCCATAGTTCCCCCATGCTGGCTCAGGAATTCTGGGAATTGAAGTCCACAAGTCATGAAGGAGCCATAGTTCCCCCATGCTGGCTCAGGAATTCTGGGAGTTGAAGTCCACGAGTCATAAAAGAGCTACGGTTGCCTACCCCTGTGCTAAACAAGCCATCTAATGATTGTTCGGAGTTACAACATCGCTGCAACAAGTGACTTGTGACTGCTTTTCACACTTATGACCGTTGCGGCATTAACAACACTATTGTTAAGTGGCCTCCCCATGGACTTTGCTTGTCAGAAAGTCACAAACGGGGAGCGCGTGACCCCAGGACACTGCAAGTGTCACAGATACGAGTCAGTGGCCAACTGTCTGAATTTTAATCGCGTGGCCACGGGGATGCTGCGACGGTCGTGTGAAAAAACAGTCATAAGTCACTTTTTTCAGGGACGTCGCAACCTCGAACGGTCACTAAACAAACTGTTGTAAATCAAGGGCTACCCGTACAAAGAACGTTGTGTCTTGGCTCACTGTTTCTTTGTGTTGGCCGACCCCCGAGCAGCTGACGAAGACGAGGACAAAGATGACGACTTCCGAGCCCCACTCTATAAGAACGTGGAGATCAAAGGAATCCAAGTTCGGATGAAATGGTGCGCCACCTGCCACTTTTACCGCCCTCCACGCTGCTCCCATTGCAGCGTTTGTGACAACTGTGTTGAGGTAAGAACGTGTGGGACCTGCCTTTAGGGACAGAGCTGTAACTTGCTGCAATTAAACACGATCCCTTGAGTATTGATTTGATAGTAAAGGCAATATAAGAGAAGGAGGAGGAAGGAGAAGAAGAAGAAGAGGAAGAAGAAGAAGAAGAAGAAGAAGAAGAAGAAGAAGGAGGAGAAGGAGAAGGAGAAGGAGAAGAAGAAGAAGAAGAAGAAGAAGAAGAAGAAGAAGAAGAAGAAGAAGAAGAAGAAGAAAGTGGAGGAGGAGGGGGAGGATGACGATTGTGGGGTCTTGGGTGCTCTCTGAGCTTGGTTGTTTTTTTGCAGACGTTTCATGACCCAACTAGGTAGCATCATCAGAGCTAGAAAGGAGTGGGGTTTGCAGGGGCAGGAGAAGGAGGAGGAGGATGACTGTGGGATCCTGGGTACTCTCTGAGCTTGGTTGTGTTTTTTTTTTTTTGCAGACGTTTCATGACTCAACTAGCTAGCATCATCAGTTTTAGGGGGGAGTGGAGAAGATGGTGTTGGTGATGATGGTGGTGGAAGAGGAGGACGACAACTGTGGGGCCTTGCTGCGCTCTGAGCTTGGTTTTTTTTCTTGCAGACATTTCATTACCCAATTAGGTAACATCATCAGTGCTAACACTGATAGACACATAGAGTAGCACAGATGATGTTACCTAGTGTGTGTAATGAAACATCTGCAAGAAAACAAGCAAGCCCAGAGAGTACCAAGGACCCATAATCCATCCTTCCTTCCTTCCTTCCTTCCTCCCCCCCCTCCCTCCCTCCCTCCCTCCTCCTCTCCATAAATCCCTTTTAGCACTGATGATGTTACCTAGTTTGGGTCCTGAAACGTCTGCAAGAAAACCACCAAGCTCAGAGAGCACCAAGGACCCCACAGCTGAACCCTGAGCTGCAAATATTCTCCTTTATTGATACACCCAAATGAGCATAGATCAACACCAAGATGAATATCATACCAACAGACAAGAAGTAATACCCCAATCAAGGAACTGCTGATAAGCTAAACCAAAGACCACTGAGGTCTCTTTCAGCCCTATTATTCTACGTTCTGTCTTAAATTAGATGCCTTAATTATACTCACTGGATATATAAGCAACCAAGCCAGAATTATTCTGGTGGCAAATGTGCAGATAACCTTATTCTTAAGTGAGATACTTCTTTCCTTTTTCTACATCTGGCACCTCCCAAGTCCCTTTCCCCAAGCAAGACGATTTTAGCCACCTTGGCAGAAGAACAGAGACTTTTAAAACCGTTTTCTGACATAGTAGTCGGTTGTGCAGTTAAAAAAGGAGATGAGAATTAACTCTGGACAGAGAAATTCATTAAAAGGACTCAGCCAGAGCAGAACGTAAAACACAGGCCTCTTCATTAGCGGGATGGCTGGGGTGAAGGCTAGCAAGGAGGAGAATTTATTGGCTGAGAAGACAATAGGATTTTATGTCATGGCGGCAGTGTTTTATTGAGCAGGACGTTTATTGCCAGGAAATCCTCTTTGTCACACCTATACCCCTTAAATGTGTGCTCTCTCTCGCTCTCACACACATACATAACCACCACTGGGAAGTAAGACGATTGGGAAACTGAAGGCAAGGGAAACAAAAAAATGAGGGGGAAAAATTAATTAGCTCTGATTTAAACTTTTTTGAAGGACACATTTATATGTATTTATATGTAACGGTGTAGGTATATACGTATGTTGTATGTAGCATGTTTATATGTGTGCTATGTACGTGTACACTTTGCGAGCAGGCAACAGAATTTCATTTTTAATGAAATTACTGTGTTCCCACAGTGAAAAATAAAAATAAAGGTTATCTGTCGTCTATCTGTCTGTCTATCTCTATCTCTATCTTATCTATCTATATCTGTCTGTCTGTCTATCTATCTATCTATCTATCTATCTATCTATCTATCTATCTATCTGTCTATCACAATCTATCTTTCATCTATCTATCTATCTATCTATCTATTTATCTATCTATCTATCTGTGTGTGTGTGTCTGTCTGTCTGTCTGTCTGTCTATCTATCTTTCTATCTATCTATCTATCTATCTATCTATCTATCTATCTATCTATCTATCTATCTGACATTGCTCAGAGTAACTCCATGTATCTTTCTTGATTCTTGGGGCCTGACGAGTTGATAGTGTTGTTGTGATTTTTATTATTATTATGGTTCCCGTTATTCCTGAGCTAATGCCTGCGTGTACCCCAAGTTATGCCTGCATTATCACGCTCTCTCTCCTATTGTTTCCCCAGGATTTTGATCACCACTGCCCTTGGGTTAATAACTGTATCGGACGACGCAACTACCGCTATTTTTTCCTTTTCTTGCTGTCTTTAAGTGCCCACATGGTTGGCGTGTTCACCTTCGGGCTTATCTATGTCTTACACCATGCTGAAAAAGTGGGTGTGGCCCACACCGCCGTTACGTATCCTCCCCATAGGGGTCCTCTCGGGTTCAACCGGTTGCCTCCATCCCACCAGAATGGTCTCGGCCCCACCCAAAAGTAATTCTTTCCAGCATGCTTCAGAGCCCGTGGCACAATAACCTGCAGGGTTTCCTTAACTTCAGCATTCAGGATGACAGTCATGTGTATCGCTGGGCTTTTCTTCATCCCAGTGATTGGTCTGACTGCCTTCCACATTGTTTTAGTGGCACGAGGACGCACGACCAACGAGCAGGTAAGGTGGCTTTCGATCTGTCCTCTTTCTCTGCTTCTGGGATCACTTGTTCAAGTTCTTCCCTGCACCATCAGGGCAGCTGATGACGACGACAACAATAATAATAATAAAAATAAAATGTCAGTTGCAAAAGGCGGCTTTACTGGGAACAGCTTTCATCCTGTGATGATATCTGTAACACCATCAAACATCCACATCTGCCTATTCCTGGTCCTTGGCAAGGACTGGATAGATCGACAAAAATACCAAACCAAGTCTGAACATTTGGCTGACTCTGTGAATAATAATAATAATAATAATAATAATAATAATAATAATAATAATAATAATAAAAAAAACTGGAGAAGATAACAAAATACAAACACCTACAAATAGAAATAGAAAGACTGTGGCAAAGGCAAGGAAGGGTGGTACCAATAGTCATAGGCACCTTGGGTACAATCCCAAAACAACTGGAGCACCACTTGAACACCATTGGCATTGACAAATTTGCCATTAGTCAATTGCAAAAGGCGGCCTTACTAGGAACTGCTTCCATCCTGCGACGAGATCTGTAATACTATCAAACATCCACATCTGCCTATCCCAGGTCCTTGGCAAGGACTCGATAGGTAGACAAAAATTCCAAATCCAGTCTGAACATCTGGCTGACTGTGCAATTAATAATAATAATAATAAAAAAATGCGGCGATACCTGTAATACCATCAAACATCCACACCTGCCTATCCCAGGTCCTTGGCAAGGACTGGATAGATCGAAAAAAAAAATGCCAGACCGAGTCTGATCATCTAGCTAACTGTGTAATGAATAATAATAATAATAATAATAATAATAATAATGCATAGCAGGCGAGTGTCAACCTTAGCAGGTGGACCAGAGAGGAAATGCAATCAGATCAGCTAATTCTACTTTATTGTAAAGCTAATTGGCAGAATCCTGCCAATCTCAAAGCGCAGGCAGTCCCTCGGCGTACAACCGTTCATTTAGTGACTGTTCGAAATTACAACGGCACTGAAAAAAGTGGCTTCGGGCTGTTTTTCATGCTTTACAACCGTGGCAGCATCACGTGATCAAAACCCAGAAGTTTGGCCAACTGGCTCATATTTATGACGGTTGCGGTGTCCCGGGGTCGTGCGATCCCCTTTAGCGACCTTCTGACCAGTGAATTCCACGGTGGAAGCCAAATTTGCTTAACAACCGTGTTACTAACTGAACAATGGCAGTGAAGCCCTTGACGGATGTGGCCAGAAAGGGGGCAAAGCTCACTTAACGACTGTCTTGCTTAACAACAAAAAATTGGGGCTCAATTGTGGTCAGGAGTCCAGGGCTACCTGTACAGTCCTGTTCCCACCCCCCCCATTTTACAGCCGAAGAAACTAGGAAGGGTCCCTTCTCAATCTCCTGCCCCATCCAGTATCCATCTGTGGCTGTGCTGCCTTTTATCTGACGGAGGAAGCAAGTCCTTCCTCCGTCTCCCAAGGTCTTTCTCAGGCTAACGGTTGCTTCCCTTCCTTTTTCAAAAACTGCCCTCCTTGTTTTAATTCCAGGTGACGGGTAAGTTCCGTGGAGGAGTCAATCCTTTTACGCAAGGGTGCTGTGGGAATGTGGAACATGTCCTCTGCAGCCCCCTGGGTCCTAGGTAAGATGTAAGGAGAAACACAGAAGGTTGATCCTTAGCCAGTGCTGGGTTGCCTGCCCCTTTTGTGGGTGTGAGAGCTTGGGGGCTGGACAAGCTAGTCTTCACGGATTTATCGATTCTATTTTGAATCTGTGCAAGCAGAATCAAATTAGAGATGCAGGTGTTCACCTCTGCCTTGGATACCTTGATGTGTTAACGTGCTATCCTGGCAACACGTGGCTTCATCACCCACGAAGCCTTTGTTGCTGGTCTTTCACACCAAAATGGCATTCCTTCAGATTGTCCGTCCTTGCCGATTATCCATTTTACGGCTACGTGCTTTTATTTTATTTCTTTGGAAACACTCCTGACCTCCTCTCTTAGTCGCTCATTAAGCGCCCGTTCCTTTATGTAAGCCATTTGTAGATATTCACCATGGATGGTCTGCTGTTTTTCATCGGTTGTATCTTTTAATGAAAAGCATACGAGTTTCAAGATCCCGTGATCTTGCAGGTACATTGTGGATCCCAAGAAGAAGGAGATGGTAAGCGTGAAGCCACCGTTCCTGAGGCCGGATCTAAAGGAGCGACAGATCACTGTCAAAATCAGCGACAACGGTGTTCAAGCCAACCTTATCCACAGCAAGGTGAAGCATTGCTCAAGAGCTTTCCTCTGTCTAGGACCCACCCATATAGAGATCTGGTTTCCGTATTTTCCTGGCGAAAGATTTCCATAACAATCTGCCTACTTTTGGCTGAATTCATAAAACATGCTTTTTAAGCCCTAAGAGGTTAAATGACTTGTGACTAGCCGGATTTGTGCAACACATTAAGTCAAAGCCAAAGATGCTAAGTTCTGGCCTTGGGTGATAGGTGAATCCGTTCCCATCCAGGCTGAGATCAAAGTTAGTCATTTATTTCAGGTTTCAATTGCTGCAAAGCAAAAATTCTAGGGGCCAAGTTTATGTATTCATTTGTATTTGATTGTTTGTGTCCCACCTTTATTGTTTTTAATAAATGACTCAAGTTGCTGAACATACATAACGCTCCTTCCTCTTCCTACGTTCCCCTCAACAACAACCCTGTGAGGTCAGGTGGGCTGAGAGAGAGGGATTGGGCCAAGGTCACCCACCTGGCTTTCATGCCTAAGGCGGGACTAGAACTCCCAGTCTCCTGGTGATTGGCTCAAAGTCACACAGCTAGTTTTCTTGCCTAAGGCGGGACTAGAACTCCCAGTCTCTTGGTGATTGGCTCAAAGTCACCCAGCTGGCTTTCATGCCTATGGTGGGACTAGAACTCCCAGTCTCCTGGTGATTGGCTCAAAGTCACCCAGCCGACTTTCATCACTAAGGCAGGATTAGAACTCATGCTCTGGTTTCTAGCCTGATGCCTTACCCACTGGATCAAACTGGCTCCTAGCACAGCTTCTTAGACTGCATTAAGCAAAGATTAGTTTAACCATGGTTTGCTGAGCAAGCCTCAACTGGATGGGTTCAGGCAACAGATTAAGCCATAAACTAGAATGAGCAAAACACAGTGGCTGTTTTCATACCCTGGCTAAACCCAAACTAAACAAACAATGCCACAGTTGAACAAAACGGGTGAAGATCACTGTTATCCTGAACAGCCTGTAGAGACTTAACCTTGTTTCATGGTTGTTTTCAGTCTAAAATTAGCCTAGAAGGGCTGGACGAAAAAACCATGGATATACAGCCTCCACTTCCACCCAAAGGAGATTCCAGTAAATACAGTGAACTGGGAAGCGCCGAAGGTACAAGATTTGATATTTTCTTTTTTAAAATCAAGTGAATAAATGAATTTCCCTGTTTTTCTTTTCAGATCAGATGAAGGTGTGAATGTCTCTCTTTTAAAACTTTCTGTCTCAAGAAAAATTTGTGATTGATTGAGCCTGTGATGCAGAAACTGTTGGATTCATAAAAAAATAGCCCATAGTTTGTTTAACTATGGCTTACTGACTAAACCACCATGGACTGGATCCATATAACACCATCAGCTAAGATTTAAAAATTCGGGAGCTGGGTTTACACAGCCAAGCCATAAACAAGCAATCTATATTATGGGTTATGCGAAATTCAATCCTGGTTTGGGCTCGCCGTAAGCCATGGCTTGTTTTCCCTTTTGTTTTCCAGAGAGCAGCCTTTCTCCCAAACTGATCAGCCCTCCCACGCCTGCCATGTATAAATACCGCCCTGCTTTCAGCAACAACTCAAAAGTACTCTATCGCGGAACATCTGAGCAGGTAAGATGACATGGCTGCAGGTTGAATCACAGGTTTGACCGAATGAAACAGAACAGCCAACTTCAACCAACTTGAAATGTTTTCTGTGTAATTGCCTCTTCCTTGGGTCAAAATAAAAACTTAGTGGAACGATCACCTATCAAACCGCGTTTCTCAACTAGGCCTTTATATAATGTATCTGAAAAGGATGTTGGGTTGTGTTGGGTTGTGTTACGTTACATTATGTTATTACTCCTTTTCCTCTCCAGAAGCAAGCCTTTAACCATCGTTCTTTGTCATTTTGAACAATGAAAAAGCCATTTTAAGAAGGCTGTGTAAAGGCTCATTAATCTTTTTCCTGGCACTTGTTGCTTGGCTCAGAGAGAGACAGATAGACAAAGAGAGAGACAGAGAGAAAGAGACAGACAGAGAGAGAAAGAAGGAGAAAGACAGAGACACAGAGAGAGAGAGAGATGAGACACAGAGAGAAAGAGACAGTGAGACAGAGACAGAAAGAGAAAGAAGGAGAAAGAGACAAAGAAAGAGATGAGAGACAGAGAAAGAGACAGAGACAGAGAGAAAGTCAGACAGACAGAGAGAAAAAGAGAGATGAGAGACAGAAAGAGAAAGATAGAGTGAGACAGAGACAGACAGAAAGAGAAAGAAGGAGAAAGAGAAAGAGATGAGACACAGAAAGAGACAGAGAGAGATAGTGAGAGAGAAAGAAGAAGAGAGAAAGAAGGAGAAAGAGAGACAAAGAAAGAGATGAGAGACAGAAAGAGACAGAGAAAGAGAGATAGAGTGAGACAGAAAGAGAGGGGAGAAAGGAGAAAGAGAGAGAGATGAGAGACAGAGAGAGAAACAAGTTGCTTCCGCTGATGTAGTGGTATGTGGGAATGATCTGAGAATACAGGAGAAGATAGGTTGCCTAAGGAATAATCAGATAAGAGACAACACAGCCTGCAACTACATAAGGGGTAAAGAAAGAAACTCGGAAAGGATCATCCCTAACTTATCAGGCTGAAAAAGAGATGGTGGGAGATTTGTGCCTTAAGACTTGCAAGATTCTTTTTACAATAGCTTTATAATAAAGTCGAATTTGCCCGTCTGGTCATGCTTCCTGTCTGGTTGACCCCGGAGGGCTGGGAGCAGCTCCGTTTAGTCTAACCCTTTCTTCTCTTCTCCCAGATCTCCATCCAGGAAGGTCTCAGGCAAAGCTCCCTGGCCGATGACAACGACAGCAGCCTGGATTATCAATCTGAGCCCAGCATGGAGCTCCCCACCTATCGGAAGAGTTCCCTTCACAAAACCTACCAGTCTTCTCCACTCCAAGCTGATTCTTTTGCTGCCAACTCGAGATCCCTCAGCCTGAAAACGGGGGGCCGCAGAGGCACCGACAAACTGCCCCTCCACCCCATGAAGTCCGAAGGGGCGACCTCAACCCCCTACAAGAGCGTCTTCGCCCCCAATTCTCTCTCCAACAGGAACGGGAGCTTATCCTACGACAGTTTGCTCAATCCCATTTCCCCTTCCGGCAAGCGGTGCATCGCGCACGCCGCGGTGGGCTCCGTCGGATACCACTCGCCCTATTTGTCTGCCAAAATGTGCCATCTGCGGGGCAGGGAACTCCAGCGCCCGTCTCCCCAGACCTTTAGCCCCGGGCAGAGTGGGCCAGCCCCGCATCCACGGGACCCCTCTCCAGTTCGCTATGACAACCTGTCGAAAACCATTATGGCGTCCATCCAAGAAAGGAAGGAAATGGAGGAGAGAGAGAAGCTCCTTCATTCTCACCCAGACTCCGTGTTTGGCGATTCAGGGGTGTACGACACCCCGAGTTCGTACAGCCTTCAGCAAGTCAGCCTGCTGTCGGACGACCCCCGTAGCTTAGTCCTGAGATACGGCTCCAGAGACAATCTGATCCCGAGCAGCAGCTTTAGCACCCGGAACCCAGCCTTGCAGACGTCTGTTTCTTCCCTCTCCAGCGCCATGACCCGAGTATCAAGGACTTCCACGCCTTCTCTCCAAGCAGACCTAGCCAATAACAACATCCAAGCCCATCAGGCACTGCAGGGCAGGATGAGTAACGGCTCCTACAAGTCGCCAAGCCACCAGGTTCCTTCATCTCCAGGTGGGATCCACAGATCTCCTTCGTATGGGGCTCCCAAATCGGTCTCCTTCGTTAACACGGTGGATCTAACAGAAGCCCAATCCATAGGAACTGCGAGGTATGGAGAATTTTAGCACGTATGAGTTGTGTGTGGGGTGCAGCGTTCAAATACTTTTAATATTTCTGGATGGCTTTCAGCCCATGGGAGACGGTCTCAAAAAGGTATACATGCGCTTATTAAATTACCTTATTAAATTAGAGTTAAACCAAGACTAGATTATAGGCTAGTTTGTTACTCAGAGATAGAATGTAATTCCCTGGACTCATCCAATATTTAAGAGTGACATACTAGAAAACATAAAATAACTTCAGGCTGGCTACCAGACGTAAGTATCAAGTTCCAGATTTCAGCACTAACATCCAATGAGGATGCGAAATGGGTTGTTTAATTAGTACGTACTTCACAATATTTCTTAAACTGAAGAGTAGATTCTAGCACTGGGGATCCTTGGTGCTCTCTGAGCTTGGTGGTTTTCTTGCAGACGTTTCATGACCCAACTAGGTAGCATCATCAGTGCTAGAAGGGAGTGGGGTGTGCAAAGAGGAGAAGGGGGAGGAGGAGGAAGAGGACTGTGGGGTCCTTGGTGCTCTCTGATCTTGGGTGTCTTGCAGACATTTCATGACCCAACTAGGTAACATCATCAGTGCTCTATCACTTTTGTAAGTAAGGAGTGATAGAGAACTACTGTTGTTACCTATTTGGGTCATGAAACATCTGCAAGACAACACCCAAGATCAGAGAGCCCCAAGTTCAAGTTGAGAACTGCCGATATAAGATTCCTTGTTATTCTTCTGTCTCCTAACTTTTGACCATCTCTTTCTCCTGGCCACAGAGAGGACATCCCGCTGAAGACCCCTCACAGTAAAATCAATGGACAGCCGAAGGGTCTTTCAAGAATCGAGAGTCGAATCAGCTCCACGCCTAGTGCCCAAGGTCCTCCCTTGAGTCCAGCGAGACACTCAAACGTTAAGAAAGTCTCTGGGGTGGGCGGAACAACCTATGAGATTTCAGTGTAAACAAAAAGAAGACGACGCGTAGGCGTATGGGAAAAGGAGAAGTCCCTGCAAATTCATCTGTGGAGCTACTTACACTGTGAAGATCCAACAGGAACAGAAGGAGGAAACCAACTGATGGTGCCTGCCCTGTACATGACTTCCTGGCTGGACTTATCATTATTTTTTTCAACCATTCTTAAAAGGCACACACAGGTCCCCCTTTGCCGGCTAAGGCCAGCTGTAGTCTTTAAAGAATGATGCCCTCGGCACAGCTCATTGGGTACTTCCTGGACAAACTGACCCGTCGACAACTGACAAGGCCGGCTTGTGTCAAACAACGGTAAAAACCATTGTGCATTTGTCTTTGTCCATCCCACCCTTGTCCTTAGGCCTTGTTGCTTTCTCTTCCACCCTTGCTTCAAGTCTCCAGGCTGGTTGAAAGCCAAGATGAAGAAATGACGGAACTCGTGAAGAAGAAGTGATGGAACTCATGAGGAAGAAGTGGTGGAACTCATGAGGAAGAAGTGGTGGAACTCATGAGGAAGAAGTGGTGAAACTCATGAGGAAGAAGTGATGGAACTCATGAGGAAGAAGTGGTGGAACTCATGAGGAAGAAGTGGTGGAACTCATGAGGAAGAAGTGGTGGAACTCATGAGGAAGAAGTGGTGGAACTCATGAGGAAGAAGTGATGGAACTCATGAGGAAGAAGTGATGGAACTCAAGAGGAACAAGTGATGGAACCCAACAAGTTTCTGTTTTTCTTTTTCCAGCCCATCCGTGATCTATACAAAACTTGGAAGAGCTGCATTTGAGGCAATCAAGTGCTATCTAATTTGTAGTCTTCTGGGTCCTTAACCGTTTCCTTCTCTGTGGTGGTCTTCTTAATTCACTTCAGAGATGGCAGAAGGGAAACAGGTTTGTGCATCCATGCTTTGGGTCAGACATACATCTTCCTCCTATGAGGATAAGTGGGGAAATTCATGCGCATATGGAAACTGGGCATAACCATGCACTGAAGAGAACCCTAATCTAGCAAAGAAAGGTTAATGGACACCACTAGACCTCTGAGTCTTGTTCAGTCTTTTAGACACACTCCTTTGGGCTAAGAAATGGGGCTATTTTCTAGCCATCTCCTTACCATCTGCTGAAGCATCTGAAAACTATAATGCGCCCATGAAGAGTTCCCTCATCATGCCTTAGAACTGTTGCACAAATAAGGGACTTCCATTCCCCCCCCCCCCTTGGACAATTCTGGATGGGTTTTCAAAACCACCAGTAACCCTGTCCTGCTTTTGAAGGGAAAAAAACCCCACAAAATATTGAGAAGGTAGCTTATGATTTTCAAACAGCCATACTCCTTCCAACTCTCCTCATCCTGGGGGCTGTGAAATGGTGTTAATTTGTCTTGCACTGGTGCAGCGCGTGTGTATACTCTCGACGCAAGGTATTTTTTGAGCTGTTGAATTTCGCGACGTGTGTCCGTGTGTGTATGCGTGCGCATGTGTGATTGTGTGGGTCAGCTGGACGCACGTCCGCAGGAAACACGTTTGCGGCCTGCTTGAAGATGGGCAAACTCAATATCCAGGGAGACAGCCAGACCGCCGATCGCTAGACTTTTAAGAGTTGATCCGAAAGAGAATCTGTTAAACTTGTTTACAAAAGTTCTAAATATTTCTCCTCAAAATTTAGGAAGTCTTCCCTTCCACATCCTGCCTCTTCCCTTCGGTGTAAATCGATCTTATATTTCAGTTAAGAAAGAAGCAGAAAATAGAAGTTGTATATTTAAAATGCCGATACTTAGCATAATGGCCTTAAATAATTCTCTTTTATATATATCTATAAAGTTGGGTGACTGCCTCTTAAGGCTGAATGCTGCAAAAGATCACGGTGTTAAAAAAGGTTGTGGGGTTTTGTTTGTCTTTTGCCCTTTCCTTTTTTTTACCAAATTTGGTGAGTGTGTGTGTGTGTTTATGTGTGGCATGGAAGAATTAGGAGGGCAGGGAAGGAACAGATCCCTTAGTGCAAATGTGGTAGTTACAATCACTTGGACTAAATGGCCTTGAGATAGTAGTAAATTATTCAGATCTTTGTAGTAGTTGGCACCGACCAATTAGCAGACCCTGGAAACAACAGATGTCTTCCCTTTAGGGCTTATATCCAGCCCATGTGGGTGATTAGGAAGAAAACACTTGTAGATGTTAGCTCAGATTTTGTGTTTGCAGCTGGGTTGGGAGAATCTGCCAAAATATGAAGGATTTTAGGTCCGTCCAGCCCTCTGACTTTTTTTTTTTTTTACAGGTAGATATCCAAAGTTTAGTTTGGTGTTTTGAATGATCCAATTGACCAACATTTCTTTCACTCGAGATATCGCAATTCTTGTGTTGGACTATAAACCCAAAGGTTTATATTCACGGTTACTGCCAGTGACAGGATGGAGCTGATATTGGATGGTTTTTGAAAAGAGGTCCCAAGAACCAAGAAAGACATATGGAATTACTTCTGAGCAGTTTCTTTTCTGTTCCTCACCTGTAGACTGAATCTTGCCCATCTAAAGCAAGCTACTTGCATCGTTGTAGATACACTTTGCTGGGGAGAAATTATCTTAACTCTCTTCTTCTCAATCAAACTATCTAAACTTCACTGTCTCTTAGTTCTCTGGCATGTGGCCCCTCTCTGCTGGGAATCCAGACTACATTCCGCCACAGTAGATTCGGGCCTTGTTAGTTCTCAGCAGGAAATGTCTGGTGTGTAGACAAGACTATAGACTCCATATCTCAAAAGAAGACAATGGCCATAGATTTCTGTGCAATCCTTGTGTGTGTGTGTGTGTGTGTGTGTGTGTGTGTGTGTGTGTGTGGTTTTGGTTCAAGTTTTATTTTCCTCTTCCTTTTTTTCCCTCTTAACTTGAAGCCTTAATATTTTACTTCTTTGAAATAAGCAACAGAGGGCAGAGTGGAGAAAACCAGATGCTGCTGTATTTCTGCTTGAGTTTAATAATAGACTTTACCCTGTGCAGTTAAAAAAACACACACATCAAGCCTCAAAGACAAAGGGCTTGTGAAGTCGACAGGGATAGATCACAGAGGATTCCTTGGGGATGTGTATATGTATTTTTTGTGGGAACAGCTGGTAAAGTTCAGCAAATCTTTTCAGAGCTATCCAATTCCCAAGTCAACTTTTTTGTTGTTGTTCCCTGAGCAGATATCCACCAGTGTTTAAACACACACAGAGACACACACATACAGACACAACAAACACACACACAGGCAAAACTATGCAGAAGTATGCTTTAATGTTGAAAACCTGACATGCAGCCAAGTGGGTGTGCTAGAAGCGAAAAAGAAATTAAGAAAAGCGTACCCAAGGTTTTGTAAATATTTGCTCATCGTATTTGTACAATGGGGGAGAGGGGTCTATAAGCAAGACCCTCTCGGTGAGGATCACAGTCTTGCAGACAAAAACTGAACAGGGGCCACAATGTTGTGGACTGCCTCTGCACCCCCAAGCCTGGATTAGGGACAGAAAGAACTTAAAGACTGAAAAGGCGACCTTGCTATTAAAATCACAGTTCAAGGACCTTCTTGATGGAGAGACTTCCTAACAGTCTGTATTCACCTGTTCTCCTATCTCAAAACTGTTTGGAATGTAATCTGTGCAGACTTCGTGAAACTTGTGTCTGTAATTCTCATCTCTGTCGCTTTAGTCTCAATACATATGTATATATTTTTCAATCCGGCTTCCTTACGTTTCCTTCTTTTGCTGCTGAATCTCACCGTTGCTGGGTAGGGGGAGACGGTGTGTGTGTTCAGTTTTGAATGCCCAGGGAATTGGGAAATTCTGAAATACTGGGAAAAAAAAGATCTACACCATTGTCACCACAACTGACTGTCCAAATCTGGAGCGATTCAGATTTATTTAGTATGCTAGATAGAATGACCCAACTTGTCAATCCTTCTCATTTCAACCCATTTAAGAGAACGAAGGAAGGATTTGGTTGTGGGCAGTTGGCCTTAGACAGAAGAAACCAAGGGATTGATGCTGAATCAGCCCTCTGTATAACTCATGTAGACATCTAGCGTCCTCAATGGCTCATGGATATCCACCTTAACGTTTTGCCCATTGGATTCTTAAAAATGGTTAAGATCCTTTTAATTTGAATAAGTCAGTGGTGGGATTTTGATGTGCTGAAAACGAAACAAAACACATGAACTTTGATACTGTAGAATGCTTGAAGACCCCACAAGAGCATCAAAGACACAAGAAAACTGAAAAAGAGATATATCATTAGTTGGGGGCTAGGTAAGGAAGGGAGAGAGAGAATAGATAGATAGACAGACAGACAGATGAGAAACAAATGGTAGATGAAAGAAAGTGATTGAGATGGATGGATGGATGGATGGATGGATGATAGGTAGATGATATTTTGATGAGAAACAGATAAATGGTAGATGAGAAAGATTGAGAAAGATAGATATAAATGATATAGATAGATAGATTTATAGATAGATAGATAGATAGATAGATAGATAGATAGATAGATAGATAGATAGAACACTCCAAGACCAATTCAGAGATTAAAACAGCCAATTACAGTCCCAAAATATAAGAGAATTAATCTTAACAATGGATTACTTGGTATATTTCTCTTGGCAAGGCTAATGTAGCCTTATGGCAAGATATAACATTTAGCAATTAAAAGGGTATCATTAAGAAAAGCTTCTAAATAACATTGATTGGAAATGCCAAGTAATTAGGAACTGAATTAATGGAGAATGCAGCTCGCTCATAATATTTACACTTTAAAAGGGCATGTGCTACCATTTCATTTTCCCCAGAGGATCCCAGGGTATTTGCGCTATGAGAATCTGATTGTACATATAGTACTGCCTAGTATATAGGGGGTTATTTTAGCAGGGATAGTCCAGTCTCCATCTCAGTTTGGAGAAGATCTAGACTTTCAGTGAGCCTCGGCTAAATCTCGACTCAGTCCCTAAAGATCTGAAAAAATGAAGAGGATGGAATAGGAAAACCATCAAACATAACTGGAGAATAATCATCTTATTCTGCTTTCTTTCCATTTCAATATAAATTAAAATGAACTTAATTGAAAGAAGTATCTCTGAAGACGTTGCCAATTTAGGGTTAGATCTACTTTTTATGGAGAACAAAAATGTGGGAAAAAATTGTTGCAAAGTGCTCACAACAAGGGATGGTACAAAATACACTTAATCATTCATAAAATCTCCAGTTGCCTTAAATTTCTGGACTTCTTTCTCCGAACAATATGGAAAGTTAGGAAACCCCTCCGAAGAATGTGAACTAAACACAATATGGTCTCGGTTGCTCAGTGCCAGTTAATTGTGTAAAAGAAAATATTTGGACAGGAATGTCCTAAATTGGTGCTCTTACGCAATTATCTCAGCTAAATGTTTCTATTTTAAATCCAATCTTACACTGCCTGCTGCTGCGGCAACGCAGAACTGCCTGTCATTTGTACCAAAATATGAGCATTGCTGCCAGTCAGTCATTGTGGATTTTTTGACAGTTTGGATGGAAACCAGTTGCAAAAAAGAAAAAAAAAGCTCAAATCAAATTACATTTGGGAGATTCTCTTGTCAGCATCCAGGCCACATTTTGGTTATGCAGATATAAAACCACATCATTTGGGAAGACTAGAAATTAGGTCTCCACTTGGCTGGAGCAATTCACAATTAATTAAATATTATTCTAATATTTAATGCTTCCGTGGATGGGCTCCCCACCAAAAAAATTGCTCCTCTCCATCCATTTCAAGGATTAGGAAATTTTATGCCACTGTTTTTCAATCACAGCAACTTTTGAGAGGGGTGGACTTCAACTCCCAGAATTCCTCAGACATAATCCATGGACTTCAATTTCCCAGAATTCTCCATGTCGGCTAGGGAATTCTGGGAGTCGAAGTCCACCCCTCTTCAAGTTGCTGAGATTGAGAAACACCGGCAGAAGAGAAGACAGCCTTAGAGAAACAGAAAGGACTACAGCTCCCATCAGCCTGGCCCATGGCAAGGCACCATGGACTGGGAAGCCCAACGCACTAAGCTGGGAAGGGAGCCTTCTTGCAGTTTTTATGACCCATGGAGCAAAATGGTGCCTCCCGGCTTAGGCTACCGCTCTCCCATCATTCCCTATCCCGCCTTGACTGTGGATGATGGGTGCAGGAATCCATCACACTCGAGGAAGCGAAGCGGCTTCTCCCGTTCAAAATAGTCCCTTCTCCTTTAAGGCGGAGGAATTGCGGGACGGCTCACCGCGTCTTCGGCGGAGGGATCTTCTCCTTCCAAGGAGGCTCCGCCCCCTCGGCTCCGCAGATTCTTTCCGAAGCCGCCTCGTCCCTTCGGGGTTCCTTCAGCCCCGCCCACCGGCCCGTCCCCGCCCCCTCCTGCCCCCTTCTCTTAGGCCGCCCAATGGCGGGCGCCCCCCGCCGCCCCGGCCCCGCCCACCCCGCGCGCCCATCGAGGCATTTTGTCCCGCGCCGCGCCCCGTCCTCGGCGGGAAGCGATTCCCCTCAGGCAGCCCGCCGCCATGGCGTTCCGGCGCCTCTTCACCGTCTCGGCGGCCGCGGCCTGCGGCTTGGCGGGCGGCTCGGTCCTCTTCTCCGCCGTGGCGCTCGGCAAGCAGCCGCCGCCTCCGCAGGGGGCGGAGAAGGCCGGCGGGGACGCCCCGGAGCCCCTCGCAGCCTCGCTACCGCCGCCGCCGGGGCTGCTGCTGCTGCCGTCACCGGCCGCCGCCTCGGCCGCCCCCGCTTGGCTGGAGAAGGCCAACGGCTGCGGCTTCTGGGACAACAACTGGGACCGGTGAGTAGCCTCCCCCGCCCAGGAACCCCCCCGAGACATCCCCCACCCCCAGGACCCCCCCACACACACAGGGATCCCCCCACTTCTCTTGGGACCCCCTCAAGCCTGGCCCCACTTTGGCATACAGGGTCTCCTGCCTGACTGAGGGGGCTGGACTGGAAGACCTCGCAGGTCCCTTCCGGCTCTGTAGTTCTGTTCTTCTGCCCCAGGGAAGGTGTGAGACGAGGTGGGCCACCGGTGCCCTCCGGGGGTTGAAGTGTTAGGAGTTCTGCTCATTTGCTGAGGAGGAAGGAAGGAAGGAGGAGGAGGAAGAGGAGAGGGGGAGGACGGAGGGGGGAAGAGGAGAGGGAGGAGGAGGAAGAAGATCAGGAGAGAGGAGGAAGGAGGAGGAAGGGGGAGGAGGAGGAAGAGCAGGAGTGAGGAGGAAGGAAGGAGGAAGAGGAGAGGGAGGAGGAAGAGCAGGAGAGGAGGAAGGAGGAGGGAGAGGAGGAAGGAAGGAAGAGGAGGGGGAGGAGGAGGAAGAGCAGGAGTGAGGAGGAAGAGGAGAGGGAGGAAGAAGAGCAGGAGAGAGGAGGAAGGAGGAGGGAGAGGAGGAAGGAAGAGGAGGAGGAGGAGGAGGAAGAGCAGGAGTGAGGAGGAAGAGCAGGAGAGGAGGAAGGAGGAGGGAGAGGAGGAAGGAAGGAAGAGGGAGAGGAGGAGGAGGAAGAGCAGGAGAGAGGAGGAAGGGAGGAGGGGGAAGAAGGAAGGATGAGGAAGAAGAGAGGAGGAGGAGGAAGAGGAAGAGCAGGAGACGAGGAAGAAAGAAGGAGGAAGAGAGGATGTGGGAGGAGAGAGAAGGAAGGAAGGATGGGGAAGAAGAGGAGGATGGGGAAGAAGGAGGAGGATTGATGTTCTGTGTTGAATGGTTTTCCCCTAATCCAGGTTCTGGATCTGGGGTGCTTGCGGTCCAATGTTCAATTGGCCTCCCTGGCAGACTTGTTGGAGGGAGCGAGCAGGGCTGGGCTGCCAGTCCCTGTTCAGGTAGCAATGCCTCCTGCACTGTTGTTTCTCCAGCCACTTTAAGAGGAGTGTGAGTGTTCTCAGAATGCCGGGTTTGGGGGGAATTTGGGGGAATTGAAGTGGATGCATGCTGGCCGGGGGGATTCTGGGAATCGAAGTCCAGCCTTCTTAAAAGTTTCCAAAGTTGAGAAACACCAACCTTTCTGCTGGACAACGTAAAGCAAGTTGTCAGGGCTCATCATCCTATCCTGGGCTTGCCATTCTGACCTTTCCTGCTCTCCGTAATGGGCAGGCGTGAGATCTAGCCCAAACCTCCAGAAGGCAAGGATGCAGGGTAGATATTAGCATTCCAAACACCCTGAATTATTAAGAAAGCCTCACCTTCTCTTCCATGCTTGTCTTTAAGCGCTTTTTAAGCTGAACCCTCTACTTGGGCAACTTTCCTGCCCAATTAGAAATACTGTCTCATAACAGATGTTCTGGGTGCTAATCCTGTAAGTGAACGTCTGTACAATTGGTGCTCTGGGATAAAAGAAGACTCTGCATAGGGGTCCTGAATAAGGTGGCTGAATGTACATTCAAAAATGTCAGTAACTAATGTTTCTCTTGCCACGTCCCGCTGTTTGTCTTGGGGATGAACACAGTCCGAGTTGCTGAAGATAAACAGTGAATAAAGTTTAGTGGATGTCACTTCGTCCCTGATTTGTTGACTTTTTTTTTTTGCAGAGCACAGACATACTTGAGTGGAAGTTAAAATTATTGGCTAGTGTTCTTCTAATATCATAGGAACTGGAACTACACTCTTAAATTTTAGGGTGGCGTACACCAAAATTACAGATCCAGCAATCATAATCATCCATGTAAAAAAAAATTATCAAGTGTTACCAGACCTTAAGCATACAATGCCTTTCTACTGAACGATTTTGAATAATTGTTTTAAGCCTTACCACTTCAGGAGAACCTTTGAAAATATATAATCTATGGCAGTTCATATTATATTTGCGCGCGCGCACACACACACACATACACACACACAGCCACTTCATAGTTATTGGGAATTTCAGACATCAGAGTAATTGCCTGATGTTTTTCTGCTATAAATGAAATAATACCTATGCTTTTCGGAATACTGCAGTTACTAATTCTCTTAGTAAAGAGAATTAAGCATTAATTTCTGCCTGATCCCTTCCAGATTAATAACACTAAATCTGAACGAAAGCCTTCCTAACATTTAATTTCATAATGGGTTGGAACTGCTGGTCTCAGTAGAGGTATGGGTAAGCAAAAACCCCATAATCGGCTTATGCGGAGTCTGTTTAGTTTTGCAACTTGGCTACACTGGGTTCATACAGAACGATAAACTAAATCAGAATGTTTTTGGGAAGGACTAAATTTGCCCGTGCATGTTTTCTAATTGCTTAGGTCCAATAGTAATTTTGCTATAGGAAAGAGAGAGAACTTGTATAAATAATTACTTGAATCCAAGCCAGGGTTCCCTTGGCTTGTTGTAACATGCAAAAAGGCTTATTTGGAATGTCTGAGCACTCATTTGTGGTTTCAGATTTGTAGAACTTTTAGCATCTCAGGCAGTTTTGTTTAGCTAAGGGCAAGTAATTCTTTTAGGGATGACATTGCTTTTATGTTGTTCGTGTCCCTAGCTGCTTTTCTGAACAGTTAGTTGGTATGACTCTATATCCTATGTTACTGTGACTAACAACAGTTAGTTAATAGGACTAGACTAGAGCCTAAATCTCTCTGCAAAAGACCTGACTTAATCCAGTGGGGTTCCCTTTAAATCGGTTGTATCGCTTTCTTTATATTTTTATTTCTATTTACACATTTCTTTTTTGAAAAAAAAATTCCAATTTTCTTTTTAAAAGTAGGAATCGATAGATTGCCATAAAAAAAATACTGCTTCTGCAAATCAGAAAGGCATAAGCTGATATCAATAACTAGCCCGTCTGTTTACCTTGCCATTGATTCAATGTTACATTAGATGTGTATCATTTTTCAACATAATGGCCACTGTGGTGAAAGTGAAACAGTATCTGCTTGCTTGAGAGTGCATTAAGACCATAAACACCCATCGCATCAAAGTGATGAGCAAGCTTTGAGCTTCCGTTTCTATCTCTCATTTGCTGAATGCATTTTGTTTTGGCAGCTCTCCAGGCCTCGCTCTGACTCTCCTTTATTTCTCTGCTGTGCTTAATAAATCATTAAGGCTAGAAACAGGAAAGAAACGCCAAAACTGGGTCTGCTCTTAAATGGGGAACAAAAATAATCCAGTGATAGGAAATGAGTTGAATTGCCTAGACCATGAGTTGAATTGCCTAGACCCAGAATTCCTCAGCCAGTGTGCCTTTTATGACTTGTGGACTTCAACTCCCAGAATTCCTCAGCCAGCATGCTAGTAATTGTAAATGAGGGGATGAATTAAGCAGACTTCACAGTTCCCCAAAACTTCGGTTGTTTCATCCTGTTTTGGAATATATGGAACCGCTTTGCTTATCGGCTAAGAATATATATCTATGCAGACTGACTTGTTAGCAATAGAATCTGGCAAGGCTGATGTACACGTTTGAAATCGATGATGCAGATCTGAAAGGTGACTATTGCAATCAATTCAGAGAGAGGAGCTGCCGTGAAAAACGGCACGAAGGCAGTCTGAATTGTCTGACTTTCTCAAACAAAGGTGCACCGCTGGAGCTGAGTTCATTGCTTTGCGCGTCTGCTGTGTTCAGTGCAAGAATACAAATTTTCTGCTTTTAGGAGAGAACCCTTGGCTCTCATGAACCTGAAGAAGAAAAACGAAGAGACCGCTGAACAGGAGGCGTCCTCTCGCTTAGCCCACTATAAAACGAAAGCTACCCGGCATATCTTCCTCATACGCCATTCTCAGTACAATCTGGATGGGCAACAGGATAAGGACAGAATCTTAACGAAGCTGGGTAAGTACGATGGGCTTGTGGGTGGAGATTCAATTTACGGTTGATGCGGGGCTGCTTGCTTGGTGTATACAATAGTGGCCAAAATTGTGGAAACCTTTTGGGAAAAGTGTATTTTTGAGGTTTGCTGGCTAATAACGCCACTTTTGTTTTGGAGTGGTACCATAAAATTATGTATCAATGGAAAGATAATTTAATCAAGAATGTAATGCAAAATAGTTTGTTCAATTATCCGTACTGTATTCTATGAAAAGGTATAGCCAAATAACCAGAAAAAGGAAGCACAACTTGCTCAGGTCGATCTCAGGTAGCTTTCCTTCATCTGGTGGTAGCCAATGAGCATTGAGTGTTTAGAGAGCCAATCAGGTGTCATCTTGTTTTGGCCATGAGCCAATCAGATCACAGTAGGATCCAGTTATCGATGTCATGTATTGAAGCTGAGAGGAGGACATTTGTCAGTGTGTTATGTGATCGCTGTCAAGTTGGTTGGGTTTTTTTGTGTGTTCTTTCATGTAGTGAGCTTGTAAAAAGTAATGAAATTAAAGTCATGGTGCAAAGAGTTGACTGGTCGCCCAGAAAGCGATGTAAAATAGTATTATTAAGTGCGCAAGGCTACAGTTATAAAGAAATTAGAAAAAAAAATGGGTGGAATCTTAATCAAAGGTGGCATTTCTACTGTACACTTTTTCCCAAAAAGTTTGGCCACTACTGTAATTGATGGAGAGCCTTACATTCTTTCTTAAATGTGTGTGTGTGTGTGTGTATTTATTTTTGTACTGATTTGCTTCATCACCGTTTGGTTAAATGACTTCTGCTTCTTTTAACTGTACTTAACCGATTAACTGGTATCTGTTTTCAAGCCAATGGCAAAGGCCGCAGTACCCACCTTATTCAGAAAACTATTCTGCTTTCATTGCTTACCAACCTGCAGATTCCTGTCTGAATGCAAAATCATCCTTCCCGTGAAGAATGCAAACAGGAATGGTGGGAAAAGGAACAACTTCTGATTTTAAAACATTGTGCTGAAACAAACAAACAAAAAAAACCCCTTTGTGCCTTATTAGGAATTTATACATAAAATGTATCTTTTAGGCCGCGAGCAAGCTGAGCTGACCGGAATGAGACTTGCAAGTCTGGGGCTGAAATTTGATAAAATTGTCCATTCTTCAATGGCCAGAGCAACGGAAACAACCAACATTATTAGCAAACATCTTCCTGGTGAGTGTCTTCTTGGAACAGAGTTTGTGGTAAGCAACATTTGTGTAGTTTTACTACAGGCCTGCAGGACCAGCTGTCTGATTTGCTTGTACTTTGAGCTGTTATATCCAAAGGGTTCAGTTCAAAGTCTGTAGCCAGCAGGGATCTTTAGAGGTTCTCTAAAAAAAAATTACAATATTCTTTTATGTTCGTTAAGATTTCCTCAAGCTTTTGGAATGCATTGTGTCAGATTAAATTCTGACCTTTTGCCTCTTTTTCCAGTTGCAATACAGATTCTTTGTGTGTATCAGAGAAAGATAACATTCTGGGACATAACGCCTGAGTCACATGTATTGTTTCTTTGTTCCTACTTCTAATCTTGGCTAGTCTGCAATCCCAAGTCAGCAGTGGCGTAAGCCAATTCCCTGAACATTATGCAAAATTATCTTGACCCACATGATGCCTTTTTGTAGGCATTAGTCCATTTAGTTAAGATTGGCACTGATTAAATTGTTGATTTAAGAGAAGAGAGATAATATTGTGTCATCGACTGCAAACTCGTTAACAACATTGACTTGGAAAATCGAAATGTTGTCTTGATTTTGCTTGTTCCTGGAGTATTTGTGAAGAAGCTGTGACTGATTACCAAAGATAAAATTGGGTTGAAAGGAAAACATAATACCAACCGCAGAGATGCCTGGGGGTGACAAACAGGAGAAGAAAACAAAATATACAGGAAGCAGCTAAGTCCATTTCAGTGCTAGAAACACTGCAAACCATTTTTAAAGAAGCAAAAACCTGCGGCAAGGACGCATCTAGGAGGGTTGAAACCACTATTTCATAGGGAGTTAAGGTTTTAATATTGAAAATATAGGAGGAAAAGAGGCCATGGAACAGGGTTTAGGATCTGTGACAAGATGAACGAATTTTGGGGTCCATGCTAGTCTGTGACTATAATAAAAACTGATTGATTGATTGGAGTCCATCATAAGTTATGGTAGTCTTTCCTTGAAGGCTACAAAGCAAGAACGGAGCATTTTAGAAAGTTGGCAAGCTGGCACAGATTTAACTTCTATCTATCCAAGGTTTGTTGATGACCCTCTTTCACTTCAAAAGTAAGGCTTGTGTTAGAGCACTGGCGGCAAACATCTCTAGGAAATCTGTGTCCTAAATCTATTATGGAAGTGGGTGGGTGTCTGTGGAAAGATACGAAGATCAAAAGGCCTGTAAATCCTCTTGTGTACATTGGCCTGTGTATAAATCACACCACAAGGGTTGCGCACATCCTTCTTTTCCTCTCTTCCTCAGGGGTGACCAAGCTGAGCACAGACCTCCTGCGCGAAGGAGCCCCAATTGAACCAAACCCTCCCGGTTCTCACTGGAAGCCTGAAGCTGTGGTAAAATCTAGTCCAGCATTTCGCTTTTAGAATAGAAGAACAAAGCTGGAAGGGACCTCGGAGGTCTAATTGATTACACCTTGACATTTTTTAACTGCTATACTGCAGTTTTACTTTTTACAATCTCTTTTGCCTTGCAGCCCCCAACTAGGGGCATTAAGCAGGCTCAAGTCGCAACTGCGAAACATTACAAATCCAAATTTTTTTTTTCTGACAAAGAATTAAATTGGGAGACTAAGATGGCCATTTCGAGCTCATTCTGCTCTCTTCAGTTAATACTGTTACCCCATAACCTGCCCAGGTTCGAATCCCATAAAGGGTGTGGCTAACTGAAGTTAGCCTCCCAATTTAATTCTTTGTCAGAAAAAAGAAATTTGGAGATATATATATGCGCTATCAAAGACGCTGGAGGTCTTCTAGTCCATTTTGTGGTGTAACTTTAGGGTTTAAGACTGTCTTCTCTCTGCATGCACGTAATCTCGTGAGAAAAAATGCAGATTGATAAGCAAGTTGCTCTCTATTTTGTTGTCGATTTGCAAAGTGCTCCATTTGCCGTTCGTTTCGTGACAATAAACAAACGGTAACTTACAACGCTAAATCAAAACCGGTGTTTTTCGTTCAAATGGCAAAAGGAGAATAATGCATGAGCATCAAAGAAAAGTTCAGCCATTGATACTGTTACTTGGAAATCCAAAACTGTTCTACTGTGTTTGCAGTTTGTCTATTCTTCTGTAATTTGGTAGATGTAGGCCTTTAAAGCTTTGCTTACGCTCTTATAGAATACTGTAATTCATAAGCGAGAGTTCTAGGCCAGCCGAAGCACTGTTTAGATAAAGGGCAAGGCTCAGCATCTCAAACTGGATTTTGAGGACTTAACTTTAATTCTTGCTGATTCCAGCCATCCAAAGAATATTAAATATCGAGGCCTCTGGATTTTAATGGGTTGGGGAGAGCCCATGGTTGATTCTGACGATTTTAAAAAGAGAGAGGGGGAAAAAAAATCTGCGCAGGTTTTAATTATCTGCCGCTATCACCCAACTTTTTGCTTTTAGCAGTATTACGAAGATGGCGCTCGCATCGAGGCCGCGTTCCGAAACTACATTCACAGAGCTGATATCAAGCAGGAGGACGACAGCTACGAAATCTTCGTCTGCCACGCAAACGTGATTCGCTATATTGTCTGCAGGTAACTCGGGCGAAGCTCCTAAATCCTTTGGCTCTTAAGTGGGTTTAGCACCTTGCGCCGTGCGTTAGACGGAGGGAATCGGATGCTTTTAGCCCACGGCTGGAAGTTTAGGAACGCCCAGTAATTGGAACAGTCGTCTGCAGGATTAACTCAGAGCTTTGCTTTTCACTCTCTAAGTAGCGGGATTTGAAAGAATCTTTTAAACAAATGCAATATTTAAAAACTATATGGGGGAAGCCGTGGCGGGAATATATTAATTCCTGTGTTTGGAGCCCGTCTGAATTAACATCAGTAATTTTCCTCACAGCCCCCCCTCCCAATAAAAGGCCTTGTTGATAGCTCTGGTGCTTCAGCCAATGGCCGGGGGGGGGGAGTGGGTAATGGGAGTTGTAGTTCCCTACATGAAGGGCTGCAAGTGAAGAGACAAAGGGAGGAACGGACTGATTGGAATCGCTGCTCCACCATCTCTCCAGAGGATATTTCAAATGTGCTAAAAGCTTTTTACGTACTGTATTTGCAAATTGAATTGTACTCAATTTAAAGCTGTGTCAATTTTAATGAGACCTGCCTCTCTACTTAACCCATGTTTGTATCTAGCTGTGCAGACAGCGGACCACATTGTTGGACTTTGAGGCAGAGGTGTTTAATTACTTAAGATGACACTCGCTTAAGATTGCTTTAGTATTTGCTAAGTTTATTTTACGCTGGGGGACAGTTCCAAAAGTAGGAGTTTGGGTCAAAGAGGAGCCAGAGAAGGTGGGCAGTGGCTGTAGAAATATTTATAGTCTTGCTAAAAAAAACTAACAACCTCCTCTTTAAGATTCTTTTAGCTCTCCTGGGGGATAAAGTTAATTATGATTCTTCACACGGCTCTTCATTTAATCCCAGCATAATGAGTTTCTGAAAAATCCTAGTCTCGGGAGGGCCAGTTAGCTTTTGACAGCAGTGAACTCACAAACTCGGCCTTGTCTTGATTTTATTTTTATCCAGCCTTTATTAATTTTAGAAATGACTCAAACATACTTAGTATTCCTTCCTCCTCCTATGTTCACCACCACCACATGTACGAGTTTTTCGATTGCTCCAAAGAGTAAAATGCAGGGGAAAAAAAGTTTAGGAAGTCTTTCATTGCCCTTGATTTGGTGATGGGATCCAGATGGCAGAGAGTAATGTAAGCTAGGATGTGCGACTGACATAAGCATTCCTCTTCGTTTTACACAATGCACAATTTACAAGGGAATAGATCATAGCGGTCTCCCTTAAAAGATTTGTCACTCTTGCGGCTTCGTTTTGCGGATTTGCCGTCAAATGAGGGCTCCCCAGTGGTCTCTGTCCTTGTTTCCTTGTAGACATTTCATGACCCAACTAGGTAACATTATCAGTGCTAAAAGGGAGTGGGCTTTGCTGTCAATTTCTACTCTCGTGTCTTGCCTCGTCGGCATCCGTGTTACTGTTAAACGCATCGCATTGCAGTTATTTTTGTTTTACCGGCCACCGGGAGCAAAGAATTGACCTCGCAGGCTTTATCAACACATTCACAGTTGTTTTCCTTTTTTTAAAAAAAAAATATATGTTTTTTTTTTCGAAGAGCGTTGCAATTTCCTCCGGAAGGTTGGCTTCGGATATCCCTCAACAACGGCAGCATCACACACCTGGTGATCCGCCCCAACGGCAGGGTGGCCCTTCGCCTGCTGGGCGACACGGGGTTTATGCCGCCGGAGAAGATCACCCGCAACTGAGTAAGCCTTCTTTGGCGTTTCCCATCAGCCTTGAACCCACACAACCATATCGGAATATTACAGGCAGTCCTCGAATCGCAACAGTTCATTTAGTGGCAGTTCAAAGTTACAAGGGCACTGGAAAATATGACTTAGGACTGTTTTTTCAGATAGGACCTCTGTGGCATCTCCTTGGTCACATGATCAAAATTCATACGCTTGGCAACGGGCTCACGCTTAGGACCGTGATCCCCTTTTGCAACCAGTTCACAAGCAAAGTCAGTGAGGAAGACAGATTTATTTAACCAACTGGGTTACTAATTTATCAAAGAGAGAAGCAACCTAGAACTAAAGATAAAATTTCCTGACAGTGAGAACAATTAACCAGTGGAACAACCTGCCTCCAGAAGCGGTAAATGCTCCAACACTGGAAGTTTTTAAGAAGAGACTGGACAGCCATTTGTCCGAAATGGTATAGGGTCTCCTGCCTGAGCAGGGGGTTGGACTAGATGACCTCCAAGCTCCCTTCCAACTTTATTACTACTACTACTACTATTATTATTTGCAGTGAGTCACTTAACTGTGGCAAAAAAGGTCTTAAAATGGGGTGAAACTCACTTATCCCCATAAATTTTGGGCTCAGTTGTGGCCGTTAAGGACTACCTGTCATATTGGAACAATATTGTTGTGTAGGACACCAAGTTCCACTAGTCCAGGGGTAGGCAACCTTGGCTCTTTGATGACTCGGGGACTTCAACTCCCAGAATTCCTGAGCCAGCCACGCTGAGGGGAAAAGGAGAGGCTTCCATGCTTAGCCATGCTGGCTCAGGAATTCTGGGAGTTGGAGGTCCACGAGTCATAAAGGAGCCGAGGTTGCCTTACCCCTGCACTAGTCCTTAACTAACTCATGCCTCTTTCTCGCCCGTCCTTCTTTCAAGCTTTCAAACAGGGAGGATCTCCAAGAGGACAGACGCGGCCAGCCCTTTCCCTGAAAAGCTGCAGGCTCCAGGCTCCCTCCCCTGGGCTTTGTCTGTCTCAGACTATTTCTTACACATTAAGATTTTGCACTAGCAGCTCACGGCGTGCGATGTTGAACCGTTGAGAAAGTTGAAGAGGACTCGTCTCCTTCGTGGCTTCAAAACGGCAACGCTGGCGGCCTCCCAAGGGTTTGTTTGTTTGTTTTTCTTTCCTATTTTGGGGGGGGGGGGGAAATAACTGCAACGTCCAGAGATACACGTTGGGTACTGAAATCGGTGTTAAAGCCAGAAGCCACCAGATCCAGCAATTCTGAAGACGAGGGAGACGAAATCTTGAAAGTAAGAGCGCCTTCTCGTATTACGCAGCTCCGATTTGCAGACGGGCACTGAAAATATACTTTAATAATAATAAAAAAAAAATTGGAGGGGGCATCTGTAGTTGTCTCCCAAAGCAGTGGCTGAATAAAAGCAAACCATGGTTTACGCTCTTCTCACTTCAAGCCCTGTCTAGTTACTTGTTTTTTTTTATTTGAGACTTTTTTTTTTTTTTTGCTACAAGGGTCTATTCCTAAAAATAAACAAAGAAACCCTAAATAGGAGCTTTTCTTAGGTTTCCCGGCCGTTAATAATTATTACAGGTTACCATTTATCCATTTGCTCCCACTAAAGCACCGTCAAATTAGAAGGAAGGATAATCTGCTCTGTTCCTCTAGCGCGCAGAGTTCGTCCTTCCGTGTTGTGACCCAGGCGGTCAAGGCAGGCCTCTAGAGAGTCCTTTATTGCTCTCAATAAATGTTGGTAAGGGCTCCGTCCCCATACTCTAGTACCAAGAAAGCCCACAGAGTAGGAGCAAGGTCCAGCGTTCCAAGTCCAGTCCATAAGGCAGAGTCCAGGCACAAGACCAGGGCAGTCCTCGGGGTGAAAAAGTCCAAGACCAGAAGCCGTTCCAAAGGCCCAGCGAAGCAAAGGCCAAACGCAGTCCACAAGACAAGACAAGGCAAGGTCCAAGACAAAAAGCTGAAGAGCCAGTCTTCTGAGCACCTGGGAGGAGTGCAAGCCAAAACAAACAATAGTTCTTGGCAAGGACCAACTCCCCACGGCTTCTCCTTAAGTCACTCCAGTCCAGATAGGTATTCTTTGTGAGAGTAACCTTGCAGCCCTTTTCTGGGCTTGTCTCCGTGCCCTTGGATCAGTGGAGGAGGCAGCTATTCCTTATCAGAGGGGGATCTGCTCCGTGCCTATGAAGGCAGGCAGCTCTCTGTCTGGTGGACCACCACCCCCAGCATCTCCTCGGCAGCTGGCCTCTCCAAACATGCCAAGGGAGATGTGCCATCCCTGTCAGATGGTCCCGGTTCCAAAGCCGCCTCCTTTTCCAAACCGGGCTCCGATGGGACCATAGCATTCCTACGCTTACTTCTTAGAGCGAAATATAATTTTTATGGGGGGAAGAGGGGGGGAAGCTGAACCCTTGGCCAGCAACTGCCACTTCTGGACAGATTCAGTGCTCCTGAATCTTGTTATCTTGCCGCTTGTGGGATTGCCGAAATGAGAGTAGCTAGGGTGTTGGGGGTTACTCTGTGGTCAGGAAAAAGGCACTGGTGGATCTGTGTCAATCCATGCCGGTACATGTAAGTTATTTCTATTTGTCTTTTACCTGCGAAAATAAAAACTGAGTTTGATTTTCACTTGAGACTGCTTTAAAATGAGAGTGCCTAGTTTTTGTTTTTTTAAGTGAAGATTTCAATTCTGAGATTGAATACCAAGTTTTACTTAAGGCAAAAAAATAGAAGCGTGACCTTTGTCTGGGTTTTTGCTACTTACGCAGTGCGTCATCCGCTTTTATTTCGTTGGTGGGAAAGTGGAATTGAAAATAAAGAGGCATTATGAAATATTGTATCCCAGTTAATTTCAGCTGCTGCTTTGGGCCAGATACTAAAAAGGCTTGGAGCATGTAAGCTGCATGTCATTAACAATGCCTTAGTCATCCGTTGTGTTTCTCATCTTACACACTTTGGAGATTTGAAAGGCTGTACTTCAAAGGAGTTTTTAAAATTGCCTGATCCTTTTCAGCATCTAAGCTTTGTGGCTGAGTCGAATGGGATTATGCCTGTACAGCTGTCTTCTACCAACAACCACTGATTAATGGAGAAAAGACAGTTTTTAAATAAACAAAATTTAATAAGCTTGTTTAAAATTCACATTAACACATTGACGGGGGAAAAAAATACACACGTCCATTTTAGACAATATTTTCAAGAGCAATTCTTTGACTTCAGACATCTCAACAAAAAGTATTAACTGAATAGCTGTGCTCCAGAAACACCTTTTTTTTGAGTACAAAAGTATTAACAAAGCAAAGGAAATTGGTCAGTCGCCTACAGGTTTTAATAATTTGCAGTGGCTAAGCAGGAATGAATACTTTCCTTTATACTGTGGAGTAAGCTTTACACAAGACCTCTAGCTGTCTACAATAGCCCTATCTGGCTTTGTACCATTTATGTAGACAAGGTGTAACGCGCAGAGGGCACTTTTAAGCACAAAGGCTGAATTTCAGAAACTGCTACGCTAAAGGATTTTTCGAAACTGCCTTTTTATCTCAACACTGCACTACAGAATTTTGGCGCATTCCTCTCCCCCCCCCCCAACACCCATTAGTCTTTAGGGCTTATGAGAAGTTAACTTTGATATGTCGGTTAGTACAAACCTGGACAGGTTTTATACATTCTGGAGAACGATGCCGATAGCAAAAGCTGGGTGACCAAAGGGAGACCCATCTCCCAAAGCTGGTTTTCGATTCCAAATGGTCCTTAAATCAATTTGTAATTTTTTGTTTTACGTATAGGACATTTATCTCACATAATATAAAATAAATAAGATGGTTACAGTACTTCTCCGGAATCTTTTAAACTATAAAAACTGCAAAAGTGGAAAGTTAAAATGTGTTTTAATATATAAGGGAACACTGTCCCTTGAAAAGCAAGACAGAAATACCAAAACGTAAAAGTTACAAAAGGCAGTAATAAAACTGGAAGAGTCTTGAGTGTACTTCTGAGGTTTTAGTACCAAAAACATCACACAGGTGGCATATAAAATGTTGGTTACACATGGATAAGGAAACGACCGGTGCAGTTCCTGATGCTGTGATTATTTCAAGTTAGTGTGCAGTAAATAACTCCCCCCCCCCCAACCAATCTCTTCAAGCCCTATGATTTAAGAGTTTCTTCCATTTTGTGTCTCTCCCCCCTTTCCTGCTGTGCAGGTTATCTCCAATTGCACAAGAGATCCTTTGCAGTATGGGCTATAAAAAAATGGCCTGCGGTGAATAATAAGCATAACTTGGGCAGGTTTATTCTCAAATGCTGGAAACTCAGAAATTAGCCGTCATTGCAAACAGCGTGGGATTTAAAGTAACAGCAAAATAGCTGTAATCTGTTCTAGCGGATATCGATGCTATACGGTCCCATGAGATGCAATGATAAACTTAGCTGTGTAAGGAAAATGCTTTCTGTGGAAGCTGCAAAGTCTGCTCCCCCCAAACCAGAAACAAAGGGCAATTGGTGTGTGTGTGTTTGGGGAGGTTTCACTTGTGTTATTTATAACTTTCATTAGCTTCTCTTAAAGCTTCTGCATAGTGACTCCTTCATGCTTAACGATCCTAATTAAACCAGACCGCAAACCAGGACTCTGTGCTCGTATCCCCTGGGATTAAAGTGACTTATTCGTGCCTCAGCCTGACTGGAAGATGGGTTGTGATAGCTGAATTCTCTTTACAGGTGTTACAGTCACAAGGATCCCAATATAAGAGAGAGAGAGAGATTGGGAGAAAGAGAGAGACGGAGTGAGAGAAAGAGATTGAGAGAGAAATAAAGACAGACGGAAAGAGATTGGAAAAAAAAGATTGAGAGAGAGAGACAGAAAGAAATAGAGGAAGACAGAGACTGAAAGTGAGTATGAGAAAGAGAAAATTATAGGTAGACTGGACCTCAAGACTGGTCCAAAAACACCACTTCTATCCACGGATTCCTAGACTTGGAAATTGAGGCTTCCCACTCAGAGGCCTTTTCAAACTTCCTTACTTTACAAGACTCTGACTTGTAAGGTAAATGGAATGATTCCCCCCCACCCACCCACCCCTTTCCAGCAGCCCCCTCTTCCAAGAATAAATAAATAAAAAAGTGGTCACATCAAAGGCTTCCACCATCCCAAATTTTCTTCACTTCCAACATTTTCACGGCCAGGGTGGCTGACCCCCCACCCTAATGATTGGGCAGTCCTGAGAAATGTTGCCTCTTGGACAGAAGGATGTTTACGTACGCTGGCGTATACCGACCCGGGCTCCCTAAATCCGGAGAGAAGCCGGCCGCGGCGTTATACTTCCCGGGGCTGTTCTTTCCTGGGCTGAAGTATGGAAAATTCCTGGCAGGGCTGGGGGTGGCTTGGCCCTTGGCGAGTCTTTTCAGGGAAGGGCTGGACCACCTGTCAGAAAAAAAAGGCAGCGGTTGTCATCTCGCTCGAAACGGCTTTCTGACTTTACGCCGAGTAACGGAAGTGTTAGAAAAAGGTGGCCAGAAAAGCGTAGATCGTTTGTAACTTTTAAGTACGGATCACAACAGGAAGAAGAAACCAAGAGTGCCTTGACCACAGGAAGGCAACAGATAAAAAAAATTAAAGAGATGCAAACACTGGTGTCTTTGCCTAAAAGAGTGTTTCTCAACCTCGTCCACTTCAAGATGGATGGATTTCAACTCCCCAGAATGCCCCAGCCCTGGGGAGTTGAACTCCATCCATCTTGAAGTGGCCAAGCTCGAGAAACACTGGCCCCACCGAACACCCCTTCCTTTGCACCTAAAATGGAATCTGGAGATTGTCTCTTTTCCAAAATGTGTTTTTCAGAGAGGAAGAGGTGAGTGTTGGCAAAGACCCAACGAGTGGTTAATTCTAGCTAAACACCTGCACCAATCAGGTTCTCAAGGAGATAAAATTAGTCACCTGAGTAGTTTAACTACTGCGGAAGAGGGGGGGAAAGGACCACATACAACACTTGGGTGGTGTAGCTTTCTCCCCCTGCACCTTAGAATGGAGGTGACGCCAACCCAAGGAGATAACGTGCTCCTCCACCTGCCCAGAGAACTGATCCAGGCTTCATGGGATGTACCTTTGCCGTTCAGATACGGGATAGGCCTGCACGGACTTGCTCCACTGGTAAATAGCCGGGTATCTCTGGGGATCGACCTCGACTCCGAGTAATGCTGTTAACACGTCGTTGTCCCATTTTGATGGTTGATCGCTAAGCAGAGGAAGACAAGAGCTGGATTAGGCAGCTGAGTGCCACCAAAGGCAGAGGCTTATTCTCTTAATCTCCGAGAAATATTTCAGCAGTTTTTTTTAAAAAAAAAACACCATGTGGGCTTTTGCCGAGCAACTTTAATCTCTAATGACCCTGGGGCGAATAAATAACACCAACAGGCTCAGATCTCTACAAGCTCTTTCACCTGGAACAAAATCCAACAGAAGAGCCATGGTGGCACAGTGGCTAGAAGGTAGTACTGCAGGAGAACACAAACACTGCCAGAAGTTCGATTCTGACCGACTCAAGGTTGACCCAGCCTTCCATCCTTCCGAGGTCAGTAAAATGAGGACTCAGATTGTTGTGGGCAATGTGCTGACTCTGTAAACTGCTTAGAGAGGATTGTAAAGCATTGAGAAGCAGTCTATAAGTCTAAGGCAGTGTTTCTCAACCTTGACAATTTTAAGGCATGTGGACTTCCACTCCCAGAATTCCACAGCCAGCATTGCTGGCTGTGGAATCCTGGGAGTTGAAGTCCACATGCCTTAAAATTGTCAAGGTTGAGGAACACTGGTCTAAGGGCTATTGCTATTGTTCCTTCCTTCCTTCCCCTCCCTCCACAGTCGCTAGAATGCAGCATTTCAGGATAACACACTGCCCACGGCCAGGAGTCTATCCTGACCTCAAGGTTGTCTCAGCCTTTCCATCCTTTCAAGATTGGTAAAATGAGGACCCAGATTGTTGGGGGCAACAGGCTGACTCTATAAACCCCTTAGAGAGGGCTGTAAAGTCCTGTGAAGCTTTCTATGAGTCTAAGTGCTATTGCTATATCTCTTGCTTTTAATTTTGCGCACATGTATTGACTGGTCACAATACTGAAGGAATTGCACAAAGATGCTTGAGGACTAAACTAACCCAGTTTCAGGATTTGCACGGCATAAACTAACCCAAGTCAGTGGGCTCCCACAATACCCTAAGCCCTAAAGAAGCTAACTAAATGTAAGAATCATAATGCATGCAAACACCGCAGATGTTTCGAGCCCACAGTGAACCACGAATGGGTCAAGCCCACTTTTTCCGTATTACAGGAACAGATGTCCCATCACTACGTTATCATTATCACCAGCAGTAAAAGTACATATCGTGTCAGCCCAGGTAGTCCTCAACTTACAGCCACAACTGGGACCAGAATGGCTGTTGCTAAACGTCAGTTACTAAGTCGCACCTCATTTTATGACCTTTTTTCTCAAGGGAAACTCTGCAGTTGTTAAACCAAGCGTACCATCATTAAGTGACTGGCTTCCCCCCAACCCCCTTGACTTTGGTTTAGAATAGAATAGAGCTGGAAGGGACCTTGGGAGGTCTTCTAGTCCAGCCCCCTGCTCAAGCAGGAGAACCTATACCAGTGTTTCTCAACCTTGACAATTTTAAGGCATGTGGACTTCAACTCCCAGAATTCCACAGCTAGCAATGCTGGCTGTGGAATTCTGGGAGTGGAAGTCCACATACCTTAAAATTGTCAAGGTTGAGAAACACTGACCTATACCATCTCAGACAAGTAACTGTCTAGCCTCTTCTTAAAAACCTCCAGTGATGGAGCGCCCACGATTTCTGGAGGCAGGCTGTTCCACTGGTTAATTGTCCCCACATTTAGGACATTTCTCCTTCATTCTTGTGAGAGGCCAGCTGGGAAGCCCACAAATGATGATCACAGGACCCCAGGATGCTAGAACCAGCATAAATACATGCCCTGAATTTCGATCAGGTGATCATGGGGCTGCTGTGACAGTTGTGGTGCGAGTGCTATTGTAACTAGAGGACTATCCGTATCTAAAGAACACTGGCTGTAGAAAATGTCCTAAAAACACACTTCCTAGGGTGGAGTCCCCGAAGAAACCCCTTTTCTTGACCCCAAACCCCTTTCATACCCTAGAAGGAACATCTGCTTGGTTTTCCCATTTGAGGGAGGTGTTTTTAGTAAACCAGGAACGGACATCTCGGGCGGCGATTCCAAAGCGAACGGCAGCTTCCTCTCCCCAGATCTGACCTCGGCTTCGGCTGAGGGTCCCTCTGCCTCTTGGGGGTCCCCGTCTTCCTTCCTGCTTTTGTTCTTCCTGGCAGCTCCTCCTGTCTTCAACAAGGGGGAACCCATTTTAGGTACCTGCTCCTGACATTTCCACGTTTTGGCCGCCCTCTGGCTGGCCTTGCCCGCTGAGCATTCCCTCGTCACGGCCGCATCCTGGCAAGAGAGCTGGTCAAATTTCTCCATTAAATTGGCAACGGGGGACTGAAAGCTTCCTTCCTGGCTGGGAGGCCTCCTGTGGGATCCTGTCCTATCGTCGCTCGTGGCCGGACTGCAATAGCCGTTTTTACCCAGGGGGTCCCCTTTTTCGGCCGTCCGGAGGGAGGCTTTTGTCCTCGGCAGGATCGTCCCCGTGTGTTCGATGGAGAGAATGTCGCACTTGGAGCTTTCAAAGCTAGCGATGGTCGGTTCGTTGGGTGCTAGAACGGGGCTGTAGTTCCTGGCCGCGTTTTGCCTGTTTTTTACCTCTTCCAAACTCATGTCGTCATCGTCGAGAAACGCTCCAACGGAGACAGAATTGCAGTTTTTACTTTTACCTGTTAACAACAACAACAACAAAAAATAATAATAATAAAACGGGGTGGACATCAGACCGAACTCTAGGCTTTTGGGTTGACTATAGCCCACTGATCTCGTCAACAGGGCTTGTTTCTTAGTGCTTGTCTTCAAAGAGAGCTGAAGCGTGTAAAGAGAACTGGAAAGGTTAGGATGTGACACTGGATGATAATAACTATTTTTTAAAAAAACAGACTAAGGATGGGGTTAAGGTTAGGATTTTTTTAAAATAACATTCTTCATCTTTAGCAAACAGCATGTTGTCTGGGTTCATGTATTTAAAAAACAATGAATAATAATTCATTTCTATATTATCATAAACAATATGTTAGTTAATCGCTCAATCGGACTTTTCCAAGCATTAGCAGGCGTGGTTAAAATTGCTTTGGGGATTAGCCCCCCAACCCAGTCCCTCTTCAGCCTTCCATCTTACCATAAGACTGTGGAGTGAATCTGTTGTGGGCCTCGTTTTTCCCTTTCTCTAGCTGAGCATTATTGCTCATTTCCTGCTGTTGACTCAGGTGGTCTTCTAGCCGTCCTAACCCCTCCTGGGAAGACAGATCAACAAAACAGCCCAGAAATTCCCAGTATTCAACCCACGGGAACCCCAGCTCATGAGCTAACTCCCTGCAACAAATAAGATAGAACGAATCATTTGTGACGGTATGAAATTCAGTTTGACAACAAAGACATTTTTTAAAACAATCAGCCTCAGGACTGCACTTTGATATAAAAGCCATCCCAAGCCCAACTTTCTTGTTTGTCGCATTCACAAGCTAAAATGCCAGCTTGTTTTATGCTCGCATAGAACATCAAGGAAGAAAACAACAACAGCCCCCTTCTATATTACCGTATTTACCCACAAGCAGGATGATGCAGAATTTCAGAAAAGTCACCATGAAAGAATAACGTAATGTAGGTAAGTAAAAACTTGGGAATAACGTCCTGTGCCAGTTCCAGTTTCCCAATGAGCCAATTCACATTCTCAGCACCTTCCCCCTTGATGCTATGAAAGTATAGGCTGACCTATTTGCATGCACCCACATGTACAAAACACCCACACAACAGACGGACACCGTTGTCTCTTCTTCCCAGCCAGGACAACCATTAAGTAGGATAGGATAACTAAAATTAAATAGGGGACAAGGAAGGAAAAACAACACTTCAATTCGTGTTTCTTAACCTTGACCATTTTAAAATAAGTGGCCTTCAACTGCCAGAATTCCCCAGCCAGCATGCTGGCTGAGGAATTCTGGGAGTTGATGTCCACCTCTTTTAAAGTTAAGAAACACTGCTTTAGATGGTACTTCAGTGACTAAATGCACCAGGTAAACACCCTTCCCATTTTCAAAGGCACCCACATTTTACAGGGCCACTTCTGTAGCCATCTGCAACTTACGCCAATTCCTTTTTCCCCCACAACTTCTACTGTCTGCTCACACCTTCCCCTCCCTCAAAGGAACTTATTTCAATAATTACAGGTAGCGCTGTTTAACCCCCCCAAAATGTTTCTTTTCTTCTATCACTTTGATAAAAGATCTCCTGCATACAAAATGCTCTTCGTGCAGAAAGGAACAGGTATGACGTGATAACTGAATGATAATAATTATTTTTTTAAAAAAACAGACTGCTTCCAAAAGAGAATATTTAAAAAAAAAAAGTTTAAAAAATGGCAACCATCTCCAACCTTTAATCTATGTAAATAAGTGGTCTATCCACCCTATACGTCAGGGTTCTTCCAACTTGGCCCTTTGATGACTTGTGGACATGTGCCCGGCTGAGGAATTCTGGGAGTTGAAGTCCACAAGTCATCAAAGGGCCAAGTTGGAAGAACCCTGCTATAGATGCACTGCGCGTACGTAATAATAATTGCATGCTCATGCTTGTTAAAAAGAGTTTTAACAGGGCTGGAAACGGAACCCTTCCCTGCCTTTTGCCACGTGGCTTCGGGCACCGTGTCTGAAATACCTTCCAACTCGTTCGACCCCTCTTTCCAAGTCAGATTTTCGGAGGTGGTAAAAATATTCCGCCCTCTCTCGGGGTGGGGTCTTCCAAAGCCTGCGGAAATCTTCTGCCTGTTGGGAAGGGGCAGGAGAGAAGAGATTGAAAGGCGCATCCAAACTTTTACAGCAAGCTGTCAAGACTGAATCGCTACAAGGCCGGCTGGCTTCTGTCGCTAATCAACTTGACATAGAAAAAAAGGGGGAAGAGGAGGTAGAAAGCGCGGGGGGGGGGGGAAAGAAAGGGGATTCCAAGAAACCCTCCGGGGACCGTGAGAACCTGCAGCAATGGCAAGGTCACTAATGCAGGTGCTTGACAGAGAAGCGGACTGTTCCTATAACAAGCCATTGCTTCAGGAAAGGCAAGAAATCCACGTGGACGATTTATCGACCTGTCTTACTATCAGGGTAAAACAGCCCTGCCTATTAAATCGCTCTTATGTTGAGTATAGGTAGTCCTCAACTTACAACTATCCATTTAGTGAGTGTCCGAAGTGAAAAAAAGCAATTTATGACTGTTTTTCACACAATCAGCAGCGTCCCGGTGCTCACGCGACCAAAATTTGGATGCTTGGCAATTGAATCGTACTTAATGACGGCTGCAGTGTCCCAGAGGTGTCACGTGATCATTTTTTGCACTCTTCTAACGAGCAAAGTCAACGAGGAAGCCGCATCCACTTAACAACCGTGCTGCTAGTGTGTCACGGTTCTGACAGATGAAACCCTTCAAAGAACTTCGAGGCATTGTTTACCTTAAAGAATGTTTACTTGAGTAGCAACACATCGGCAGGTACATAGTCCAAGCCAAAATCTGTCTTCCCCTCCCCTGAGCACATAGTATCAAAGGACAATTCCCTCCTCTAACTAACTGTCATAAATCACATTCTCCAATTAGTTTGAAATGCAGGCTTTCCCTCCAGTCTTTCAACTGCCATGTCTTATCATCCCCGGTTCTCACCCTTATACAGTATTGTTATGTCTAACTAAAGTCTCAAGCACATTCCCCCTCCCCCCCCCCAGTATCATCTAATTCTAACTCTAAGAGTAAAACATAAAACAGAGGAAAATAGCTGCATCGCCATATGTTGTCAAAGCAAGAACATTTGATGTTAGCAAGCAGTGACTGCAGGGATTCTCTTAACAGTGGCAAGCAAGGTCATAAAGGAAGGGGGGGGGGCAAAACTCAACACATAACTGTCTCGCTGAACAATAGAAATTTTGGGCTCACTTGGGGTCATAACTTGAGGACTACTTATATTTCCCTTGCCCGGCCCATTCCCATGCCTGCTTCATCTCTATAGATCTGGCGGCTTCAGCCTCGTCTCGCAGTTTCACGATTAAAATAGCTTCCTTTAGTTTACGACCCTGTAATCCCTTAATTCAGGGTGGAGCTGGGGTGATTGGACAGATGCCCTTCCTGATGCCTATGTGGAGTTCAGAGCAGATATTGTTTCTTTGCGCCCTGAAAAAGATCCGCCGCTACCTGGAATTGACCTCTCCACCTTCTGAGTGAGAGGCGAGCGGCTTCACCACTAGGCCGCCGTGCCACTCAGTCTCACAGCCTCTTCAACAAAGAGTCTCTTTGCTCTCCTTACCTTGGAAGGACTCAGTGGCCCTGCGTAAGCCCTCACTGTCAGCAGAGGGTCTTTGGGGCTGCCGAAGAATCTGGGCAAAGACGGGAGTGGGCTGCTCTCGGTTTGATCCGGGGACCAGGGGGCTGCAATCACAGGTGCCGTGGCATTATCTTCCGCTCTGAAGAGGGGCACATAACACTGACCTGGATCAGAAGGGATGGAAAAGGGATATCAACGCTTTCATAGTCCCAGGAAGATTTTTGAAACACTTATTTGATTAAATAAGGCTGGTTTGATATCAGTCAGAAAAAAAATTCTACGCTAAATATCCCTGTCTGCATCCACCTTGAGAATCCAAATAGAACTCTTAAGGTTCATTCCGTTTCCGGAAATGCTTATTAAATACACGGCATGGTAATGTCGAAGCCAAACTAACTCTGAGATCATAGAATTAAACAATAATCTCTCCAACCAAACCCCCAACCACTCACGTACGGCACGTAAACAATTTCACTTTGTTATTGGAACCGTCTGCCTCCTCTCCACACCTGCTGTGGTGTCCTTGGAAAGGTTTCAGGCTCTCAACGGTCTTCAGCAGAATCGTAAAGGTTACGATTACAATACTCTTTTGGTTTTGTGTTCTAGCCAAAATGATACATGCCATTTGCTTGTGGAATTGCCCCAAAACAGAAGTTGTACAACAAAGCCTCATTTACTGCCAACATTAAATACAAACCTTCCAAATGTTCCCTAATTTTTGTTTTCAGATCCGCCGCTTTATTTTTGCTTCTTTCACAGATCACCTATTAGGCAAGAAGATGTTAAGATGTCTTAGTTAAACTAAAATTGCCTCGGTATTTTGTACTTCAAAGGGGGGGGGGGGAGAAACTAAGCTATAAACTATGCTGGCTGAGCCATTCTGGGAATTGAAGCCCACATGTCTTAAAAGTTGCCAAGCCTGAGAAACACTGTTATAAAGTGTTTTTAATGTGAAATCAAGACAATGACGACATGCTTTGAATTCAACTTACATCTGCTGGGGTTTGATTGTATTTATTTTTCGGATCCTTTACAATGCCCGGATGGGAAGCAAGGACGCCGACCACATCTGGATTCCCAAACTTGCAAGCAAAGTGCAGCGGTGTATCAAATCCCTACAAAAAGATAACGTACGAATAATCCGTATTAGACAAGCTTGGCTTCCACTGTTTCTGTGCAGATTAGGTGGACCTGCTTTCTACCTTAGCTCCCCAAAATTCTTTCTAGTCTGTTCTACTTCTTTGAATTGTTCTATACTCTGGCTGGTGTCAGCTTTGATGGGGTCCAGCCACCGTGTTCTTTGGCGGCTTAGTGTCTTTTTACCGTTGACGCTTTCCAACCCAATTGCTTTCTCCAGTGGATTCCCCCACATAACATGGCCAGAGTAAGTGAGATGCAGTTTTGTGATTTTTGTCTTCTAGTGACATGTTTGGTGTTACGTTGCATAGGCTAGGAGAACACTGTACTGGGCAGAGTCTAACTGAAAATAGTAGGACTTTTCCATGCAAATTCACACAGGGAATTTACCAGTGGCATCTTTCACTGATTCCCTAGGATAAAAGCAAATGGTTCTAACTGGAATTCTCTTTTTGTTGGTGTGGCAGCTGGTCCCACTAAACTTGAGTCGCTTCGGACAGCAAGATCGGTGGCATTATAAATCAGTAAACTGACTGCATCTCAGTTCTGAGGGGAGATCTGTTTCCAAGATTGGAAAGGAACAGGGTTTACTAGGAATACCCCAACAGGAAAACTGAGCGAGGCTCACCACTTTATCCGGCGTATTCAGATAAAGATCCGCTATGTAACTTATACGCTTCTCCAACATCACGGTGTCGTCGTCAGGATACATCAGCCGCATAAATTCTGGGTTTTCCAGAGTGTCCAACAGCAGCCGGCAAATGCCAGGTTGATTCTCTTTAGCTGCCACATGCATGACGTTGTAGCGACACCCCTCCTAGAAAAAGAACAGACCTCTTCGCTATTTGTGATTCCTCCACCGCGGCATAACAGAACTTCCATTTTCCTGGGGCAGCTCTCCAGACTTCTGCTATCAGCCTTAAAATGAGCTTATAAAGAAACCAGACGTCACCTCAAAATGGTGTATTTGGAGTCAGTTGGATGTAGCGGCTAAGGTGTTGGTCTAGAAACCAGGAGACAGTGAGTTCTAGTCCCACCTTAGACATGAAAGCTGGCTGGGTGACTTTAGGCACCAGAAAACCATGAATTCTAGTCCTGCCTTAGGCTTGAAAGCTAGATAGATGACTTTGGGCCAATCACCAGGAGATTGTGAATTCTAGTCCTGCCTTAGGCATGAAAGTCGACTGGGTGACTTTGGGCCAATCACCAGGAGACTGTGAATTCTAGTCCTGCCTCAGGCACGAAAGCTAGATAGATGACTTTGGGCCAATCACCAGGAGACTGTGAATTCTAGTCCTGCCTCAGGCACGAAAGCTAGATAGATGACTTTGGGTCAATCACCAGGAGATTGTGAATTCTAGTCCTGCCTTAGGCATGAAAGCCGACTGGGTGACTTTGGGCCAATCACCAGGAGACTGTGAATTCTAGTCCTGCCTCAGGCACGAAAGCTAGATAGATGACTTTGGGCCAATCACCAGGAGACTGTGAATTCTAGTCCTGCCTTAGGCATGAAAGCCGGCTGGGTGACTTTAGGCCAATCACCAGGAGGTGGTGAGTTCTAGTCCTATCTTAGTCACAAAAACCAGCTGGGTGACTTTGGGCCAATTGCCAGGAGATGGTGAATTCTAGTCCTGAAAACTAAATGGGTGACTTGGGCCAATCACCAGGAGACTGGGAGTTGCTGTCCCACTTTGGCCATGAAAACTGGCTGGGTGATTTTGGACCAGTCCCTTTCTCTCAGCCGAGTCCACCCCACAGAGTTGTTATTGGGACGAGAGGGGCGAATAGAAGGAAGGAGTACGTTCACCACCTTGAGTTATTTGTAAAGATAATAAAGGTGGGATATAAATAGATAAATCAATAAATCGCCCGGATGCCAAGACTGGCCCAAAACCAGCTACCCGTTTTCCTTAATAATCACGCCAGGAGGGGAGAGGAGGAAAAAAGGATCCGTTTGTCCTGCAGCTGATTATGGCCAAGGCACTTTTTTCCACTTTTTACCTGGACAATCGTAGGATTGTCTCCGGAGCCGATGAGATAGCGGGGATTACTCCAGATGAGTTCTAAGAAAGCACTTTCATCTCCTTTCTCCACAGCTTTCCGAAGCTTTGCAGTCAGATCCTGGGTACGAGGGCTTTTGTAACTGTTGGCTCTTTCTTTACTGACCGTTTCCAGTTCAGGAGAGCACAAACCATCTGTTAAGATATAAATAGCGTTGCGCACTCCTGATGCAATACAGGCTCAAAAAAAAAAAAAATGTGCGTGGGCATTTGCAAAACGCAAACTTCATTTATGCACGCAAAAGATCCGAAATGGCACCCAGTAGCATTGGGTTAATTCGTCACAAGCTACAGAACTTCACAGTGTGAATTTTAAAACTCTAAGGCAGGCCATAAGCACCCGTAATACAATTAAAGTGTAACTTTGCAATAGCAGTGAATATTTCTAGCTTGGGTGTAGGAGAGCGAACCGTCACCCCTAAAAGATAACATTCAGCATTCTTACTCACTGGCTGAGCTAAGCAACGGCTACAGCCTACTAAGCAGCTTTAACTGCCAACTTCAGCTCTATTAGCTCCTCTTGAGATTCAGAGGCTGCTCTTCTCTGCACGTTCATTTTTAAAGCACAGCCCATTTTTAAAGACTGCGATGTTTCTATGTGTCATATATATGTGAGTGTATGTGGGTATGTGCATAATGGTGTTTTGTTTTTTTGGAGAGCTGAATGCAACGAAATTTCATTTTAATGTATGCTGATTAGTGCACATTTAAAGTGACAATGAAGAGAATTCCTTATTGGCTTGACTGGACACACTAGGTGCATAAGCTCTCAGTGTACATATGAGCAATAAGTGATCAATCCTGACCATAGCCATCATAAAAAATACATCCATCACAAATCATAAGATACAACACTTAGTGATAGTCGTAGGACAACTAAAATAAGCAATCAACATAAATCATACTAGGATACTAAAAACAATATAAATTGTAAGATAGAAGCAACAAAGTTATAGTCCAGTGGTTCTCAACGTTTGTGTGACGGCGACCCCCGTCACACAAACGTGCCGCGCATACGCGGCGCCGCCCCCCGAGGGGGAAAAATGGCAGATCGCCTTGTTTGGCGACCCCCGAGAAATGGTCGATCGACCCCAAATGGGGTCGCGACCCATAGGTTGAGAACCGCTGTTATAGTCAAAAGTAGATAAGGAAATAGGTAATAGGAAAGATGAGAATAATAATAGTAATACAGCCTTACTAGATAGTTTGACAGTGTTGTGGGAATTAGCTATTTAGCAGAGTGATGGCATGGGGAAAAAATAAAGATTCTATTCTATTCTATTCTATTTAATTATTCTATTATTGTTCTATTCTGTTCTATTCTATTCTTTTAATTAGTCTATTATTATTCTATTCTATTCTATTCTATTCTATTCTATTCTATTCTATTCTATTCCTATTCCTATTCCTATTCTATTCATTATTATCATTCTGTATCATAAAAAGTCAGTGTTTAAACCAGTTTAAAGCCATTATGGAGCCCACTTCAGCCTCCCACTTACCTCTACTGAAGACCGAAGAGACTTTGACAGGAGACAGAGAGATGGTAGACTTGTTTGGAGACGGGAAGTAATCACATATGCCTTTGGCAAATTTCTCTGCATCTTCTCTGTTTGAGAAAGCTTTAAAACGTGACCCCTTAATCATTTTGACAGCTTGCAAGGCTTCCTTTTTGTCCTCATAGACATGTACCCTTTCTGGGGGAGAAAAAACAGCAGTGAAATAAATTCATTTCTGATGAAACGAGAAGGCAAGGCCAAGTCAAGAAATCTGACCCTCTACTTTTTATCGCAAGTCCCGTTTTAGCTACTTTATGCAATGGTGATTACAGCAGAAAACACTCAGATCAATTCAATCTGCTTTGGTGAATTTTACTTTGGGAGAATAACTACAATACCACATAAATTTGCAAATCTTTTTCAGGACCTTCCACAAAACTCTAATCAACTCTAATCAAAACTGCAAAGAGGTAATTAAATTAAACCTGAAGGACACACCATCTATATTGGAAAACAAGAGCTAAACAGAGTTAAAATCATCTCACTAAGACTATGATGCAAGGCTGGGTTGTTTTTTCATCAGCAAGTCAATTTTGTTTCTTGAGAAACTAAACCACCTTTAATTTGCTGAAAATCGTGGGTCCAAAGTCAAAGACGACATTAAAAAAAGCGATTGCCCGTCAGATTTACAGTATATGTTTTCATGTCTTCTGACACTATCGCAAGGGGCCTGAAAGAATCTGTTGCATCTTCTGGGGCCAATTTCTTACTTTTCTGCTCAAGGTTTTATAGTTCAAAACAGGTTATAATTAACAGCTTGATCTTATCTTGTTGGAACAAACCAATATTTATTGCAGAATTGGGAATTTGGCCTGAAGTCCATACACCCACAAGGATGGTTATGTCAGATGGGTAAGAGCTAAGAGTTGGAACAAGAGAAAATCTGTCTTTAAAAAAGGCACCAGTCCCTGGGAAAAAATGGGCAAGATGGATCCGGCCTATGGGCTGTCCCTGAATTCAGCAAACTGGAGAAGGCCAGTTCTGGATGTAACAAACAACTCAGCTAACAAGAGAAACAAATCTTTGTAATTCCAAAAACGAGGAAAGTGGTGATGGGTAGGAATGGAGGAAGCTAGCAAGCTCAAGATGCATGATTCCTCTTAAAAGTTATACTAAATCATCATTAATATATCCAGCTGATCTCTTGAGTAAAGAAGCACACGAACATACCAGTATTTTTATACCCCAAATTTTGCACAGAGGGGGGAAAAAACATCAGCCGCTAACAAATTCAACATCACTTTTATTTCCTAGCACAACAAGCATTAAGCTTTGGGTACCGCATCCCCGAAAAAAAAAAAAAAAGCATCGATCCTTGAAAATGCAGCACCGCTATTTTTATGCCGAGTATTTATTGCTATCACACTAAAATGGTCTCCTTCGACGGCAATTTCTTCTCAAGTAATCCGACCGCTTGGCGCTGCGTGCACATTAAGCGTGGGAAATCAATCTGATCGATGCCCTCCTGCTGAATTTTTCATTTGCTGGCCACGAGAAAGCCATCTATTAAGCCTCATTGGCATTTGTCTGGTACAAGGGAGTCTCAAGACTCTAAAGCAGCGAGCTGGCTGCTCTCGCAATCATGCTGCAGAAATTCAGATATTGCTGGGATTGCAAGATCTACCAGCACCAAGCAGCCTGGGCAGTTTTAGGGAGAAGCTGTCACGTGTATTGGGGGGGGGGGGGAAAGATGTGTTTACAGTGCAGCAATCCTTGACTTAACACCCACAACTGAGCCCCAAATTTCCATTATGAAGCAAGGCAGTTGTTTAAGTGACTTTTGCCTCATTTTATAACTTTTTTTTTTAAGCACATCGCTGCAGTTGTTAAAGTGGACAGTTTCCCCTATTGAATCTGCTTGCTGAACGCCGGCTGGGAAGGACGCAAATGGGAATCACATGTCCCCGGGACACTGCAAGCGTCATAAAAATGAGACAGTCGCCAAGTGTCTGAATTTTGATAAAACCCTACTGAGGCCACACCTGGAATACTGCAGCCAATTTTGGTCAACGTATAGCAAAAAAGATGTTGAGAGTTTGGAAAAAAAATTCAGAGATGAGCAACTAAGGCCTGAAGGCTCAAACATACGAAGAACGGCTACGGGACTTGGGTTTGGCTAGTCTAAAGAAAAGAAGAAGTAGGGGAGACAAGATACAGTGTTCATGTATTTGAGGGGCTGCCACAAAGAAGAGGAAGTCACCTTGTTCACCAGAGGGAAGGACGAGAAACAACGGTTGGAAACTGACCAAAGAGAGAAACAACCTGGAATGAAGGAGAAACTTCCTGACAGTGAGGACAATTAACCAATGGAACAGCTTTGCCTCCAGAAATCGTGGGTGCTCCATCACTGGAGGTTTTTAAGAGACTGGACATTCACCTGTCTGAGAAGGTATAGGTTCTCTGCTTGAACAGGGGACTGGATTAGAAGACCTCCAAGGTCCCTTCCAGCTCTATTCTATTCTAATTCTAACTGGGACCATGTAATGGCCTTTTGTGTCCCTTTTTCAGTCGCGCTGTAACTTCAAACGTTCACTAAATGAACGGCTGTTGAGGATGACCTCTACAAGGAGACTGTCAATGAAGGAGGCACTGAAACCTATTTATAAAAGAAACTCTTACCATTTCTAGTCAAGATGTCGTCATATACCGGGCACACCCCATAATACAGCAGAGGCTCTTTGGAGGGAATCTGGGAGCGAAAAGGGGAGCCGTTCGCTTCCCGCATCAGGGCTTCTTCCTCGGGGGGGTTCAGACCCATGCCGTAGCCAAAATCGCCCTCCTCGGGGGAGGCCAGGTGGCCGTTCGTTTTCCCAGGTTCTGGCTGGTTCCCGTCAGCCGCCGCCGTTCCCGGGACGCCGTTGTAAACGGGAGCCGTGGCCTCCAAAGGTCCTTGCTGTTCCCATAAAGCCTGGGCCAATCTTTTCTCAAAAATGGACCTGGTGGTCAGCGTGATGGGCCCGCACTTCAGGCCGGCTTTGACAATTTCTTCTCTCAGCTCATCGGGGGTCAGTTGTTTTAGTCGGGAGAAGATCTCATCCATTGTTATCCTCCCTGTAGGCAAAATAAAACAAAAAAAATCCAAAAAAGCAGAGGGCATCGTTTAGTCCATCCAGAAGTACAGCTCAGCTCTTGACTTACCACAGTTCGTTTGGTGACCGAAGTTACAGCAGCACTGGGGGGGGGGGGGGAAGTGTCTTATGACCATTTTCCACACTCACCACCCAAGGGTCACGTGATCAAAATCCAGAGGCTTGGCAACTGGCTCGTCTTTAGGACTCAAAGTCCCGGGGGGGGGGGGTCAAGTGATCAACTTTTGCCAAGCAAAGTCTATGGGGAGGGAACCAGATTTCCTTAACAACTATGTTACCCCCTTAACAACTGCAGTGATTCATTAACAACTGTGGCAAGAAAGGTAGTAAAATGGGGTAAAATTTGCTTAACAAATGTCTCACTTCGCAAACAGAAATTTGGGGCTCAAAATAACGGGCAGAGTCAAAAGAAGGATTGGTCCATTATGTTCCACATTGGTTGGGTCAGTGTTTTCCAACTTAGCCCACTTTAAAATGCGAGGACACCAACTCCCATAATTCCCCAGCCAGCATGCTGATGGGATTAGACAACCCCCCCCATCCCCAGGACACCAGACTTAAAAAGAAAGGAAAAAAAACCTCGAGATAAGAGCAGTTTGATGATAAGCTCTGTTACAGCAGGACTGAAATACATTTAATGATTAATTAAACATGTTCAATTTTCAAAATTACTCTAGCGTTAAAAAAAAATCAGACCATTAATCTTGAATCTATTTCTGTTTTAGCACAGCGTCTAATGTTAGCAGCAAGCATGCTGAGCGTGTTTCTAGATCTTAATCATTAAGCATCTAGCAGAATGCTTAAATCCACTTCTGCTCCCTTATTTAAAAATAGAATAAAGTAAGAGCAAAAGCTGACCCATAAAAGGGAAGCTGCCGTAGACAACTAGAAATAGACATAAAATAAAAACAGAACGTTTCAGTGGAGTATTAAATTTACCCATATTTTAGAAGAGAAAATGGCTAGCAACTTTCCACAAAATCATGGGTTTTGAAAGCAGATTGGTTTCTTTTAAAATGGAAAATAAATTGGCCCTCCTGCCAGAAAATTCTTTTAGGGTTTTTTCCCTCTGGTATTGTTTCAAATCGAATACAGGTGCTGCTAAAGAAACGTTAATTTAACATGTATTTAGTACAGGGGTCTTCAAACTTGGCCCTTTTATGACTTGTGGACTTCAACTCTCAAGGCACGCTGGCTGAGGAATTCTGGGAGTTGAAGTCCACAAGTCATAAAAGGGCCAAGTTTGAAGACCCCTGATTTAGTATCTTCTTGGGGAGCCTAAAGACATTCATCTAACCGAAATCTCAAGTCATCTTGAAACAGTTCCTCTGGATTATATACATCTTTGCATTCAGCAGACTCTGAAAGGCTTGTCCTAGGATATGTAGACATCTTTGCAAACGTTATTACTGTTGATCACAAATGGAGAGTACCATACTTTTAATCTAAATATATAAATACATATTGCTTTCATGTCATCAATCACATTGGGTGCAACAGTAAAATCACTATCCAGAAAGCAACCGTTTGCTAGTGACTCAAGCAGTCTGAATAAATATTTGTTGGGAATGCTTTAATTAATCAAATTTCTCCAGGGAACTCAGATTAGATTTTATATCCAAGCATGTTTGGCTTTCCCAGGAAAAGACATGGCTTTGATGCAAAACCAAAACAAATACAAGAGGACAGAAATAATAACTATTTTGATGCACAAATTATTTTTTTTTCTTATTATGCTTCTATGTTACCAAGTCTAAACAACTGTGTTTAGTGAGCCTAAGAATCTCAATTGGAACTACCAAGGAGAAAGTGTCTTTTCTTTTTGCTGCAAAAATTCGACATTTCCATTTGAATATTCCTTAAATACGAAGCTCCTTAGAATCACTTGACATTTGGGCAGTCCCATCTGCCTACATCGTGATAGTCTGTGCATCCCCAGAGGCTTCATGCCCAAAATAAATACAGCATGGGAATTCACAGAAGGGGACCAAGTGAGGGCACAGGCATCCTGACAACTGGCAAATGATGCAATTTGTGTAGTTGCATCAGATGTCATAATTGCCATCTTTTTTTTTTTTTTTGCATCAATAGCTGGCCCTGGATGCTGCGGGATACAAACAACAAGAGAGGAAGAAGAGGGAAAGGAAAGGGTTATTTTATGCCACATTTTTAACAGGCGTATTTTAGGTAAGTGTGTGATTCAACGTGTATTTTATCTGCTCGTTTGCATCCTGCTTTTATTATTTTTATAAAAACCCAAGGCAGCAGACATATCCAACACATTTTCCTTCTCTTATTTTCTCTACAACAATCCTGTGAAGTGAATTGGGTTGAGAGGGACTGGGCCAAAGTCACCTAGCTGATTTTTATGCCTAAGGCAAGACTAGAATTCACAGTCTCCTGGGCGATTGGCCCAAAGTCACCCAGCTGGTCTTTCATACATAAGGCAGAACTAGAACTCGCCATCTCTGGCTTAACCACTAAACCAAGCTGGCTAAAAAAAACCTCTTATGTTTTCCCCCTTGAACCTTAGGTGGGATTATGGCCGGGAAGGGCTCTTCTTCAGATGGTTTACAGCAAAACTGCGAAATAATAGAAATGAGCTAGAGGTACAGAGTAGAAATGTGTGCGTGTACACCTACAGGTCTAGGGTCTGCTGCTTGAGCAGGGGGCTGGACTAGAGGACCTCCGAGGTCCCTCCCATCTTTGTTATTCTATTCAACGTGCAGCAGAGTCTTCCCAAAGGTTCGATGCATTTGACAGCCAAGGTGAGGACAACTCACCCCCAAAGCCCATTCAGGCCATAGGAGAAGAGCAGCCTGGCCTTCTGCTTGGCTCACCTGCTCCTCCAGGCTTACCTGGTGGTCTCCCATCCCTACAGCCTCTCTCTCTCTCTCTCTGTCTCTATATATATATGCAAACCTCTCGCCCCCCCACCTTTGGATCGCAAGACCCCCTCAGGGGTGACTACGGCGCCCATCATCCCCAGCGCGGGGGAGTCCAAGGCACCCCCCCCAGCGGCCTACCTGGCAGGGAGGTGGTTGTGGGAGAAAGACAGCAACCCCGTCCCCCCCCGATCCCCACTCCCCCACCGGGGAAAGGCCTCTCACCTCCGTCGCAGCTGTCGAGGCAGCGCGGAGGCCTCTCCTCGGGAGGCGGCGGAGACGGAGCCCGAGGCGTCGCGCTGGGCCTCAGGCCTCGCCCCCCGCGCGGGCCTCGCTCCAGCAACCGCAGCAGCCAACCCAGCGCGCCGATGACGGCGCAAGCGGCCAGCAGCTCCCAGGCGGGCCAGCCGGCCCAGCCGGCCCGCCACAACCCGACCCAACCCGACCAGCCGGCCGCCACCCAGCGCTCCATCGCCTGCCCGGCCGACCACGCCACTGCGCACGCGCGGGAGCGGCCTCGCGGGGGGGGGAAATCCCGGGCGGTACCTCGTGAGCGGCTTCCCGGCGCTCCCTTCGCGCGTTCCGCGCAGGCGCGGAGGCGCGCGCGCCGCCCTTGCCCCGGCGCTCCAACCGGCGTCCGCGAGTGTGTGCCTGCGCCGAAGTCATCGGCCTCGCGTCGCCTCCGCCGAGGGGGCTGAGGGGGACTCCGCTGAGGGGCCCGGCGCGGACTTCTCCCCGGTTGTCCCCGCAGTCTCGACGGCGAAGCGGCGCCTCTCGCGCGCCCTTGAGAGTTTGAAGAGGGGGGAAAAAAAAACAAAAGAAAAAGCCTGAGGCGCCGAGGTGACCAATCGCGGCCCGCCACGTCACGCAGGGGGGCGGGTGTATGCCGCGCTGCCTGACGGGAAGCCCTTGTCCGAAATTCGAGGGTTGTGAGTTCTGCCTTCCCTGCATGAATGGAACAAAAGCCCATCATCCCTGCGAAGCATGGGAAGTGTAGTTCAATCTTGTTGAGGAGCCTTGAGAAAGTGACAGCTTGGTTGCCCCGGTAACGGCTTTTGAGGGGCAGAGAAAGGAGCCGCAAGAAGACACTTCCGGTTTCCGATTGAAGTTGGCCAGGCTGCCACGCAAAGGCTAGAGGTGAGTGGCATAAGCGGAGTCGCATAGAAACCGGAAGTGGGGAGTGCAACGAAGTTCTCTCGGGTTCTGCAAAGCCACGTTGCGCTTGACTCTTTGCTAGCATATGGTTTGCAAATATGTTTGCAAATAAACTGAGTTTTCAGTTTATTAAAATTTACCTTTCTGGCCAATTTTATCTCTGATGTTTTTTTTTTAACAGAATCCCCTTCTCGTTTTGTTATGTCAAAGAAACAGAAACAATCAAAGGCATTTTCACTATTATTTTCACTATTATTGGAAATAGTTATTTAAAGAGGCCCCTTCTATTAGAATTATCCTACACGTAGCCCTGGAACAGGGGTCTTCAAACTTGGCCCTTTGATGACTTGTGGACTTAAACTCCCAGAATTCCTCAGCCTGCATGCCCGGCTGAGGAATTCTGGGAGTTGAAGTCCACAAGTCATCAAAGGGCCAAGTTTGAAGACCCGTGCCCTGGACTTACGATTTGGGCAATTGAGCCCAAAATATATATTGCTGAGACAGCTGTCAAGTGACCTTTGCCCCACTTTTACGACCTGTCTTGCTGTTCGGTGAATCAAGCCAGGTGTGAAGTTAAAAATACGGTTGTAAAGTGAATTTGGCTTCCATTGATTTTGCTTGTCAGGCTACAAAAGGGATCACATCCGTGGATGGGGCAAATCGTAAATATGAGTCAATGACCAAGCATCTGAATTTTGATCACGTGACCACTGGGATGCTACAACGGTCATAAGTATGAAAAATGGTGATAAGTCACTTTTCAGTGTCATTATATAACCCTGAACAGTCACTACTTGTACAGTTGATAGGATGTACATTTAAAGGAAAGCTGCACACATGAGAGTTACAGTGGACAGTCCAAAAAAATTAATGAATCACTCACCAAACCAGCCCAGAATCCCCATTCAAGGTACAAAGGACCGAAATGATCACAGATAATAGACTGCCGTAGACTAACATGCCTCTCCTCCTATAGAGTTCAAATTACACCATGGACTCATATATTTTTTTAATGAAAATAGTTTATTGCACAAAACCTTTCAAGAATGTTTAGCGTATCTTAGATTTTTCTTAAATTAACATGCCCTGTTTCTTTAAAAGCACAATTATTAATCTTTAATCAAACACATCTAACTCTTCCTTTGGAACACTCATTCAAACATGTTATGAGGACGACATTTCTCCCCCCCCCCCCCATTAAATAGAATCAGACAAACATTTGCTGGGAACAAGAAAAATCTGAGAAAATGATATGCATAAGATGCTCTTTTTGGAAAGCGGAAAGAATACTCTGCGTGGCTAAGAATCTAAAATTTTTCCCGTCTCCGAGGGTAAGCATTCTGCATTTTCAAGCAAGGGGGAGAAAAGCACTACTTTAAAATAGGTCCTCATTATAAATGGGACCAGAAATCACTTTCTAAATTAAAGCAACTTTCTACTTTTATTACGTATCTGTCACTCGAAAAGTCAGTGATATAATTTGGTTTGTAAAGATGATACCTGGCATCAGTGCTCGCTTGCTACTTAGTACAGCTGCTTATCCAAAAAATTTTTTTACAATTTTGATATAGAGAAGAACCAGTTTTCCCAAACTCTGGTTCTCTCTAAAAAATATTTTTCTTTCAAGAATAATTGTTTTTCCCTGTTAGAATGAGACAACCACTGCTGGACTGGAGAATGAAATTGACGATGCAGAAGGAAAAGTTCACAGAGTACAAAAATCGCCAAATAATTCATTGTAAGGTGAACTAACATTCACCATATGGTTTGCACTGCAGAAAATTGCTGTGAACACTGACAGGTTTAAGCCTTCAGAGCAATCCTCTGCTAAGATACAGAAAAACACTGAAAACCGTCACATCTAGCTGTTACCTTCCAGGGATGAATAAACAGACATTTTAAAAAAAAATGCAGTAACCATAAAGGCTCCATTATTTATTTTGAATAGTTTTTAAAAACAAAACAAAACAAAAACATGCCCAAAGGGACCAGCCTGACTCACTTATAGATCTTGACTCGTCTGAAAGTACAGCCAGAGAACGCTCCACAAGCCTGGTTCCTTGAAGCATGAATTAAATGACAGCACTTTTTAAAAATATGACAGTGTTTTCGGAGAGGAAATTTGCTGGGTCAGAGATTCCCAGACTTAAACGACCCACTTTCTTCCTAGTCAAAATGACAAGTCACGGGAAATATAAATAAAATGGTCTGGAAAAGGGAAACGGGAGAAATGGATTTTTTTCATTTAGTAAAAATACAACAATGGGGTTTTCTCCCTGTTCTTGTCCTTTCACCTCCCCCAAATTGTTGAAGGAATACAAAAAAATAATAATAATCTGATTTTTATACTATGTACATTGCATTCAGCTGTGACTATTGATAAGCCGCTCAGAAAAACCTACATGGGTAAATCAAACACTGTGAAACGCAAACAGTTAAGTGGAACAGCAAATTTGGGAAGTGATCACATATATATGTATATTATTCATTATGTAATATTAACTTTGGTGCTTAAATACTAAAGTATTTCTTGCTTACATTAGTGGATACATAAGCTTCACAGATATGAGCAGCAAAAAAACCATTGCTATTTTACTGTATAAAACCAACTTTATAATAAAAGTTACCACCTATCTAAATTGACCCATAAAGCCTTCAAGATGGTATCTTGATATTAGTGGGTTAGTCTTATCAAATAGTTAAGCATAACTGAGATACCTTCCCCTCAAATTTAAAAAGCTTTCCATTTAAAGAGAACCTTTCCTTCATGTATTAGATGGGGGGGGGACCCAAAAATGCTTCACAGAACTTTTAGAATCATCGTTCAGAATAATAAAGATACTGAAAAATCAGGTTGGGGGAAAAAAAAGAGTTGAACAATCAAAGTGTCCATTTAAAGTCTGTTTTGAAGAAAGAAAGAAAAAGCAGAATACCTAGAGAAAAAATGTCTTGGCTTTAACAGGAAAATCAGAGTGACATTTCTACAAATATTGGGAAAAATAATCCTTCCGCATTCAATCAATCCATACCGCTCAAAGTTGGGGGGCTTTCTTTGGTCAGAAATTTAATTTGTAGATTGGGTCCATCTGTTACTCCTGCTTCGAAATTCCCTTCATCAGGTTTAACAGAGTTTAATAATCCATGAAGTTGTCTAAACATTAGACTTCGGTTTAGCCCTGGGACCCAGTTTTCCTTCACTGAATTTCCTTTATATCCACTTTGTTCTCCAAGCATTATTTACCTTCTTGTTTTCTTCATGTGAGGTCTCCCGCCATGACAGTTAAATGCTGTGATCATCTTCAGTTAGGATGCAGCTCATTAAAGATTCAAAGTCCTCAATCAGGTCCATAAAATAGTCTCACCAAGAATTAGGTGATGGAGGACATTAGATTGATGGCATTTTGTGCAGCTCATTAAAGATTCAAAGTCCTCAATCAGGTCCATAAAATAGTCTCAACCAGAATTAGGTGATGGAGGACATTAGATTGATGGCATTTTGGGGGGGCAATCTAATATGCTCCCTTAATGTGATGTGCATGAAGACAGGATGAGACCCATAATTGCAGATTTCACAACTGTCTTGTATGGGACTCCGTCGCCTGATTCTACACCCCAAGCACCCATAACTTTCAGCCAAGATCACAATATCTCCTACATTTTTGTCCTCCAATTCACTCTTCCTTTTATTTCCTAACGTTATCCTACAGTGCAATTTGGCCAGGTTAAAATCCTGTGCTTCATTCAACCCACAGCATGAAAAGTACACAGCTCTGAGCTGTCAGTTGCTGAGAAACAATTAAAAAAGGCTATTGTTTCAACCGATTAATTATAAATGAAGATGCATTTGCAAAAAAATAATAATTCTGGCTTCTGGTTAAGTCTCGGGAGGAAAAAAAAATGGGGTAGGGGATGGAATTAAAGCTAAGAAAGTAGGATTTGATAGGCAGAATAGAACAGTTCTCTCTGAAAAGATACAAAATGTGAATTAATTATCTAAAAAGCTCTGGTTTTCGCCCGTAACGACATGTTTTGCAAGACACCAACACTTAACAAGTCACCTTAGTTAAGACAAAAATAAAAACCGACCCAAGTTATTTGCCATCTACAGAAGAATCCATATATATAAAAGATGCTCCAGAACAGAGCAACGTCTCACACACACACAACTCTGCACTGCAGATGTCTGCAAAGACCAACAACAAAAATTGTGCAAACCGCATCTGTCAGGAGAGGAATCCAAATAGTTTACTGGAAAATCATTTTCTTGGGAGCCAAATCAATTGGTGCCATCGGAGATGGCTTCACTGGTTTTGAGATGAGCAATTTAGTTGCTTTGCTTTGCTGGAACACGGATCAAAGACGTGATAACAAAAATACTGGATTTTGCCAAAGTATCCATGAACGGTCCTGGAATTCCCAAGCCTGAAGCGGACCAAAACCGTCACCAAACCAGTTTAGCAAATTTTAAAAAGTGGAAACTAAAAGGGACCCTGTTTTATCTTCTCTCTGCGGCCATCCTAATTCGAATACTTCGTTCTCAAAGGCTTTAATACAGCAAACCTTGAGGTCCTTTGCCTCTGCTCCAGCCCCCCCCCCCATCTCTACTTCTGCGCAAGCAGGACGAACAAAGGTCTGATCAAGCCACAGCTTTCCATTCTTTTCTCCCTCTTCACTAACACGAACCGTAGACTAAGGACTCTAAAATGTTTAAGAACAAAATATAAATAGGGTTTTGATAAATACTTTTTTTAAAAAAACAAACGAACAACAATCACACTTAAAGCAGTTCTGATGGACATCCGTGGGCCTTGGTGGAATCACTGGGTCAACTCTTCCTTGATGTCCGTGCTTGGCTTTTGATCCTGGAGGCCTCTGTGAGGAAGATTCTCATTGGCTAATACAGTTACAGAGAGATTAGTACTAAGGTCCGTTAACTGGCCTTCGATCTGTGTCCAGGAAGACATCGATTCGTGGACCGTTACGGTGTGCTCTTCCATTTGACGTTGCAGGCTGTCCATCTCTTGCCTTTGAGAAGAGCAGAAACACGGAAGAGAAACAGAACGACTGTTTAGAGCAGTGGTGGCCCAGTGGTTAGAATGCCCACAGCCTGGAGTTTGATCCTGATCGGCTCAAGGTTGACTCAACCTTAGCAAAAGCACTTAGACTTATATACCATCCCATAGTGCTTTGCAGCCCTGTCTAAGCAGTTTACAGAGTCAGCATCTTGCCCCCCAACAATCCGGGTCCTCATTTTACTGACCACAGAAGGATGGAAGGCTGAGTCAACCCTGAGCCGGTTAGGATCGAATTCCTGGCTGTGGGCAGAGTTGGCCTACAGTACTGCATTTTAACCACTGCGTCACCATAGTAGAGTAGAGTAGAGTAGAGTAGAGTAGAGTAGAGTAGAGTAGAATAGAATAGAATAGAATAGAATAGAACAGAACAATGGAATGGAACAGAATAATAGAACAGAACAGAACAGCAATGGCACTTAAGACTTATATATCACTTCACATTGCTTTATAGCCCACTCTAAACACTTTGTACAGTTACCAAATTGCCCCCAACAATCTGGGTCCTCATTTTATCAACCTCAGAAGGATGGAAGTCCGAGTCCACCTTGAGCTGATGAGAATAGGAGTTGAAAAAGACAGAAAAACGTGACTCACCGGAGTTGCTGGAGGCAGCTGTTGAGGTTCCTCAGTGGCTCTTTACTCACAGCTGATGGGGGTTTCAGTAGCTCTTCTAGCAAAGCAGCAGGGACGGGACAATCAGGGACCTTCACTGGCGTCACCGGATTTGAGCTGGTCTCTCCCTTGAGTTTTTTCTTTTCAAAAGAAAACAAAAGCCCATGAACCACCAACTTACAGTGGTGGTTCAGGTTTGCAGTTAACAGTGGAGAACTTAGAAGTCTTACGCCTCCAAGATCCAGACACCCCAATACATCTAATCCTTGACTTACAACAGTTTATTTAGTTGCTGTTTGAAGTTACAACATCACTGGAAAAAGTGACTTATTGTGACCGTTTTTCACAGTTACGATCACTGCAGCACTTCCATAGTCGTGTGACCAAAATTCAGAGGCTTGTCAACTGACTCATATTTATGACCAGGCTTGGGATCAAGGCTGGCGAGACAGCTGTGGTGTAAAAACGGAGGAATAATCCACGTTTTCTCAAGGTACCTTTTTCATTTTTCCCTGTTTCAAATCCAGCTTCAGCTGTTGGTTCTGTTGGAGCAGGGTCTTGATGCTGTTCTTCAGTTCAGACATTTTTGCCTGCAACGTGAACTTATCTTTCTGGGTGAGGGACAAATCGTCCCGGACCATCTCCAATTCCATCTTGAGGTTCTAGAAGGAAGAATGGTTTAGCCAGGGAACAGTAAGCAATGATCATCGCAGAAAAATAAGTCTAATTCGAGCACAAGTTTATCCTGTCTACTCAGAAAAAAACTGGCCGAGCTCACGTCCTTGTATTAAGGCAGTATTTGAGTCCACCAGGATGGGTTGACGACATCACAGTGGGGTCTACCCAACACACCGAGCAATAAGCAGTCGTTTTTAAATTACGATAACTGGCTTCACACAATACAGTGAACCCAAGGCCAGATAAACTACGTCTTAGCTCAGTGTGATGTGTGAACCTTCACTGCCAGAGAGAGTGATTCTAGAATAGCAGCCTTAGTTAAGTCTGAAGCAGAATCTGAATTCAGGCCTGGAACATCTCTGATCTTATTTTTATTCGCTCGGAATCCTATTTGGCCTCTAATTCTCTCAGAATGACCTGCCCAGGAGGGGAAACATCTGTAGGACCAAGTGGAAATACCTGGAGGACTAGCTGCACGCCTTCCAGCTCCTTCTGACTGCGCTGCTCAGTCAAATCCAGCTGTTGCTTCAGAGCTTGGAACTCCCTCTCTTTCTGCTCAACCTCCCATCTGAGGTCTTCCAGCTGCAAGAACAAAACAGGCAACTCAAAATCACGGCATGCTTCCTTTCTTACAGCCCCAGGGGTCAGTAGTCTTCCATTTAGTGCCAACCAAAGTACATTTCAAAGGGAGCTAGCCTTTGCACTCAATCATCCACTAAGGAACCTCAAGGAAGAACGTTCAAGAATTTGAACTATCCGTCTACCAATCCTGGCTCAAAAGCCATGAAGGCCCTTTCTCTCTGAGAAGTCATTTCAAGATGTGGTAGAATGCGGTCTGGATTCCCAGCAGGGAGGGGACTGCATTCCAGAGGGCCAAGAGACAGTGAAGTTTAGATAGTTTGGTTGAGAGGCAGAGAGGCAGAGGGCCAACATAGCTCATTTGTAGAAGTTCTCAGAGTATATCTTTCATGATGTAAGTAGTTTGCTTGAGTTTGGCAAGATTCAGTCTACAGGCGAGGAACAATAAAGGACATTGTTTAGAAGTAACTCTGCGTCTCTTTCTCAGCTTTTGGAGCCTGACACAAACTTTGGGAGTGCCAACAGAGCCAGGAGGCAAGCTCTGTGGCAGTCAGAGCTATAATTTTATTACATATATATGGGGCAGCACAAATAGACCCCTACATTCAGTTTCCAGGTACTGATGGACTATAATAGAACAATGCAAACAAAACGCTTAGCAATTCTTTTGTCTTTTCCCCACCCCGGTTAAAAAATCCAATCTTTACGCTTAAAAGGGAACATTTAACAATTACAGGCTGCCCTTCTTCTACTATTTTGGTTTTTCCAGCTCTGATACGCCTTTTCAGAATACACTGAACATTTCCAAAGCAGCTGCACAATGGATTCTTCACCGATTCGGAACAATTTTTTTCCCCCCTTCCATCCAATTTCCTTTTCACAGATGATGGTCTTCTCCTACTGTGTTCCTTCAGGGTTTTTCTACTAAGCCACAAAGGCACATCCAGGAGAAAAAGAACGGCCAAAGACCAAGATTTCACCTCTTGATTTTCCGCGGGCTGCTTGCCAAGCTGGTCGTCCAGCTGCTTCTGCAAAAGCTGAAGCTGGGACCGAGCGTCTACAAGGTCTCGCTGGATCTGAGAGACTTCCTCGGAGCGCGCTCCGTCTTCTGCCCTAGAATAGAGAGAGAGTGTGTCCAGGTTGACTCGTAACGCACCTGTCATGGTTCCGAAAGATGAAACTCTTCAGAGAACTTTGAGGCATTGTTTACCTTAAATAATCTTTAATTGAGCAGCAGAGCTTCAGCACCTACATAATTGAAAGCCAGAATCTGACTTCCCCTCCCTTCAGCATATAGATCAAAGCCCAATTCCCTCCCACAACTAGCAGCCGTAAATCACATTCTCCAATTAGTTTGAAGTGCTGGGAGGGAGGTGAGAAATTTACGTGAGCCGTTTCCGGCCTGAGAAAAGCTCAAGACTGGATTGGTGGACAAGGTACAAGGGGTGGGCTCAAATGGGGAAAAGGGGAAATTAATTACGCTGTTTTTCGAGCAAAAACCTCAAGAGCCAGCTCCGCTTCTTCTGTGCCCTGTATGGATCTCTCAGTGAAGTTATACTCTTGGTAAAAATAATGTCCCCGGAGTTTCTTTTGGGACGGTTGACAGAGGCTCAAATCATCTTGAGAAGGCCAACGCCCTCAGAAACTACAGACCAACAGCATTATTGAAGGAGGACTACAGGTGATCCCGATTTATGACCACAATTGAGCCCAAAATTTATGTTGCTACATGAGACACAGGTCTCAAGTCACAGTTAGCACCTGCTAGAAGTTAGATATGGGTCAATGGCACTCAAGAAGGGATTGGACTTAATTCGCTTGTGGCTACATAGGGATTCCAGGCTGGAACCTCTTTTGACTCCGCCCGCCCAGGGTTCCGCCAGTCCTTCTCTAGGTGGCCTCTCTAGCTCATTGTCCCAGGTACACAAGGTTCCCTCTCCTCATTTGCACAGTTCGCACACGACTAAGGCAGCCAACCCCTACGGCCTTAGCAACATCAGTATTTCCTTTGGGCTTAAACACTCACTGCAACTTGTCGACTTCAGCCTGGAGGGCCTGGATGAGAACCTCTTTCCCTTGCAGCTCTCGCTTGACCTCGCCAAGTTCCAGGGCGGCAGCTTTGTAATGCCGACGGTTGTGTGCCGACTCCGCTTTTGACGTTGTAACCTGTCACAGTACGTTGCATCATTACTACACCGGCAACATGTAGCCTTTATCCTACAGATGTGTCAGGCTTCAGCTCCCACACCAGAAGATTACAGCTGTGTTGGCTCGGAATTCTGGGAGCCGGTCCAACTCATTTGTAGGATGATGAGGGCGGACTTCTAAAAGAGATGTTGCTTAGGAAATGGCCAGATAAGAGACAGCATGGCTCTTAGTTGCATAATGGGTGGAGCAAAAGACTGAGAAGGGATCCACCTTAAGTTTCTCAGGCTGTAAAGGAGACGGTGGGAGAATTGTACTTTCAAACTTGCTAAGATTCTGTCAAGGTAGCTTTACAATAAAGTAGAATTAGTTTATTAGGTTTATCTGGTCTACCTGGTTAGGCTGGCGGGAAGTCAGATGTATCTAAACCTGCTTCTTTCCTCCTCTCATGGGAACACCGCATTCCCAAGTCTTAAATTCTGGCAATATTCACTGTAATTCTGGGCCAAGTTGCTCAGTACACAGTATACAATCTTGACCTCCTGCCCTGCCCAAGCCCGCCAAGAGCCCTTAACCAAGTTCTGAACACTTTCAGCCAGGACTGTACCTGTTCCTTAAGGCTTAGGACATTTGCTCTCTCTTTCTCCAAAGCCATTTGCAAAGTCTGGATCAGCTGCTTCATCTTTTGATCTTCCTCCTCCTTACTCCTCAGGACTGCCTGGACCTGAACAGATCACCACACAGAGAATGCACCATCTGCTTCTGCATTGATTTATGACTTTAATTAGTGCGCAGGACAAAGAACCTGCCTTGGCACTGGAGATTTGCTGGATGAGAGTCAGGAGAGCTGCAGTCGAAAGGGATGTGTCTCAACCTTGGTGAGGTTAAGATGCACGGACTTCGATCCGTGGTCGGCTGGGGATTTCTGGGAGTTGAAGTCCACACATCTTAACCTTGCCACGGTTGAGAAGCACCGATCTAAAACCTCTGGAAACCATCCACTGGGGTAGCTGCAGTAGGAGATCAGATGGAGCCACGATCAGATTAAGAACGCAGCACCTCAGGATACAGATAGTCCTCGGCTTACAGCAGTTTGTTTAGTAACCGTTCAAAGCTACAACGGCCCCGGAAAAAATGACTTAGGACCGTTCTTCACACTTACGACCGTTGCAGTAGCTCAGTGGTCATGTGATCAAAATTCAGACACTTGGCAAGTGGCTCGCGCTTATGACGGTCGCAGGGTCGCGGAGTCATGCAGTCCTCTTTTGCGACCGTCTTGACCAGCCAAATCCACAGGGGAAGCCAGATTCACTTAACAACTAACTTGCTACTAAGTTCACAGCTGCGGTGATTTGCTTAATAACTGGGCAAGAAAGGTCGTAAAATGGGGCAAAGCTCACTCAACAAAAGTCTCGCCTAGCAACAGAAATTCTGGGATCGTGGTTGTAAGTCAAGGGCTACCTGTACTTTCTTATAACCATCACGGACCTAGGAATGGTCTAGCATGGGGAGGAGTAGACTGGGGGGGGGGAGGAGGAGTAGAAGGACAAGGGCGAGGAGGAGAAGAAAGAGAAGGAGGAGGAGGAAGAGAAGGAAAAAGAGGAGAAGGAAGAAAGAGAAGGAGGAGAAGGAGAAAGAGGAGAAAGAGAAGGAGGAGGAGGAAAAGGAGGAGCAGAGCAAGAGGAGAAAGATAAGGAAAAAGAGGAGGAGAAGTAGGAGCAGAAGGAAAAGGAGAACGAAAGAGGAGGAGAAAGAGGAGAAGGAAAAGGAAAAAGAGAAGGAGGAGAAGGGCAGAGGGAGGAGGAGGAGGAAAAAATTACCTGAAGATTCAGCTGCACCAAATCTGCCTCTCTCTTGGCCAGAGCGGCTTCGAGGATGCGGTTGTGCTCGCGCAGAGCTGCGTTGGACTGGCCAAGGCCAGTGAGCTTTCCACGCTCGTGTTCCAGTTCGAGGGAGAGCTTCTTGTTGGCATCTTCCAGGCGTTTGATCTTCCTCCCGAAGCCTCTGGCTTCTTGAAGCTGTGTGGCCACACAAACCATTTTTCCCCCCATTAAAGACCCTGCACTGCATCTTCAAAAAGGAAAAAAAAATAAAATACTGACCTCTTTCCCTTAGCCATTACCTCGTCTTCCAGCTCCAGGACTTTCTCTCGGTATTCTTCCAGTTCCTGGCTGGTGAGAGAGATGACTTCTTGAAGCTCCTTCTCCAGGACCATCTTACTGTGGCTCAGAGACTGCACTTCTGCCTCCAGCACCCGGATCCTCTCCTGTAAGGTCAAAAGCCACATCTGGGTTAGTGTCCCTGCTAGAACGAGGGTGGAGATCTTAGAAGATAAAGGGAGTGAGGTTGACTTACTAGGCTGGCTTGGTTGCTTTCACTCTCGGAGATCTGCGCCTTGAGTTCATTCAGTTCCGCTTCAGACGACTCCTTGGCCGCAAGCGCCTCCTGCAGCCGCCGACTAAGGACCCCCACGGCATTCTCGTAAGCTTTGTGCTTGGCTTTTATCTCCTTCTGGGCTGTGTTCAGATCGGAACCCAGCCTCTTCATTTTCTGCTTCTGTTCGGTAATGGCCCTGCGCGGGGAACCAAACAGAAAACAACAGCCGGTCAGCCACGGAGCAGGCTGGCTTGCCTGGTGGATGCTAGTTGACAAGCATCGAACCCGCGTTTGAGACCCTGAGTGTTGCCGTGGGATGGGGTAAGCTCCTGTCCATGGCTCCAGCTCCTGCCAGGAACGTGAAAGGAGCCGGCTAATCCTTTCAATCCGGGGGTCAATGCTGCTAACATTGGATGTTCTTGCTTTGACAACAGATGGAGATGTAGCCTTTTCCTTTCTTATACTGCACTTAGAATTAGATGATACTGGGGGAGAGGGAGGAATGTGATGGGAGTTAGTTAGACATACAATACGGTAACAAGAGCTGATAAAGCATGGCGGGATGACCAACTGGGCAGGAAGCCAGCATTTCAAACTAATTGGAGAATGTGATTTATGATGGCTAGTTGTAGGAGGGAATTGTGCTTTGATCTATGTGCTGAAGGGAGGGGAAGTCAGAATTTGGCTTCAGCTATGTACCTACCGAAGCTATGCTGCTGGATTAAAGATTCTTTAAGGTAAACAATGCCTCACTTTCGGAACCAGGACTTCTAACACGAGTGTCAGTTTCACACCTCAAAATTTCTCAAAACATCATACCGGCATCACATTGGCTGGCTGAGGGTGGAGGGAGGGGACTGGCCATGGGGAGGGGAGGAGAGCTTGGGGGTTGAAAGGAAGAGCTTTGTATTTTACACGGGAACACCAGATTCCACCTGACTTTGCTGCAACTGTTTCTTTCAGTAAAAGTTCCTTTAGTTCAGGTAAATGGAGTCACCGGTGTTCAAGTAGAGGACCACCGGTGGCCCTTGGTTAACAATGGTGCTTGGGACAGGGAACTCTGCCAATAAGTGGCAAGGTTGTAAAGCGCAAAGTCACAATAGCACGCCAACCTATGAGGGCGTGCCCAACGTACAAGTCTTAACGGCAGAATCCCACAATATTATCTGACGTGCCTCATTTTGCCCACAGGGGAATAGACTACTTAAGAAGCGGATACAGGTAATGTGTTAGATTCAGCCAAACGAAGGCGAGCCACACTCACATCTTTGTTTCTTGTTGCATTGCGTCGACTTGTCTTTGTAAGTCTTCGTTTACTTTGACAAGAGCCGACATCTCTCCTCGGTCAAACCGCAAAGACTGGGAAATTTGGAGAAAGCAGCCAAGAAAAATTGATTAAACAAAGTATACATTTGATTTTACATGTGATAACAGCGGCAAGAATCATATTTGCACAATATTGGAAAAAGGAAGAATTGCCATTGGAGTAGACATACCCAATTCCTGCAACCGTTCCTTATATATTTTAACCTCCAATCCCTTAATCATCTTTGCTGCTCTTCTCTGTACTCTTTCTAGAGTCTCAACATCTTTTTTACACCGTGGTGACCAAAACTGGATGCATATTCCAAGTGTGGCCTTACCAAGGCCTTGTAAAGTGGTATTAACACTTCACGTGATCTTGATTCTATCCCTCTGTTAATGCAGCCTAGCAATGTGTTGGCATTCATTCATTCTTTCATTCATTCATTGTATTTATTTTTTAAATCTAAATTTCTTTCCCACCTGTAGCTCTGTCTCCATGTCATTCCGTTCTTTCTGGGCCACCTGAAGCTGGCTCTCCAGCTCCTCCATCTGCTGCCGAATCTGCACCAGCTCCTTCACTAGCTTGGAATTCTCCACCTCCATGGTTTTCTTCTCGCTCTGAAGCTGAAGGAATTCCTGCTTCAACTCTTTGATTTCCGCATCCAGCTTCTTCTTGGTGGCCTTCAGTTCACTGATCAGCTGATCTTTGGAAAGCGCGTCTCGGCGGTAGGCTTCCACCATCACCTGTGTGTCGGGGACAAAACAGAATTGTTTTATAGAAAATATACAAGGACGGCGTCTATAAATGAACAACACTCTTAGCTACAGAAATGTAACAAATCTTGAGAAAACCATAACCGACAAAGATATTCCGAATATTGACGGGAAATTAAACTTAAATAAGAACACGGAAAACAGGAGACTGATTTAATTAGGGAGGTTTTAATTGCAAGTACATTTGAAATATAAACTGGTTAGAAAAGAGGTTATAAACGGATATTACTGTTATTTATATCACACTAGAAAATGTGACGAGGATGTTTATATTCAATTTTGTATGTATTAATATTAAATTCCGACAAGCAAAGTCAAGGGGAGAAGCCGGATTTGTTGGGTTCACTTAACAACGGTATTCAGCAACTGAGGGGAAAAAAGATGGCAGAATCAGGCATCTGAACAACTGCCTTGCTTAGTGACGGAAACGGTCCCAATAGCAGTTTTAAATTGAGGACTACCTGTATTATTTTGGGTGCTTTATTTGACAGTGGCTGGTTAAGGGGCAAAATGTGGATAAACGCTTCCTTTTTCCAGTTTCTCCAAAGCGAGAAAATTTAGAAAAAGAAGATAAGATAACCTTTATTGTCATTTTTTTTTTTTACTGTGGGCACAATGGCACACATCAAAAAATGAAATGGAGTTGCCCGCTCTCAAAGTGAAACACATACATAACACACACCTAAAACATACAATATACAACATATGTATAGACCCACACCCCTAAATACTACGCACATACGACGCACCTTCTGTTGAAGATACTGTTCCTTCACTTTCTGACTTTGCTTCTTCAGATTTGCACTCTCCTGCTGCAGGTTCTCCACCTACCAGGAAGAAAATGAAAAGAAGCACTGGATAAGAACGAAAGAAGAAAAATGCAAGCTCTCCTGCAGAATCGTGAAGCAAGAGTCAAGCTAGGAGACCAACGTCTTAATTTCCATCACTCTAACCCAGGAGTAGGCAACCTTGGCTCTTTTATGACTCATGGACTTCAATTCCCAGAATTCCTGAGCCAGCTTGAAAACTCTCCCATTCCCCTCAGCATGGCTTCACAGGGCTTTACAGCCCTCTCTAAGCAGTTTACAGAGTCACCCTTTTGCCCCCCCAACAATCTGGGTCCTCATTTTACCGACCTCGGAAGGATAGAAGGCTGAGTCAACCTTCAGCTGGTCAGGATCGAACTGCTTGCAGTCGGCAGAGTTAGCCTGCAATACTGCATTCTAACCACCACTCCACCAGGGCCCTTAACAGCTCTTAATAGCTAAGAACAGAAAAAGGTATGGCCAAATGCAGATTACCTGACTTGATTTGATGGCTATTTCTTGCTTGAGCTGCTCCAAAACATCTGAGGCCACCTCAGCGTGGCCTCCTAACTGCTGGATGTCCTCTTCAAGTCCTTGCTGTCCCGTCTTTGCTACCTGCAGGGCGACTTCTAAAACGATCTTCTCGTTCTGCAAATAGCGGAGGGCGTCGTCCTTCGAGGCAGCCTCTCCTTGCAGCTCAGCTAACCTGGCCTCCAGTTCGTCATAGCGCACCTGAAGCTCGCCCAAGGTTTGGTCTCGGGTCTGTAATGTCTCTTGGGCAGAGGTCAACTGTTTCATCAGATCCAGCTGTTCCTGCTGCAGGCTTTCCACCTGTAAGTCTCGCTGTTGAAGCGTTAATTTGACCTGGGTCAAGAACACAAAGAGGTTCACCATCACCGTGATCTCCTCTCAAGGTAAAAGAAGGCATCCTTCTACCTGGCCTGAACTCCTAACTCAAGACATCCCAAAGGTGCTTTTTCAAGAGGTAACTGGACTTTCTTGTTATTCTTTGAAGACGTTTTGCTTCTCATCCAAGAAGCTTCTTCAGCGCTGAAGAAGCTTCTTGGATGAGAAGCGAAACGTCTTCAAAGAATAAGAAGGAAGTCCAAGTTGCCTCTTTGAAAAGCAGCTTTGGGACAACCATGACCTGCAGGACGGAGAACCTCCACAGACTCTTAACTCAAGAGTTGTCAGGTTCCAAAACACCAATAAAGGCAGATAACGATTCTTCCAAGCAGAACGTTGCTGTTGTTCCTCACCCACTGAGAGAATCTTGCAAAAGTTAAAGCAAACGGCCATCTCCATAAGCATATGCTCCGGGAACTATTAGGGAGGAACCGTCTTCACCCTCTTTCTCAGACACAAACTATCCTCTTCCTCCTGGGAATCCAGACTAAATTCCACCCCAGGAACCCACCGCAACCTTTACCCGAGAACACCACATTTGTGGCTGCCATGCAACGTGCAAAACGTTCGTACCTTTTCCAGCTCCTGCTCCAATCCTGCTGCCGAATCAGCCATCTTCTGAAGTTGTTCTTTCTCTTCCTCAAACTCCTCCAGTTTCCTCTGCAAATCATCTTCTACCATGCTCTTAGCCTCCTGGATCTGCAGGAAGGCCGCTTCCTGGTCTAACATGTCAGCCTGTGCAGAGGCATCAGAAGTTGTTAGAAGTGTGGCAACAGCTGCCAAGGCGAAGCTAAGAAATGGGAACGGCATGCGTGAAGTTAACAGCACCTTGCCGTTGGATCCAAACGAGAGGCCTATGCTTCACAGGACGCCAATATAAAAATCACTGCATTTACCTGTATACAGGTAGTCCTCGACCTTCCACCCTTTGTCTAGCAACTGTTAGATGTTACAACGGTGGCCAAATCAGGTGCAACTCATTTAACAAAAACCTTGCTTAGCGATAAGAAATTCTAGTCCTGACTGTGGTCGTACGTTTGAGGACTACCTGTAACTGAATCCACGCAAGATTGGTTCGGTTTTTGCATTTATCCATGTATGGACATACTGACAGATTTTATCTTCCTGGGCTCCAAGATCACTGCAGATGGGGACTGCAGCCAAGAAATTAAAAGACGCTTGCCCCTGGGGAGGAAAGCTATGGCAAATCTAGACAGCATACTAAAAAACAGAGACATCACCCTGCCAACAAAAGTGCATATAGTCAAGGCCATGGTTTTCCCAGTGGCAATGTATGGCTGTGAAAGCTGGACCATAAGAAAGGCCGAGCGCCAAAGAATGGAGGCCTTTGAACTCTGGTGCTGGAGAAGACTCCTGCAAGTCCCCTGGACTGCAAGGCGATCAAACTGGTCAGTCCTAGAGGAGATCAACCTCGAGTGCTCTTTAGAAGGCCAGATCCTGAAGTTGGCCAATTAATGAGAAGGAAGGACTCACTGGAGAAGAGCCTGAGGCTGGGAAAGATGGAGGGCAACAGAAGAAGGGGACGACAGAGAAGGAGGTGACTGGATGGAGTCCCTGAAGCAGGAGGCGTGAGCTTAAATGGACTCCAGAAGATGGTAGAGGACAGGAAGGCCTGGAGGAACGTTGTTCATGGGGTCGCGATGGGTGGGACACGACTGCAATTAACAACATGTGGACAAAAGAGCTTCTGGTTTTCAGTTTTTGAAAAATAATTGAGCAGCGGGGGTGAACCAGAACTCCTTCAGATGTTCAGGACCATCAGTCAGCCTGGCGGCAAAGGCCAGAAATAGCGTTTCAGAACTTTGGGTAGGCATCAGAGTGCGTGCAGAGAGAAGATACAGAGATGGACATTCGTGAATAGCGATTCCTTGTTCCTTTTTACAAGCTTGGCAATCAAATATTCAAAAAATCTGACGTCTTTACCTCAATATTTTGCAGCTGTGCAGCTATGCGTTCCTTCTCTTTGATCGATCTATGCTGAGTCTCTGTTAATTGATGAGACAGGGTTACATTCTCTAACTTCAGATGCTCCAGCAGACCAACTTGGGTCATGTGTCCGGCCTTGGAAAAAAAGGTGGAAGGAGAGAAAGGGCTGCATTAAAGAGACACATGAAGAAATGGAATCCAAGCTATTAGGGCTGTAGTTTATGGCCTGCTTTAGATTGAAAGGCGATTTTGCTTGTAACTGTGCACCCGACGCACTTACACAGAGACGCAAAGAGTCCATTTATTGCCGATTGGTGCTTCTCTCAGTTAACCGTCGTGCGTTTTTATATCATGGGGAGTTGCCCAGAGTTAGTTGCCTAGGGCTGCCATTGTGAGATGGATGGAGGGAGAGCCATATAAACCAATTAAATAAACGAACAAGGGGGAATAAGAATAGCCTTCACTATCATGGCCTTGGAAGACTCTACAACTGGTTTGCTCAGAGTCAAACATATTCCAAAACACATTTTCCCGTACCAACAAAGCGTAGCCACAGACGCAAGTCTATTAATTTCTACTTAATTTTGTTGTGAGTTACACAATGACAATAAAGATATTCTATTCTTTATCCTATCCTATCCCCTATTCTATTCTATTCTATTCTATTCTGTAATCTCTCTTCTTTTCTGTAATTCTATTCTATTCTATTCTATTCTATTCTATTCTATTCTATTCTATTCTATCCTATCCATTCCACTCCATTCTTGTTTCTATTCTATTCCATTCCATTCTATTCCATTCCATTCCATATATTCTATTCTATTCTATTCTATTCTATTCTATTCTATTCTATTCTATTCTATTCTATTCTATTCTATTCTATTCCATTCCATTCCATTCCATTCCATTCCATTCCATTCCATTCCATTCTTCATCGTTTCTCTTCTCTTCTCTTTTCTCTTCTCTTCTCTAAAAATGATACCTGGGGATACATCGAGCTGAGTTATTTTATTGTTTCACACCTATAGACAGAATCTTGCCAGGCTGAACACTCAGCTATCTGCCTCTGCAATATACTGTTAGGGAGAGGCTGTTTTCTCCCTCTTTCTCTCACATATAATGTCCAGGCTGAATTGCCTCTTACTGCCCCGGAATTCACTCCCTCCTTCCTGGGGATCCTCCTCCTCCTCACTACATCCCATCACGTCTAGGGAAACCTGCAGAAAAGTGTTTCCCATTCAAGGCAGAACCGTCGCCTAGTTCAAGATCGCGTTCGGCCAATCGCCCATCAAAGCAATCGAATGAATGGCACGATAAGACTCCGTATATGAAAACGTGCTCCAGGTCCTGAATAGGAACGGGAAAGAAAGCCGTGCTTACCTTTACGTTGGCCATGTCGCTCTGCAGACGGATCCTTGCCTGCTGAGCCACCGCCAGCTGTTGTTGGTACCAGTGCCGAACTTTCTGCAGGGACGAGATCTCTGCCTGAGAGGACTTCAGCTTACCGGTCAAGGACGCGCGGTCCAGTTCGACCTGCTGAAGCTGACTTTGTAACGAGGAGAGTTGTTGCCGGAGATCGTGAACTAAAAGGGCGGATTAAAAAAAAAAATTAAATGAAGTAAGAGAAGGACCTTGGAGTCCTAGTGGACGATCACTGGACTGTGAGCCAGCAGTGTGCAGCAGCAGCCAAAAAAGCTAGTACAATCCTGGGTTGTATAAACAGAGGCATAGAATCAAGATCAGGTGAAGTACTAGTACCGCTTTACAAAGCCCTAGTCAGACCACACCTGGAATACTGCAGCCAGTTTTGGTCAGCATACCACAAAAAAGATGTTGAGAGTTTACAAAAAATTCAGAGAAGAGCAACTAAGATGATCAAAGGCCTGGAGGCTAAAACATACGAAGAACGGCTGCGGGACTTGAGGCTTTGTAAGATCCTCACGGAAGAACGGGTGGATTGAAGACGTTCAGCCTGGTTCTACTCACCCGTGCTATCCTTGCTAAGGACATTTTTCTGCAAGTCTTCCACCTTCCCCATCAGCCTCTGGTACTGTTCTTCTGCCAACTGCAGGTCATTATGAGAAGCCATCAAGCCTGCGTTCTTGGCCTCCAGCGTGGTCTGTAGCTCAGCCATGGCCCGTTCCAGTTCCCAGCAGGACTGCTTCAAGGTAGCCACTTCTGAATTCAGGGAGTCCTGCTTCTGCTGGCTAGTCTGTGAATGCTCCATGTGGGTTTGGAGTTTCATCTGGACCGCAGCCAGTTGGGCTTGCAATTCTGCTTTTTCTTTGAGGGCCTACACAAAGACAAAACCGGTTTCTAATTCTCTATCCGAGCAAGGCAGTAACAGAGGTGTTGAGCTGAGGTGGGGCCTTCAAAACTTCTATAATATCCTCCATTTTTGGGACACAGGAGCAGACATCTCCATGGAATTTTTTTACATATGGGTAGTAGTAGACATGGGTAACAACCATCCCAAACAGTCATCAATTTCACAAACCGTCCCATATTATTTTCACATTCACTGTCTAGACCCTAGAAAGAAAAGAGGCTGGACCACCATCTCCTGGAAATGCTTGTATTGAGATTCCTGCACCAGGAAGCAAACTGAACCCCCTGGCTTAACTGGCACCTTCCCAGTCTAAGATTCTACCATCTCAAGAAGTTTTGAGAACTGCAGCTAAGACTAGATCTATCAACAATAACCTGAAATGCCATCCTCCTTCCAGACACCCGATATATTCCATAACCCATCCTTAAACCTAGAGGAGCAGTGTAGAAGATCCTTTCGTACCTCATTGGCTTCCAATGACAGAGCCTCCAATTGTCCTTCAAGCCTCATCTTCTCTTTGAGGACTTGAAGCAGCTCATCGTGGGTCCCAGCGACTGAACTTTCCATGGATATGCTGGGGTGAAACAAAATAGAGGCACACTTTGTGAAGCTGTACCAATTACAAAAAAAACTATGTTGTTCCTTAGAGGATCAAACAAATGCAAGAGAAGAATCCAAGATGCCTATGGAGATTCTCCATCATCCAGGGCATGGTTGCCCCAAAGGTGCTTTTTCAAAAAGGCAATTGGACTTCCTTTCCTGAAAACAAAAAAGTTCCTTCCTTCCTTCAGTTCGGAACTGAAGAAGCTTCTTGGGTGAGAAAAACTGAAGAAGCTTCTTGGGTGAGAAGCACTGAAGAAGCTTCTTGGGTAAGAAAAACTGAAGAAGCTTCTTGGATGAGAAGAACTGAAGAAGCTTCATGGTGAGAAGAACTGAAGAAGCTTCTTGGGTGAGAAGAACTGAAGAAGCTTCTTGGATGAGAAGCAGAACATCTTCAAAGAAAAACATGTTCTCACCCATGAAGCTTCTTCAGTTCAGTTCAGTTCTCATCCAAGAAGCTTCTTCAGTTCAGAAATGAAAGAAGGAAAGAGCTTTCTTTGTTTCCAGGACAGACAAAGCCCAGTTGCCTTTTGAACAAGCACCTTTGGGACAAAAGTGTCCCAGCTGGAGCCTTCCGAGTTGGAGAAGATGGCGAAACACCTTTACCTGCTAGAAATACTGTCCCGCCGGCTTCTGGCTTCCCCATTGACCTCCTGCTCCTGAGCCCGATACTCTGTTGCCGCAGCCTGGAGGACCTCCCTGATGGAAGGAAACTGTCCAACAGCATCCAACGGGATCTTCTGCCCGTTGACGGTGAAGATCGTACCCTGCTGGCTTTTGGGGCTCGAGGAAGTGGGGCCTCTTCCTGACACACTGCTGTAGGTCGAGCTGTCGCTTTCGTTGCCGTCCAGCCTCATTCCTGCTTCGCTGCCGTCCATTTCCGACAGGCTGTCTCCCGCCAAGGACGAAGCTTCCAGGCGGTCATCTGAATCGGGGGTCAGACTGACGGAAGATACAACTGAGGTCAGACTGTTTGAGTTGGCTTTCAGCGATCCGCCCCATGAATCGGCCACCGGGATGGTCCCACCAGTGCTGCCGTCGGGGTTTTCCGTTCGATAATCTGCCAGAGAACGAATCCGGCTTGTTTTGGAAGATTTGGAACTTTTTTTCTCTTTCGAGGAAGCTGGGAGGCCCAAGCTCCCCACTTTCGGTCCTCGCGGGATGCTGGTTCTCAAAAAGGAATATTCTTTGGTCATCGCCACGGGGCTGGCCCTTGGTAAGAGCTCCGGATGCAACATCAGCTCGGGATCCAGGGTGCTGGAGAGGCGGCTCTTAGCTGTAAACAGCTGGAGTGAAAGAGGGAAGGCAGGAAAGGAAGAACAGGAAGGGGGGAAAATGGAAAAGTAAGCATAGTAGTAGTAAATAATAAAATAATAAAACAATAATAATAAAATATAATAACAAACAATAAACAACAATAATAAATTGCTCTGGGACTTCAGAGTTCAAACAGACAAGCACCTGCCACATAACACCCCGGATTTAACAACTGTCGATAAGAAAGACAAAAAAGTCTGGATAGTGGACGTGGCAGTGCCTGGAGACAACAGAATAGACGAGAAAGAACTGGAGAAGATAACAAAATACAAAGACCTTCAAATAGAAAGACTGTGGCAAAAGCAAGCAAGGGTAGTACCAATAGTATTAGGCGCCTTGGGTGCAATCCCAAAACAGCTGGAGTATCACCTGGATACCATTGACATTGACAACTTCGCCACTGGTCAATTGCAAAAGGGGGCCTTACTGGGAACAGTTTCCATCCTGCGACAATAACTGTAATACCATCAATTCAAACATCCACATCTGCCTATCCCAGGTCTTTGGGAAGGACTGGATAGGTAGACAAAAATGCCAAATCCAGCTGACTCTACGACGAACCATAATATTGGCATTGACACAAATCCCCATCAGTCAATTGCCAAAGGCAGCTTTACTCAGAACAGCTGACATCCTGCAACGATTTCTTTAGCACCATCCAACATCAAACCTCGGCTGATCTCCGATCAATCAGTGGGCAAAAATGCCAGTTCCAGTCTAACCATTTGGCAGACGGTGCAATGAGTAAAAACACGCCTCTGACATCTTTTTTGCTAGGCACTTACTCTCTCTTGATGCCTCTTGACCCGATACTGCTTGAGCTGTTCTTCCAGGCGCTTCCGGGCCTGAAGACGGATCTCTTCTTCCTTCTCCAGTGGGAGAGGAGCATCGGCTGAGCCTGTGGAAGGAAGGAAGAGCAAGTTTAAGTTGTTCGGGGACAATAAACAAGGAGGTAGGGCAGACAGGAAGGTCTGCGATTTCTTTGCAAAGTTGTCAGAAATTTAGACCCAAGGTAAAAAGAAGGGGGAAAAAAGAGAGGCTAATTTCTCTTTGTTTTGAGGGAATTGATTTTTTTTTTTTCCTGTGTCTGAAGCAAAGAGGAAAGAACTCGAGAACCTTTTCATTATCCCGGAGTTCAACAACAGCATACTTTAAAAATGTTTTGGATACTAACTTAATTAGGATGAGGATGCCATGGTCCCCACAAGCCTCAAAGGAGCCGTGGTTTTATACTTTGCTAACCTTACTTTTAATTGTTAAGGTGTGGCTAGCCGCCCAGCCTCTCCTTCACCTGGTGGGAGACCATTAATTAATGCATCTATTAAATCAATGTCAGGGAATAATCACTGCCCCTCATTCAGAATAGAATCCAGCAAGTTCCCTCCACCCCAACTGAAGCTTTGCACCACCGTCTCATTTGCAGGAAGACAGCCAGGTTTTTCCATGGAATTTCTTAGCCTCTGAGAGTCACAGGGAAATGACAGCGATGGCACGGGGTCAACAGAGAGGCATGACTCAATTTTTGATCCTTGTCTGGAGGCTGAGATGACGGTGTTCCATCAAAAGAGGAGTGTCACTTTGCAGAAGTGAAATGTGGACAGGTGACCACGGGACACTGCAGACGGCTGTTAGTGCAGCCCGGTTGCCAAGCATACGTGGTCCTGCGACAGCCGTGGGTGTGTGTGGCTGTCAGAACTTCAAATCCAGATGGTTAGTAACCTCCCTTCAAACAGCCACTCAGCAACAAGTCGCAAGTTGAACGGTACCAGTATTGACAATTAAAAACTACCCCATTTAGTCCTTGACCTACAGGTTTGTTTGCTGACCGTTCGAAGTTACAACAGCACTGAAAAAGAAATGAGTTGTTTTTCACACGACGATTGCAGCATCCCCAGGGTCACATGGACAAAATTCAGACTCGGCAACTAGCTCATGTTTTTAACGCTGCAGGGGTCACACGATCCCTCTTTGCGTCCTTCTGACCAGCAAAGCCAATGGGGATGCTAGAGTTAGGTAACAACTGTGTTACTGAGTTAACAACTGCAGCAATTCTCTTAACAGCTGTGGCAAGACAGGCAAAACGGGCCAAATTTGGGACTCGGTCCTAAGTCAAGGACTACCTCTATTTTGCTCTTGTTGATATGTGCAATGTTTCGTCTGATCAATGTTTCGCACGCACAAGCGCGTAGAGGTCGGTAACCGCATCAATCAGAACAGAGGTCCCCAACCTCCGTTCTGTGGACCACTACCGGGCCACGGCACGCCAGCAACTGGTCCGCACAAACAAGCAAAGCCCCATCTGCGAGATGCAGGCAGCACACAAAACCACGGACCCTCGGGTCCACGGGGAAAAAAACTCTCTCCACGGAACCGGTCTCTGGTGCTCCAAAGGTTGGGGACCTCTGGATTAGAGAGGAAATACTTTGTTTCTAAAGGAATTGCGATGGCACACCTTAATTGTAACCCCGCAGGTCATGAAAAAAGGCAAGCCAATTTGTTAAAGGCAAAGTCAGAGGCCAAGGTTTAGAGTCAGCTCATGCTTCAAAAGCAGCATGCAGAAGAGATTCTGCAGAGGCACAGAAATGTAGAAATAAAGGAGGGGGAAAAAAAACTTCTTTGAGGTGGAGCAAGGAAGAACAGGTGCGCTCCACCCTGAAGAGATGCTTACACAGTTTGGTTTCTTGCAAAGGGAGGCTTAGTTTGAGAGACTGCAGGGTGTCCTTCCTAAGAGCTAAGCTCTCATCACTACCGCCCTGAGATGCCTCTAGGTGCTCATGGACACCAAGCACACCTGAAGCTGCTTCTTCCTCCCGGGAGCTTTTGATGGGGCCAAAGGTCACGGGCTGTTCGGGGTCATAAGACGTCGGTCCGTTCGCACAAGGATCTGGGCTGCTCTTGAGGGCTAAGATGTCCCCTTCGGTTGACCCTCGGCCGTTATTTACACTAACCACTGGAAAAAAAAGAACAGAGGTTGGGAAGAGGTTAATGGTGGGCGCCGTGCTCAGGAACAGATCACCACCTTGAATCTCCCAAGTGCATCTGGAATGACAACTGATGTTTGCCAAAGTCCTTCCTAACCTTCCACCATTACAATCCAAGGACAGTAACAAAAAGGCTCCTTAAAAAAAAAAATCAATATCCAAAGAAGCTTACAGTTAACATCTTCCTTTGTCCACTTAGATTTGGCCCCCAGGTCTGGTTGCTGTTCAGAACTGCTGGAGGTGCCATCGCTGGCTTCCTGAATGATCACCGAAGAGTCCATGGCTGGAGAAGTGAAGGTCCAAGGGAAATATTTCCCCAGTGGAATTTTCCAAGTCACCTACTGGGTCCAGTTTTTTACTCCATCAACACCGCTGGGAGCCAAAAGAGAGCCCGGGCATCTTGAGGGCTTCTGCACCAATTTATTTGCAGCAAGCAATTTGGTTTAGTTCCAGCCCACTTGATGGACAACTGAAGAATTTCTGGAGATCATTAGCCTAGCTGCTGAGAAAGAAAACAATGGCTGAGTTACATCACACACTGAGATAAACAGACAAAAACACACATACAGGATGACACTCCTTTTTAAAAAAAGTTCCTTGTGGTTTTGTTTTGTTTTTTAAAGATCACCTACATCTGCCACATATAATTCTGGGCTCAGGGAGGGCCAATCCTTATGTAAGTCATATTCCCACCATCTCAGAGACAGGAGTGGGAGTCTGCTTAGAGGCTGGATGATAAAGCTTTGAGTGAGGAAATTCACAAACCAAAGATTTTTCAGGATGCGTTATGAATCTCTGAGCAACACATGGAACCCATCCAAGTTTTCTGGAGGTTGTTGCTTGGGAATCAACACAGGCTGGATCAGGATCCTGTGATGAGTGGAAACAAAAACTATTTTCACGTTACCAGTTGCCTTTTATTTTCATCATGGCAACTGCCAGACTATTTTATCCCACCAAGCACGGGACAGTTTGATTTATAGGACTATGCATGTGTTTATGAGGCTAAGTATTTGGCAGAGATTAAAATATCTCTTATTGCAGACGAGTGTCTTACTAACCGGGGGTGGGAAAAGAGGCCCATCGCCCATTAAGGTTGCTTCGCTTTGCGTGAAGAAAGCAAGAGATAAAGATGACAGGCTAGACCTCAAGTTACGACAGTTCACTTAGTGACTGTTTGAAGTTTCAACAACACTGAAAAAAGGGAGTTATGACCGTTTTTTTACAGTTACAACCGTTGCAGCATCCCCACGGTCAGGTGATCAAAATCCAGACAACTGACTCCTATTTATGACGGTCGCAGCATCCCGGGGTCACGTGATCCCCTTTTGCGACCTTCTGCCAAGCAAAGTCAATGGAGAAACCAAATTCACTTAACAACCGTGTGACTAGCTGATGAACTGCAGCGATCCACTTAATAACTGTGGCAAGAAAGGTCGTAAAAATGGGGCAAAACTCAGCGATCAATTGTCTCGCTTAGCAACGGAAATTTTGGCCTTAGCTGAGGTCTTAAGTCAAGAGCTACCTGTACAGAAGAATTCAGCCCAAAAAGAACTAAGAAACTGGGCCGGAGGGGAAGAGATGGTGTATCCAAGCCCATGTTCCTTGGGAAAGGAGCAGGATTAGAGTCTTTAGCACACCTCAACCTTCCCTTTGGGGGCCAGATTGGCAGCCTCTGTTCACAACGACAGTCTCCACAAATGCAAATAGGCAGGCACGAATGCTTCACAACAATGATTCTTAACCTCCATGGAGGCCTCACTAGGCATGTTCAAGCCGCCCAGCCATTGCAACAACAACCAGTTTCAGAGTCCTTGACCACACATCACACCTACTCTGGATTATAAAGTCCATAAACGAGCTTCATAGATGTACACACAGAGACACACATCAAATCTTACACTGACCTGGTATTTATGGTCCGTAAAGCAACTTTATACATGTAGATACCTATGCACCTCTCCCACATCAAACCTTACATCTTGCCAAATCTATATAATCCATAAACCAACTTTATATACATTCACACAGGTACACACACAAACACTCTACATCACACCTACCCAGCTCTATACAGTCCATAAATCAATTTCATACTAATGTACACACACACACACACACACACAATCAAATCTTACCCTTATCCTGGTCTATGCGGTCCATTAAGCAACTTCACACACAATACACATACAGAGACCCACACAGACACCCCCTACATCACTCCTATCCCATAAACACAAACAGACATACACACCGCACACTAAACCTTTGCCAGTGTTTCTCAACCTTGACCATTTTAAGGCATGTGGACTTCAACTCCCAGAATTCCACAGCCAGCAATGCTGGCTGTGGAATTCTGGGAGTTGAAGTCCACATGCCTTAAAATGGTCAAGGTTGAGAAACACTGCTTTAAACCTTCCTAGGTCTATAAAACTCATAAACCAACTTCATACACATACACGCAGGTGTACACACACACACACACACACACACACACACACACACACACACACACTCCACCTCACCCCTCCCCAGCTCTACAGAGCCTATTTCCTACGACGCAACCTCCAGGCACACAAACCCCCCGGCATCACAAGGGAAGGCGCCAGATTCTCACCCACCAGAGACGCGTGTGTTGCAAGACACGTGTGCAGGCCATCCCCACTCATCCTCACCCCCAGGGATTCCTCCCCCAGACACGGAGGCGTGTTTCGAGGTGTGTGTGTGTGTGTTTACACAAGGGTGTGACTTCTATACTCGCAGACACACAAACACACGCAGAGGGCACTCAGCCCGGCAGCCCCGCAACTCCCCTTCCCCTCCATTCCGGGCCCCCCGTCCCGCTGACCTGCCCGGCTCGGCCCGAGGCGCCCTGCCTCCTCCTCCGAGACGTGGCGCGGGCGGCAGGCGGGGCGCAGGCGGGGCGACGACGCCTTTTCCCCGCCGGACGGCCTCTTCCTCCTCCTCTTCCTCTTCCACCTGCTTCTCCTCCGCCTCCTGCCCGCCCGGAGGCACCCGAGGTCGCTCCGCGGCCGCACAGACGTGCCCGGAGCCCGAGAAGAGCGAGCGTCGGAGGCGGGACCGAATGGCGGCCGGAACGGAAGGAGCGGGGCGCTTTTTCCCCAAGCGGCGGACGGGTTTTGGCAACGGAGCTTCCGGGAAGGAGGGCGTGAGCGAGAGAGGGAGGGAGGGAGGAGCGCCGGGGATGACGCGTCCTGGCCCCACCTTCTCAGCTTGCCCCGCCTCCTCCTCCTCCTCCTCCTCCTCTCCGTCTCCTCCAGGAAGGTTTAGCTTAGTCCTTCTCCAACGGGCGCCCTCTGCTGGTTGGGGGTCTTTTGGCTGCCGCAAACAGCGTCGCAAAGCGGGCTGGGGGGTGCCCCAGTTGTTCGCCCTCCCACAGCACATCTGGGGGCGCCAGGTTGGAGAAGCTGCTTTCAGGACAGAGCGCTGGAGCCGCCCTCTTTGACCAGTGGTATGCGCACCACTTGTGGTACTTTGCCACGTGGCCGGTGGAACGTGAGGGCAAGCCAAGTGTAGCAGGGGAGGGGAATGGCCCAAAGCCAGCCAAGCCCGAGAGAAAGACTGGGTTGGTTATTTGGGGGGCAAAGTCAACAGAATGGGTTCATTATTATTATTATTACATTATTAGAAGCCTTAATATTAAGCATAATAGAGCAATTTGCCCCCCAAATAACAAAATTAGTCTTTCGTATCTTGGGAAAGCCTGACTTTTTTGCCCTCTTTTGGGTAAGGAAAGACTACGGCCTGTCTTTTGACCCACTTTGGGGTTAGAAAAGAATTAGGTCGAGGTAAGGCCGCATTCTGAGGACTTTGCCCCCCCAAAATGACCAACACAATTTGTGATATGTTAGGAAAGCCTGACTTTTTTGCCCTCTTTGGGGTAAGGTTTATTTCCTTGTGTGGCCACTATGCCTAAAATAACCACAGGAGGGCACTCTTTGCATGTTCTATGCTATAATGGTCTTTGTACTCCCATTCAGGCTGCCATGCCCAAAATAAACACAGGAGGGCACTCTTTTCATTCACTATGTTTAATAATAATAATAATTATTATTATTATTATTATCGAGCATCGCACAGTCAGCCAGATGTTCAGACTGGATTTGGCATTTTGTCTACCTATCGAGTCCTTACCCAGGACCTGGGATAGGCAGATGTGGATGTTTGATGGTTTTACAGATATCGTCGCAGGATGGAAGCAGTTCCTAATAAGGCTGCCTTTTGCAATTGACTAATAGCGAATTATTATTATTATTATTATTATTATTATTATTATTATTATTATTATTATTATTATTATTATTAAAAAATAGTAAAGTTGGAAGGGACCTTGGAGGTCATCTAGTCCAACCCCCTGCTCAGGCAGGAAACCCCATACCATTTCAGACAAATGCCTGTCCTTTATATATGTTCTTTGTATATATGCTCTTTGTAGTTCCCTTTAGGCTGCTATACCCAAAATAACCACACGAGGGCACTCTTTGCATGCCCTGTGCTATACATCAGCAGTTCTCAACTTGTGGGGTCGAACGACCATTTCACGGGGTCCCCAAACAACTCAGTCCACCGTTTTTTTTCCCCCTTTTCCTTAGCTTTTATTCTATTGGCTTTTGAAAGCCAACAGAGTTAGACTCTCTTGATGTGTTTGTGAAGTTGTGCTTCATCGCTTGTTGCGATGCTGTTTGTCAGTTGTATCTTTTCTGCTTTCTTTCCAAGGTCCCAAAGCACAGGAGAAATTTAAGCGGCTCGCGTTAACACCGAATAAAATGGGATGAGCAGAAAGGAGATGGTAAGAAAGTTTTAAAGTCATCAAATGACCTAGAAAGCGGCCAGCCCTCTTTTACATCAGCCGGTTCTGAAATTGAAAGACTGAAAGGAAGTTGGGGGCAACTGAAGGGAACATGGATGGCCAAAGGTTCGCTTCTTTTCATGAGCTACTGAGCTTGCAGAGGTCTATATCCTGACTTTTCTAAAGGAAGGGCAGAATTCTCACCTTCTGTATGAATAAAGGATGTTTCCGATCTGACCGATCTTGAGTGTACTTTTGAACAGACAAATCCATCTTCAGTTGTTTCCCCATTCTTACACCCTAAGCAGTTTATTTTTCTTGCAGATGAGGAGGAATCTGTGAAAAAACCCAACAAATGTTCCCTGGTTTGGGAGGTGAGTAGTATTTATGGTCTAACTGAGGCATTTGGTGATTCCCAGCGTCACTAAGAAAGTCCTGGTTTTTATTATGCCCCCTTAGTGACAGGACAGAGAAACACCTTCAGGAACTGAACTGTGGGTGCTCTGTACAATTGTCCCTTCAGAGCACCCCTTCTCTTTAATTCAAAAAGTGGGAGATGTCAGGACTCACTCTAAAAGGTTACTTCAACCCTCAGGGCTTCACCAGTAAGCCACGGGCAAGGAAAGAGGAATTATCTGCATTACGCCAGCTTCCAGTCCATGCAATGCAACCCTCGATACGTAGGCTGGCTCAGAATCTCTCCTGCCTCTCTCTGTGTCCTTCTAGGGCACGGCAAAGGAGCGGAGCTTTGGCGAGGTGAAGTTCAAGCAGTGTGCTGCTGAAAACATGGCACGGGAGCATTTTAAGAAACACGGCACTGAGCATTATTGGGATCTAGGCTCTGAGCGAGTCAGTCCTAGAACCCACAGACTGACGGCCTTTTCTGGAGCTCCTTGTCACATTTCTGAGCGTTTGACATAAAGGGCAAGAACTGAGCAGAAACATTAAGACTCTAAGCCCTGCCTCCCCCCCGCCCCCCTCATTCCCACAAATTCCTCCCCGTACAATGCACACAATTAAAGGAAATATTTTTCAGATCCAAAGAACGGCTTTTGATTTTAATGTTTGGCTTTGGACTAACAGGACACGCGTGTGAGAGAGATCTTCAGCTTCCCCACTGCCACAAGTGCACCTTCACTCAGTCTTGGGGTTTTATCATTCCTGCCCTGCAGGAGTGCCAAGGAGAGGATATTAAAATGTCTGGCTCTAAAAAATGCTATTCTACTCTTAGGAAAGCTCAGGTCTTTCAGATACCTTGCTGGTCCCCACACACCCCATTTAATCCATTTTCTTGCTGCAGAGAGAGATTCGGTTAAGCTCTAGCTGGAACTCCACGTCTCTTATTCTGTTGGTAGCCGCTTTGCTTGGGTTGGTCGTAGCCGAGGGATATTTAAAAACAGCGAGGAAAGTGCACAGGAGGCCCGCTTAGGCTCCCATCGCCTGTTTCCTGGGAGAGAGGAAGTTATTTATTGAGACTAAAGTGGTCAAGCCCTCTGGGAAGAATGGAGTCCTACGGTTAAAGAAGGAATAGCAGCCACAAAAGGAAATAAACCCTTTTAACATGATTTTAAGATTATTATTATTTTTTATTTATCTGTTGAAGCTATTGGATGCTATTAAGGGTCAAAAAACAGTGCCATCCATCCCGTGGTTGAAGCAGGTATACAGCAGCCATTACAAAACTTTTCAATGGCATTTTAAGGCTATTCTTTATTATTAAAACCTTATTAATATTAATAGGGCATCACAGTCCTCCTTAACTAGGTTGAAGGCTTTTGAAGCAGATTTCTTCTTCCGCGCCTGTGCGTTGCAGCAAACGGGCCTCCCCTGGCCCTGTTCATAAGGTGTTAATACCGTTAATAAAGACAGAGAATATCGTAATTTTAAAATGCCATTAAAAGCGTTTATTTCTTTGGGTGGCCGCAATACCCGTTTTTGACCACAGGAGGGCAGAGCTTTCCGTCCCGTAGCATTAACGTTGAGGCCTTTTGCCCAGCATCGGGACACCGAGAAGCTAAGCCGCAAAGCGCAGAGCGTCGCCACTCTATGCTCCTCCGAAAGGGACGGGCCGCTTCCCTCGGCCTTCGGCGCATGTCCGCCGGCTGGTTCTTCGCCAGCAATCCAGCAATCTCCCAGAGGCCTTTTCGGCAATGGCGGACTTCCTGTCCCTCGAACCCTCCACTTCCGGCTTCTCCTCTCCGAGCCACGTGGCTGCAGAGGCTCTTTTGGTGGCGGTTTTGCACGTGTAACAGTGAGTAGCCTTTGCGAATGAGTCCGTTTTTGGGAACACTCAGTAAACAAATTATGTGTATGTAGCCATTTGTGTTAAAATTAAGAATTAAGTCCCACTTGAGTAACTGCCCCCTGCTTTTAATTAAAGGGCCAGTTGCATGTCCTCTGCATTTAAACATGGCGACCTTGTTCAAGAGCCACTTATGGACTCTGGGGCTCCCTTTTTTTCCAGACACCCAGTGGAAAGGTTTTTTAAATGAAATAAAATAAACTCCCAGGGTTTTACTTTGCGTTTGTTCCAATTTACTGTGCACTTGAATAACTGCCTCCTACTTTTAATTAAACAGTTGCATTTAAACATGGCGACCATTTTGAAGAGCCACTGATGGACTCTGGGGCTCCCTTTTTTTTTCCAGCACCAAGTGGAAAGGTTTTTTAAATAAAATAAAATAAACTAGGGTTTTCTTTGCATTTGTTCCAGTTTACTGTGCACTTGAATAACTGCACCCTGCTTTTAATTAAACAGCCAGTTGCATTCAAATACGGCAACCATTTTGAAGAGCCGCTGATAGACTTTGGGGCTCCCGTTTTTACAGGCACCCAATGGAAAGGTTTTTTTAAAATAAAATAAAACAAACTCCAAGGGTTTCACTTTGCATTTGTTCCAATTTACTGTGCACTTGAATAACTGCACTGGCTTTTAATTAAACAGCAAGTAGCATTTAAATATGGAGACTTTGCTGAAGAGGTACTGATAGACTCTGTGGCTCCCTTTTTTTTCCAGGCATCCAGTTCGCCACCTCTGCTTCAGCTCCCACAGCCTCATCATGGCCAACATCCCCAATGAAAAGACTCCCCCATGGAGCCAGCATCACGGAGGACGACTTGACCGCTCGCCGAAGGTGAGAGCTGACCCTCACAGTGGTACTTTTTATCTCAACCAGCAGGAGGCACCCTGTGACACCACTCTCAGGGTTGCTAGACTACAATTCCCAGCAGACAATATTGCAGGACGCTGGAGGCATTCCCCCAAGTTGGCCTTCCTCAGTTTAAACCCAGGGTCTTCCAACTTGGCCCTTTTATGACTTGTGGACTTCAACTCCCAGAATTCCTCAGCCAGCGTGCCTGGCTGAGGAATTCTGGGAGTTGAAGTCCACAAGTCATAAAAGGGCCAAGTTGGAAGACCCCTGGTTTAAAAAGGAAAAGAGAAGAAGCCGCAATGGAGGAGCGTTTGAGAGCTTATGGTGGCAGAGAGCCAGGATGTTGTGGCCAAGCCAGGCAGGGGTTTAGGATGGGAGGGTAGCCAGCTATAAATCGCAAGAAGCTCTGGTGAGCAGCAAGTGGCTTGGAAGAACAAACCCAGTGTGATGGGTGGTAAGATGTTCCAGCACCCATTATTATGGGTTGGCTTGGCTAAGGTTGATGGGGATTATAGTCCAGCTGCTTCTGGATGGCTATTGGCCTCCCCTCCTCTTGGAATACAGAGTAGTTTAGCTTATCCAAATCCTGTTTTAAATCTTCTCTTCTCCTTTCCCTTTTCCCTCCCTTTCCCCTCTTCTCCCCTTCCCTCCTCTCCTTTTCCTTCCTCTCTTCTCTCCCCTTCCCTCCTTTTCCCTCCCCTCCCCTCTTCCTCCCACTTCCCTTCCCTCTCTTATCTCCTCTCTCTTCCCCTTCTCCCTTCCTTTCCCATTTGTTTCCTCGTACTCTGAGCTGTCTTCCAGGAAGGTGAATACAAGACAGCCAGGGAATTCTGGGGATTGAAGTCCACTTGTCTTATCATGGCCAAGGTTAAGAAGCAGTACTCTAAAAGTAGAACAACCTGGAACCATTAAGGGTGCTCCTTCAAGCCTACTCTGAATTGATGTGCTTGCATTTTAACATCTCCTTGGCCCTAGAGAGGAACCAGAGTCTGGAGCAGGGGTCTTCAAACTTGGCTCCTTTATGACTTGTGGACTTCAACTCCCAGAATATGCTGAAGAAATCCACAAGTCATAAAAGGGCCAAGTTTGAAGGCCTCTGGTCTGGAGCAACGTTCTTCAATCTGGGCAACTTTAAGACATGTCGATCAATTCCCAGAATTCCCCAGCCAGCGTGAATTTGAAGTGCAGACATCTTAACGTTGCCAAGGTTGGAAGGTTGCTCCAGAGGATTTTGGACTGCTGGGAACCAGGCTGGTTGAAAAGCACCCTGCTTATTTTCTTTTCCCTCTTCTCCCCTTGCTTCTCTCTGAACAGGCACAGAGGCATTATCTACACCTACGAATTCTCCACAGACAAGCTGGTGGCAGAGAGCGTCCTTCCTATCTGCCGCTCCTCTTACAACGAAGTGGCCGGCTACAGCTACAACATTGGCCTTGTGGTCCCCTATGACAACATCTAGGCAGGGTGGGAAGCAGGGAAGTCCAGCTGAGCTGGACCCTGGAGAAGAAGAGCCCCAAGGATGGCGTTCCTGGAGATCTCTTTGGAGGGCTCGGAAGCCACGGGTTGGCCAAGCAGGCAGCAGAAGAAGGTGGGGTGAACACATTGGGGTTCCACAGCTTTAATAACAGCGCTGTAGGAACATAGAAGAGATGGTGGCTAACAGGAACCATGATAGATAGTCAAGAATCAGGAGATGATAATAAAGGCTTTAGCCCAAGAATCAGGAGGTAGTAAGACAGATTGTAGCCCACATGTGCAGACATCATTCTGGGGGAAGTGAGGGCTTCCATTCCTTCCACCTAGCTAAAGTAGTTTAGTGCTGCCTTTCCAGAACAGGCGCCGACGCTACCTGCAACATCAGGAGATCTTAAGAAGAAGAAGAGACTTTGGGAGCGTTTTTCTTGTAAATAAAATATCTTTATTGAGTGTTGGTCTCGGGATGAGGGGATTGGTGTGCTTGAAAATGGCTGTTTTATTGTCAGGGATGCTAGTTTTTAAAATAGCACATTAGGAGAGGATCCAGAGGCCATCCCAGTTGGAGAAAATCCTGCCACAGGTAAGTCAAGCATGTGTGTAAGTATCCTTTCTTCTCCAGCTCCACTGGCACTTTGCCTGATCGCACCAGGATTGCCGAAGCAGCACCCCTCCTTAACTGTGCTGCCTGGGGCTGCTGGGAGTTGTAGTACATCTCTAGCTTGGTGCAGCATGGGGATCTTTGCCTGATCCATTCTCCATGCCAGTTTTTGCTGGCTTGGTCACAAGTCATCTTGTGGGGCCTTCCTGCTGGGTGGGCTAAGGCAGCTGCCAAACCAGCAGGGACAGCACCATAGGTATTCCTCTCGGCCGTTGTAACATGGGCTGAGGATGATGGGACTTGGTGGCCAGAGAAGTCAGATGGGCAAGACCTCAGAACCTGAGTTTTTGCAGTCTCTGTGCAATCAGGAAAAAAGTGACTGGTATATATATGGGCAAAAGGGTCTTTTCTGGGCAACTTTAAATTTTCCTCATGCTGATTGGGCTAATCCAGCAGTTCTGGAACAGGAAGATGGTTTTGGTATTCTGGAGGTATCCTGATGCCCCTATCAAGACACTTCCTTTTCTAGGAACTTCCTTCTTGAAAACTTGCTGAAGAGGCAAATTGTGACATGATGGAGGGTCCCTGGATTGCCCATATATATGCAGTAGAGCTGCAGAATAAAGATGCACGCATGCAGCTGGCTTTATAGTGTGTATAGAGCCAGAGCAGTGTTTTGCAAACTTGTCAGATGTGGGGGACTTCAACTCCCAAGTAATTCTGGGAGTTGAAAGCCGTCCATCTTAAGGTGGTCAAGTTTGAAAAAGACTGCTCTTAAGGTTACCAGATCTGGGCTGCAAAAATATGCTAGGCCGCCAAATGTAATTTGCAGCCCCAGAGCTTGTAACCTCAGTAAGGCATACACCTTAATACATGGTAATATGTAGATATATAAACATATACCATATATTAGGGAATATGCCTATTGTATGTGCCTGTGTACATTAACACAGTTGCACACAGTCATCTAGGGTAAGATCTATTGGGACCTTTTCTCCTAATAGATCTTAGCCTATATTGCTCTATGTGTCTGTGTATCTTAGCACAGACACATAGAGCAATACAGGCTAGGATCTATTGGGGCTTTCCTAATAGATCTTGGCTATATTGCTCTATGTGTCTGTGTATCTTAGCACATACACATAGAGCAATATAGGCTAAGATCTATTGGGGCTTTCCTAATAGATCTTAGCCTATATTGTTCTATGTGTCTGCTAAGATACACAGACACATAGAACAATATAGGCTAAGATCTATTAGGAAAAAAAGGTCCCAATAGATCTTAGATGACTGTGTGCATCTGTGTTAAGGTACACAGGCACATATTAATGGGGGGGGGGGTGTCCCAATATGGTGGAATGAACCGGACACTCTGTGACTTGACTTTATATGTGGATCAGTGTGTGTATGGGAGGGGGGGAGTGCTTGTGCTTTGTTTTTTTTTTTTTTTTTTTTTTGCCGCTTCGCTTCTCATCCAAGAAGCTTCTTCAGTTCTGGCTGAATGGTCGGGGATGGAACGATTTATATTCTTTGCAGTCATCTGGTCCTTAGTACTCCAAAGGTTGGTCGTTAGTTCTCCGAGAGCCGTTGAAGCCACCTGGTACCATCTGTACCCTCAAGAGTCACCTGGACCAGTGTGGAGATGGGCCTGAGACCTTGGGACTGCTGAAAGGATTGTGTTGGAGACGGGAGAGGTGGTGGTGTATCTCTCCCCCTCTGTCAAGAGAGGCCTGTTCAGTTTTGGCAGATGGCCTCTTTGACCCCTTTCAAGCCAGGGGTCCTCTCCCTCCAGAGCGTGGACTTTGCTGACTTCTAGAGTGGCCTTTGTCTCTCAAATGCAGATGGACCGCTGTTCCAAATGTGCTTTTCCAAGAGGCAAAAGACTTCCTTTGTTTTTCCTTGAAGATATTTCACTTCTCATCCATCAAGCTTCTTGGATGAGGAGTGAAAGTCTTCAAGAAAAAACAAAGTCTAGTTGCCTTTTGGAAAAGGACCTTTGGAGCAAACTGACCTGGCTGGCTAAGAATCTCCACAGATGAACTGCTGAATCTTGTCCTGATGGGTTTCTCCTCCTATGTTATGCCGTGCATTCATGAACAAAACAACCACAAGCGCATGGCACAACGTAGGAGAACAAACCTATCGGGACAAGATTCATACTTCAACACTGAAGTATACACAAAACTCAGAGTGTTTACCTTCACTGGAGCAAAAACACAGAAGCCATCAGAATCCTACACCACTGGGCTGAAGGTTTACCTACCAGCAAAGAGGGAAAAGGACTAAAACACATTGAAGCCCTCAGAACCTGTGGCTACCCCAACTGGGCCTTCATCAAATCCAGAAAGTTCCACTGAATCCAGACAAAGTTCCAGTAGGATCCTTTGTCCTCCCCCTGCCCCCAATAAGGACAAAAAAAACAAAAAAACCAACATCAATCCATAAAATGCAGGAATTATCTGAAAAGCTCAGAAGGATTTTCAACTAACTCAACGTATGTGCACACCACCAACCCCAAAATACACTGACAATGTTTCTCAAAACCTTGACAACTTTTAAGATGTGTGGACTTCATGCTCACTCAGGAATTCTGGGAGCTGAAGTTCACACATCTTAAAAGTTGCCAAGATTGAGAAGGCAATGTTTCTCAAAACCTTGACAACTTTTAAGATGTGTGGACTTCAGCTCCCAGAATTCCTCAGCCAGCATGCTCACTCAGGAATTCTGGGAGCTGAAGTTCACACATCTTAAAAGTTGCCAAGATTGAGAAGGCAATGTTTCTCAAAACCTTGACAACTTTTAAGATGTGTGGACTTCAGCTCCCAGAATTCCTCAGCCAGAATGCTCACTCAGGAATTCTGGGAGCTGAAATTCACACATCTTAAAAGTTGCCAAGATTGAGAAGGCAATGTTTCTCAAAACCTTGACAACCTTTAAGACTGTGGACTTCAGCTCCCAGAATTCCTCAGCCAGAATGCTCACTCAGGAATTCTGGGAGCTGAAGTTCACACATCTTAAAAGTTGCCAAGATTGAGAAGGCAATGTTTCTCAAAACCTTGATAACTTTTAAGATGTGTGGACTTCGGCTCCCAGAATTCCTCAGCCAGAATGCTCACTCAGGAATTCTGGGAGCTGAAGTTCACACATCTTAAAAGTTGCCAAGATTGGGAAGGCAATGTTTCTCAAAACCTTGACAACTTTTAAGATGTGTGGACTTCAGCTCCCAGAATTCCTCAGCCAGAATGCTCACTCAGGAATTCTGGGAGCTGAAGTTCACACATCTTAAAAGTTGCCAAGATTGAGAAGGCAATGTTTCTCAAAACCTTGACAACCTTTAAGACGTGTGGACTTCAGCTCCCAGAATTCCTCAGCCAGAATGCTCACTCAGGAATTCTGGGAGCTGAAGTTCACCCATCTGAAAAGTTGCCAAGATTGAGAAGGCAATGTTTCTCAAAACCTTGATAACTTTTAAGATGTGTGGACTTCGGCTCCCAAAATTCCTCAGCCGGAATGCTCACTCAGGAATTCTGGGAGCTGAAGTTCACACATCTTAAAAGATGCCAAGATTGAGAAGGCAATGTTTCTCAAAACTTTGACAATTTTTAAGATGTGTGGACTTCATGCTCACTCAGGAATTCTGGGAGCTGAAGGTCACCCATCTTACAAGTTGCCAAGATTGAGAAGGCAATGTTTCTCAAAACCTTGATAACTTTTAAGATGTGTGGACTTCGGCTCCCAGAATTCCTCAGCCAGAATGCTCACTCAGGAATTCTGGGAGCTGAAGTTCACACATCTTAAAAGTTGCCAAGATTGAGAAGGCAATGTTTCTCAAAACCTTGACAACCTTTAAGACGTGTGGACTTCAGCTCCCAGAATTCCTCAGCCAGAATGCTCACTCAGGAATTCTGAGAGCTGAAGTTCACACATCTTAAAAAGTTGCCAAGATTGAGAAACTCTGCACTAAGGCAGAAGCTTGTCCACCCCAAGGATAAAACACTCACACAAACTGAGCAATGCAGTATGTGCAGTAGAATGTAACAAGACATGTACAGATCTCTACATTGGAGAAACAAAACAAACCACAATTGCATGACACAACCTAGGAGAACAACTCCACCAGGACAAGGTTTAGCGGTCCATCTGCATTTGAAAGACAAAGGCCACTTTTTCGAAGACAGCAAAGTCCACGTTCTGGAGAGAGAGGACTGCTGGTTTGAAAGAGGGGTCAAAGAGGCCATCTGTGTTAAAATCGAACAGGCCTCTCTCGACAGAGGGGGAGGGATACGACACCACTTACCTCGTCTCCAACACGGTCCTTGCAGCCGTCCCAAGAAGGTCCCAGGCTCATCTCCACACTGGTCCGGGTGACCCCGAGGATACAGATAAACCCCCAAGTGGCCTCAACGGCCCTCAGAGAGCTAATGACTTACCTTTGGGGTACTAAGGACCAGATGACTGCAAAGAATATAAATCGTTCCATTCCCCACCATTCAGCCAGAACTGAAGAAGCTTCTTGGATGAGAAGCGAAACGTTGGGGCATGTATATATACATATATACACATGCAGAGACTTGTTGGCAGTTTGTTTATTCCAGGAATACACAAATTATGTCTCTCTGTGTGGATATATATACATACACATATATGTACATATTAGCATATTTTAGTAAATAGAACTATCTGAAGAAACGCTAATATGTACATAGAAGAATGCCTATATATATTACTACATAAAAGCTGGTATAGGTAGCCCTTGAGTTAAAACAGTTCATTTAGTGACTATTTGAAGGTATAACAGCTTATAATTACAACATCCTCATGGCATGTGATTAAAGGTCAGAAGCTTAACAACTGACTCGTACTTATGATGGTTACAGTGTCTTGGGGTCAGGTGATTGCATTTTGTGACCTGACAAGCGAAGTCAATGGGGAAGCGACATTCACTTAAGAACTATGTAACTAACTCAACATTTGCAGTTAACAAATGTAGCAAGAAAAGTCATTAAATTGAGCAAAACTCACTTAACAAAATGCTTCGCTTAGCAACAGAAGCTCTGGACTCAAATGTGGCCGTTAAGTCAAGGACTACCTGTAATATATATAGCCATTTGCCCCAAAAGCTAGCTTACCATGGGCACCCCTTTATAATGGCACCCCCCCTCATAATGTGGAGGGAGGGTCCTTTTGGTGCTTGGGGATTTATAACAGCCCAGGAAGCTAGAAGTAAAACACATAACAACTGCACAAATATATCAAACACAACAACATTGCATCAACGCAGCGGTCCTTTTACTGGACACTGGAAGGTTGGTCTTCAACTCAAGACGGGAATCCATGTGGCTGGTCCAGATGAGTCTGAACTTCATGGATCTTGGCAGTTGCTCCAAGAGACATGTGGCCCTCTCACCCACCCAAACAAGCTCAGCCATCTCCAAAGCCTCCCACCACCCGGTTGTAGCTACTCCGCCGCCGTCAGTAGCAGAGCGCCATGGGTTCCAGCGTCAGGAAGTGGACGGGCATCATGGTCTCTATGTCGATTCCTTCCCATATCTGGCATCAGAAGAAAAGAAAAAACAGAGTTAGAGGAGAAGACAATTTCTGATCTTGCAAATCTTCAGTCGTACTTCAGAAAGGAGCAAATTCCAGAATGATTCACAGTTGACTTGGCCTTAGATTTTCCCCAAAAAATAGCTGGTGGAGAGAGATTCACTCCAAAGGGGATGCATGGACTTTGCTTGGTCCTGCATGGGGTGGCTTCCTCTTGTGAACCTTTTGTCCTCCTCCCTTAAGGAGGACTCTTTTCTGCTTTCCTTGGGCCAGCTAACCTAACCCGACCACCCTTGTAACGTTCATAACACCTTTCTCCAATTTCAAGTTGAGCTGAAATAGCCCACTAAGCAAACAGGCACCAGAATGAATGAATACAAAAAAAAAAAAAAAAAAAAAACAGTAGCAGAGGCAGAAAACCTGTCCAGATGTTGCTAAACTACAACTCCCAGCAGCCTCAGGCCAGAGTAAGGGATGCTGGGGGCTGTGGTCCAACAGCATCCGGAAATCTATGTTTGGCCCCATCTCTAATTTTCTTCTATCGTGCTCTTGATAAAGATTAGTGAATGAAAGAAGCTGACATGAGGATCAAGATGAATCCCCCTTGAAGGCACCAAAGACCTTAGCCAAGCTCTTCATCGCTTCTCCTCCTCAGGTTTTCCAATATTACTTGGGGGATCTCCATCTTCTGAAATGCTCCGTGTAGTTGTTTCTAAAGTTGGCCTGTGTTGTGTCAGACCCGGGCACATCTACCTAACCTTTATGATTGTGGCACTGAAAGCCAGAGTGGAAAGACACACATCTGAGAAAGTGCATCCTCAGAGCCAACCCAAGGATCCGGGTCCTACGAGCAAGGAATTCACGGCTTCCAAACAACATCCTTTGTGCAGCCGTGCAAGCCCGTTGTGTGAAGGTGTGGTATCTTAGCACACTTACATTCCCCATGGAGGACAACCCAATCAAGTTATAAAATCCCAGCCATTTGAAAGAGAAATGGCAATAGACCAACATAAGGTTGACCTTGGGGAAGATAGAGATTGTTAGCAAAATGGGATCTGAAAACCCTAGGAGTTTATTTTATTTTATTTAAAAAAAAAAAACTTTTCCACTGGGTGCCTGGAAAAAAAAGGGAGCCCCAGAGTCCTTCAGTGGCTCTTCAACAAGGTTGCCATGTTTAATAACTGGCTGTTTAATTAAAAGCAGGGTGCAGTTACTCAAGTGCACAGTAAATTGGAACAAATGCAAAGTAAAACCCTAGGAGTTTATTTTATTTTATTTAAAAAAACCTTTCCACTGGGTGCCTGGAAAAAAAGGGGAGTCCATCAGTGGCTCTTCAACAATGTCTCCATGTTTAAATACAGCGGACATGGAACTGGCTGTTTAATTAAAAGCAGGATGCACAGTAAATTGGAACAAAAGTAAAACCCTAGGAGTTTTTATTATTATTATTATTATTTTAAAAAACCTTTCCACTGGGTGCCTGGAAAAAAAAAACGGAGCCCAGAGTCCATCAGTGGCTCTTCAAAATGGTCTCCATGTTTAAATGCCACTGGCTGTTTAATTAAAAGCAGGTGCGGTTATTCAAGTGCACAGTAAATTGGAACAAACGCAAAGTAAAACCCTGGGAGTTTATTTTATTTTATTTTAAAAACCTTTCCACTGGGTGCCTGGAAAAAAAGGGAGCCCCGGAGTCCATAAGTAGCTCTTTAACAAGGTCTCCATGTTTAAATGCAGAGGACATGCAACTGGCCCTTTAATTAAAAGCAGGGGGCAGTTATTCAAGTGGGACTTATTCTTAATTTTAACACAAATGGCTACATACACATAATTTGTTCAGTGAGTGTTCCCAAAAACGGACTCATTCACAAAGGCTACTCACTGTTACACGTGCAAAACCGCCACCAAAAGAGCCTCTGCAGCCACGTGGCTCGGAGAGGAGAAGCCGGAAGTGGAGGGTTCGAGGGACAGGAAGTCCGCCATTGCCGAGAAGGCCTCTGGGAGATTGCTGGATTGCTGGCGAAGAAGCAGCCGGCGGACATGCGCCGAAGGCCGAGGGAAGCCGCCCGTCCTTTTCGGAGGAGCATAGAGTGGCGACGCTCTGCGCTTTGCGCCTTAGCTTCTCGGTGTCCCGATGCTGGGCAAAAGGCCTCAACGTTAATGCTACGGGACGGAAAACTCTGCCCTCCTGTGGTCAAAAACGGGTATTGCGGCCACCCAAAGAAATAAACGCGGTTTTTTTTGGTCACGTGGCCGAAGCAGATTGGGTGATTGGCTGATTTTTGCAAGATCTGCTTTGCTTTTGCTTTCCTGCGGCTGCGTGGAAGATATGCCTTTATTATTATTATTCTTATTATTATTATTATTATTATTATTATTATTATTATTATTATTATTACATTATTAGAAGCCTTAATATTAATCATGATAGAGCCACGGGAGGCCCGAGGGCTGCAGAACAGGCACAGAAGGAGGAAACCTGCTTCGAAACACTTAAACCGAGTTAAAAAGGCCTATGATGGCCTAAGCGCTACTGCTATGGGACAGAAAGCAGTGCCCTCCGGTGGACGAGGCAGGAATAGCAGCCACACAAGGAAATGAGCCTTACCCCAAAGAGGGCAAAAAAGTCAGGCTTTCCTAACGGATCACAAACTGCGTTGGTCATTTTGGGGGTCAAAGTCATCAGAATGCGGCCTTACCTCGACCTAACTCTTTTCTAAGCCCAAAATGGGTCAAAAGGCAGGCCCTAGTCTTTTCTTACCCAAAAGAGGGCAAAAAAGTCAGGCTTTCCCAAGATATGAAAGACTATTTTTGTTATTTTAGGGGCAAAGTCATCAGAATGCAGGCTTAGGCAGGAATAGCAGCCACACAAGGAAATAAACCTTACCTGACGACTTCCTGTCACGCATGCGCAGTAGTCCTCCACTGCCCTACACACCGACCTCCCCGGGATGGCCAACTTCTTGTCCGTTTCTGTGGCCGTCCTTCCACTTCTGTTCAGAATGACCTTCTCGGCATGGCCGACTTCCTGTTCCTAAGGAGGTGGCTGGATGCCGGTAGGAGAGACTGGGTCTCTTTGTGCCCTTTCCATTGCAGAGGGAGAATTGGGAACCATAGAGATACAGTTCATATGTTGGAAATATAAACTTCAGGGATTCTTTCTCAGGCTAAGTTGCCGCATCTGCATTTCTAAAATGGCCCTCGGGCACTGTTTTACAGCCGGAGAGGGCAAGGCAAGTTCAGGGGACAGAACTGTTGGGATAGTGAGGTTATTCTTCTGCATCTTTATTATTAGAAGTCTTGATATTAATAATAATAGAGCAGTGCCGTACACACAAGCATCAGGCACATATACACACCTATAAATGTACACATACACAACGGGCACACGCATACGCATAAATATGTACATGTGCATATGCAACACACAGATGTACACACAAAATGTACAGAAACACATGTATAGTTTATACATACTAACATAGATAGGCAGGCAGGCAGGCAGGCACAGACGTACGGATGGATGGATGGATGGAGAGAGATACTGGATAAAGGAAAGAAAGAAGGAAGGAAAGAAAGAAAGAAAGAAAGAAAGAAAGAAAGAAAGAAAGAAAGAAAGAAAGAAAGAAAGAAAGAAATACTGGTGATGGTAGGTAGGTAGACAGATAGACAGACAGACAGACATATATGTCTATCCACACAGATATACACAAATACACAGAAGCATATGTGCAGTTTATACACACATGCATATGCACAAATATGCACAACTAGGTGCACAATTTATATATAGACACACCCATATGCACATCAGTGGTGGGATTCAAATATGAGAACAACCGGCTTCTCTGTGTGGCTGCCACTTCCGGAAGTCCATTCTGGGCCTGGGCAACAAAAAAAAAAATTAGCTACCGGTTCTGCCGAAGTGGTGCGCACCAGCTGAATCCCCCAACTGAGACACACATATAAAGACCCTCAAACACACATTCCGTTTTTCCAAACAATTTTACAAAAAACAACCAAATCTGATGCTATAGAAGTGCCACTAGAAGGCACTGTTCTTTGCATTTGAAAAGACTTGTGAGATTTGTCTCCCCATAAATTCAGTCTTATTAAGGACTCTTGAGGAATGCATTTTAAAAAAAAGGGAAGAAAGCCAAAAAACACTCAGAGACAAAGCAAGAATTTGGAAGGTATCCAGAACGTAGCTCTTCTGAGCCTTAAAGCTGCCTTTTTTTCTTCTCCTTCAATTTCAAGCAGCTTAGGATGGGCAAAGGAAGGTGTAGGAGGCCATAAGATCTTCTAAGGAGTTTTCCGGACATCTTCTCCCCAGGGTGTCAAATTTATGACCTGGTTCGTGGGTGCTTTGCCAATTATTGGAGTCCAGACCATTCTAGGAGTTACCAAAGTAAGGAAGACCACCCAATGTTTTTACTCCATCCTTGCTTCAAGGCTAAGCCAGTTGGGAACAGCCAGAGACAAACATCTGCAAATGCTTCCACTTCTCCTTGAACGAATTTGCGGAATGTCCTCAACTGTGTAAGCATCTGTGCACACACATTTTTGAGATTCGGTGGGAGAGGATGAATCTGTCCCACAAAACGGAGGAGGCAACTTTTGGGGACCAAAAGCTACTTGATCATGGGCTGGAGGAACAATTAATCAGTGAAACGACTTGACCCCAGAAATTGGAGGTGCCTTCCAGCAATGATGATGTTACTAAGGTGACCAATCGTCCTCCTTTAGGGAGCACGGTCCTTCTTTGGTACTCATTTAAATAATAAATAATAGGCATGTAAGCATAATTACAATATAAAATGTTCTTGTTACAAATGTTTTTTATTATGCATTTATCATATTATAGTGTATTCTGTATTGTTGTTGCAATGAATAAAATGTTTTATTTATGATATATTTTTTTCTTCAATTTATTTGTGTCCTCCTCCTCATTGTAAAAAAGTTGGTCACCTTAATGTGACCAAGTTGGGTAATGAAATGTCTGCAAGAAAGCCACCAAGCTCAGAGAGCACCAAGGACCCCACAGTCCTCCTCCTCCTGTCCGCAAACCCCACTCCCTGTAGCACTGGTGATGTTACCTAGTTGGGTAATGAAACGTCTACAAGAAAACCATCAAGCTCAGAGAACACCAAGGACCTCATAGTCCTCTTCCTCCTCCTCCTCCTCCGACCTCCCTCCCTTCTAACACTGATGATGTGACCTAGCTGGGTAATGAAATGTCTGCAAGAAAACAAGCAAGCTCAGAGAGTACCAAGAAACTCACAGTCCTTCCTTCCTTCCTTCTCCTTCTCCTCCTCCCTTCCAGTACTGATGATGTTACCTAGTTGGGTAATGAAATGTCTGCAAGAAAACAACCAAGCTCAGAGAGCCAAGGACTCGACAGTCAGTCCTTCCTTCCTTCCTTCCTTCCTTCCTTCCTTCCTTCCTTCCTTCCTTCCTTCCTTCCTTCCTTCCTTCCTTCCCTCCTTCCCTCCTTCCTTCCTTCCTTCCTCCCTCCTCCTCCCTTCTAGCACTGATGATGTCACCTAGTTGGGTAATGAAACATCTGCAGGAGAACCACCAAGCTCACAGAGCACCAAGGACCCCATAGTCCTCCTCCTCTTCCAACTTCCCTCCCTTCTAACCCTGATGATGTGACCTAGTTGGGTACTGAAACGTCTGCAAGAAAACAACCAAGCTCAGAGAGCCCCAAGGAACACCACAGTATACCTCTGAGCTACAAGTCTTCTGTTGGGATAAGGCCAATCGTTCTCCTGGACCTGAACTCGGCTCACTGTCTTAACCAGCAGATGAAGAGATGGGGGCCACCATCATCAACCCAACTGAGAAAGCCCCCTCCTTTGAGTTGGCCTCTCCCTCAACGATCACCTGACGACGAGCATCTTCTCAGCCTGCAGTGAGTGAGTCAAAAGAGAAGGCATCTAATTGACAATTGGGAACCCTAAGATGGAAATTAAAAAGAAGAAGAAAAAAGAGCACTCTTGGAGACGTCTCTCCACAGTTGGTGGCGTCTGAGCCAGAGGCTCTGAGTTGGTGTCCCCAGTGCAAGATGGGTGGCCTTGCCGTTCTCCACACCCATGATCATTTCTAAGAGCTCATTTATACCTGCATATTAACACAATTTCCACACAAAGCTGTGCTTTGTCTCCTGGTTCTCTAAGCAGGGCCCCTACCCAGCCTTCTGGATTCTTCCCTTCTCCTCACACCCCCTTTTCCTGTTTCTGACATTTGCGGTGGATGTTGGCATGAGAAACATCACAAGGAGGGGAAAAAATATTTAGGCACGGGAGACCAAACAACACCAGGGCTCTCGTTCTTCGGTGGATGTGATAAAAAGTCCTTTCTCTGTCCTCAGCTGGGAGGTCGGCCGGCAAAGGAAATAACGGAGAAGCCCTGAGTTCCTGGCTGATTTGTGCTACTAAAAATGTCAGACAGAAGGGACACCGAGAAAGAACTTTCTGCTTTTTACTTCTCCTGTTCATCTCGAGGTGGCCCAGCTGTATGGGAAAATAGTGTAATTGGGAGAAGGAAGGACAAGAAGAAGGGCATTGAGAGGGAAAGAAAGGAAGGGGTGGGGGGGAAAAGAGAAAAGGGGAAGGGAAGGGAGGAGGGAAAAAGTGGAAGAAGAAGAAGAAAAAAAGGACGAAAGAAGGAAGGGATAGGAAAGGAAAGGAAAAGGGGAAGAGAGAGAGAGAGAGAGAAAAGGACAAGGGAGGGAGGGAGGAAGGAAAGGGAGGGAGGAAGGAAAGGAAGGGAGGGAGGGAGGAAAGGAAAGGGAGGAAGGAAAGGAAGGAAGGGAGGGAGGAAGGGAAGGGAAGAGAGGGAGGGAGGAAGGAAAGGAAGGAAGGGAGGGAGGAAAGGAAGGAAGGGAGGGAGGAAGGGAAGGGAAGAGAGGGAGGGAGGAAGGAAAGGAAGGGAGGGAGGGAGGAAAGGAAAGGGAGGGAGGAAAGGAAGGAAGGGAGGGAGGAAAGGAAGGGAGGGAGGAAGGGAAGGGAAGGGAAGGAAAGGAAGGGAGGAAGGGAGGAAAGGAAGGGAGGGAGGGAAGAAATGAAGGAAGGGAGGAAAGGATAAAAGTTGAATGAAAGGGATAGAGAGGAAAACAAGGAAGTAAAAAGAAACAGTAGAAGAAAAACGGGAAGAGAAAGAAAGGAAAAAGGAGGAGGAGAAGAAAAAGGCCACGGGGGGGGGGGGCTTCTACCTAGTTTCTTAGACTAAAAGAAAAAAGAACCCCCCCCCCAAAAAGCCAAAGGGGACCCCCCCCCAACCAACTGGCCGGGAAAAGCGCAACCGCGCCTCCTTCCCCTCTCCCGTTAGCCCAAGGCGCGCCCGCACCCCCCGCCTCAACCAGGGCTGGCTAGGGGAGGGGGGGGGACCTCAAAGCCCCCCCCCCGCCCCAGGTGACCCGCCCGCCCCGGGAAGGCGGCCAGACTGGACGGCTGCGCGGGAGAAGCGGCCCGGGCTGGCAGCGTCGGGGGAGGACGGAGAGGGGAGCCGGGCGGGGGCTCAGCCAGCCAGCCAGCCCGCCTGAGCGGATACGGGCTGAGCCTCCGCTGCCGCCGGCCGCTTCCCCAGCAGGCAGCGCCCCAGCCGGAGGGGCGAAGATGGGCCGTCCCGCCGGCTTCTCTCTGCTGACGGCCGCCGCCCTGTGGTGGTCCTGGGGGGCGCAAGGCCAGGTAACCCCGAGGGGGGGGGGAGGAGAGGTTTTTGCCAGGGGTCTCTCTCTCTCTCTCTCCCTCCTCTCATTCTTTTTCCTCTCTCTCTTTCCCTCTTTCCCATTCTCTCTCATTCATTCACGCACATACATTCTCTCTTTCCTGCTCTTTCTCTCCCCCTCTCATTCTCTTTCTCTCCTTCTTTTTCCTCTCTTTTTCTTTCCCTTTCTTTGTCTTCCTCTCTCATTCATTCACACACACGTTCTTTCTTTCTCCCTCTCATTCTCTCTCTCTCTCTCTGTGTGTGTGTCTCTCCCTTTCTCTCTCTCTCTCTTTTTCCCTCTTCTCCTTTCAGTCTCTCCCTTCTCTTCCTCTGCCCTCTTCTTCTCCTCTTCCTCTAAAGTTGCTTTTCCCCCCTTGGCAAAACCGTCCGACACCGGGAACCCCCTCCCGTCCCCCCCAAAAAAACTCTCCCCCCCCCCAAAAAAAAACCTTGCATGGAAAGAGCCTCTCCTCGCTGCGTAATTACGCTTCGCCTGGCGGAGAGTTTGGGCGAGCGGGCAGGGAGGGAGGGAGGGAAGGAAGGAAGGAAGGAAGGAAGGAGTGGGAAAGGGGGGTATCCAGACATGTCGGGGTGGCTTCTCTATCCTCCCCCCTCCTCATCTTCCTCCCTTTCCTGGGCTTTGGTGGAAAGTTGCGTGCGGGGGGGGGGAGAAAGGGAGAGAGGCAGAGCCGGAGGAGGGCGGGTGTGTGCGTTTGGATCTGCAAACAGGGTCCATGTGGGTTTCATTGAAAAGGAAAATTAAGAGGGGGGGGGGGAAAGGCTGGGTGGGAAGAGCCATCCGGGGTCGTTGACGACCCTCTGAGCTGGGAGGGAAGGACAGAGGCGGACAGGGCGCCCTTTGGTTTCAAATTCCTCCCCAAACGAAGCCAGGCAGAATTGAGGAGGGGGGGCGAGGACTACGGGGGCGACGGAGCGCGCTTTCCCGCTCGGACGGTGCTGGGAAGCCTTAGCTGTACTCCCACCCCACCCCTTGGCAATGAAATTGTGTGCCAGGGACTAGCCACCTTCTGGACGACTTCATGGGATGGAAAGAGAAGGAGGAAGCAGAGAAGGTTTGATGGATGGGATTAATTTAGCCCCCCCCCCGGAATGGCCACAGCTTCCTTTTCGTTTTGGTTCTTGAAAATCCAGTTCAGTGTTAGTTCTGAATTTAAATCTCCACTGAAGCATGAAAGTTAGAATTGATTTGGCCCCAGAATGTAACCTAACCGTTTTTAACTTGAGGTGATGATCTATTGATGGGAAAATTCCTAACTACCATCTTAACGGAATAGAATGACAGCGCCGGAAGGGACCTTGGAGGTCTTCTAGTCCAGCCCCTGGTCGAGTAGGAGACCTTAGATCATTTCAGACAAGTGGCTGTCCAGTCTCTTCTTGAAAGCGTCCAGTGATGGAGTCTATAGTGAGACCTGTGAACCCATATGCACCTGGAGGGAAAACTAGGGTCATATATAGCATGTTGAGCTCTTTGGAAATATAAAACAACAGCTGGTGGGTCTACACAATAGACAAAGTCATAGAAAAGGAAGACACATAAGTGCTCTGGGACTTTAGAATTCAGATGGACAATTCCTGCCACACAACACCCAAGACTTAACAGTTGTTGATAAGAAAGACAACAACAAAAAATGGATAGTGGATGTGGCAGTAGCTGGAGACAGCAGAATAGAAGAAAAAGAACTGGAGGTGAAAAAAAATCACAAAATACAAAGGTGTGCAATAGAATGAGAATTACTATGGCCAAAGAAAGCAAAGATAGTAACAGGCACCTTTGAATGTAATGCCAAAACATATGGAACACCACCACCATTGACAACATCAGACAACATTGACAACATCAACAATTGCAAAAGGCAGCTTGACTTGGAACAACTGACATCCTGCAACAAAACCTTTTAACACCCCTAAATGACAACGTCTGCCTATCTCAGGTCCTGGGGGGGGGGAAGTCAGTGGGTGAACCAAAACACCAAATCCAGTCTAAACATCTGGCTGATTGTGTGACCAGCCATAATAATAAAGCATGTGAACAAAGATGGATTTTTTTTTCCCCCTTCCATCCAGCTTTGCTCCTAAGCTCAGTAAAGTATGTTGTTAAAAAAAAACAAAACCCTCCACTCTGAAACTATGTCCCTCAATTAGCAAAGAATGCAGTTTGATTAATAAAGTCTATGACATTTCAGCTATTAAATCTGCGGAGGACCTGGCAGCCAGACTGGGATCACAGCTTGCTGAATTAACTCTCTTGCCAGATCAACCGAGCAAATAATAGAAGCCAAAATCTATGCAATAAATAATGCAGGCCAAATGGTAAAAACTGGGCCCCTTTGGCTTATAATAGATGTAGTCAACAAAGACCATCACAATGAGGAAAAACTGGGGGAAGAGAGAGGATGACCAACTATGACCACTTTATGGGGGGGGGAGGCCTTTGGATAGTGCCTTCAACATTGACATCCTGGATCTCCAGTTCCTCAAACACAGACTGAACATCTTTTCATCTCCATAAAGTGGAGAACTTCCAGATATGGAGACTTCCAACTCCCAGATTTTTCAGTAAGGACTCATGATATGGAGATGGAGACATGGAGCTGAAAGGATGATGCTTTTTTAGTTCCTCTTTTGGGAAATCCAGCATTGAGTTTGGGTACTTGCTGTAAGAGCAGGTTGGTCTCCCTGTAGAGCTGCAGCTGAAAACGAATGATAGAAAAGCTCGTTCATCAAAACAAAGTATAATAATAAATTATGGAGTTTGAAGGATTCTGCTGGTCCGTACCTTGCTTAAGAGGAAACAGGGAGGGGAAATAAAATTATTCAAGGCATTTGGGGAGGTCGAACCCCTGAGGAAGTAATCAAAAAGATCTTCTAAGGCCTGGCCTGTTTCATTTCCCACATGTGGACTGTTTTCTTCTCCATATGGCCTTCTGCAGCCTGCTCAACATGTGGGGACGTCCTGGGGTCTACATAAAACAAAGTCTACTTGGCCCTGTTGGAAAAGAAAGCCAAGTTTCTGTTTTCATCTCAGCATGGGGACAGAGGAGGGGAGAAGAGAAGGGAAGGAACTGAGCTTTGAAAAAAAAAAAAAAAAATTTTCCAAGATCTCCTCCTAAAATATTTCCCCAAGGATATGATTTGAGCATCGCTTGGGATTTTCTGAGCAGATTCCCCGACTGCTGTTGCCTGCAGGGCTGGGTTTCCTGAAGAGAAGGCCACTAAAATGATACATTTATAAATTAATTAGAAGAAAGCAATCGAGGAGAGAAGCAAGCTAGAACTAAGGAGAAATTTCCTGACAGTGAGAATAATTAAGCCAGCCTCCAGAAGTTGTGGGTGCTCCAACACTGGAGGTTTTCCAGAAGAGACTGGACAGCCACTTGTCTTAAATGGGAGAGGGTCTCCTGCTTGAGCGGGGGGTCGGACTAGATGACCTCCAAGGCCCCTTCCAGCTCTGTTAATCTGATATAGCAACCCACCTTTTCCCTTCTCTCTTATTTCGCTTGCTTTAGACGAGGCTCAAAATATCTACCTAAAGTTTCAACATCCGAATTGCCCTGAATATTGCACTCTGTACAATTTTTCCTCCCAAGTCACCCAGGAAGAGTGCAACTTCTGCAACTTAGGGTAGGCTGTCCTCGACTTACGACTGCAATGGAGCCCGACATTTCCAATGCTAAGCAAGACATTTGTTAAGCGAGCTTTTTGCCCCATTTTCACAACCTTGCTTGCCACAGCTGTCAGTTGTTAAGTGAGTGACACGAATCTGGCTTCTCCCCCCCCCTTGATTTGGCTTGTCAGGTGGTCACAAAAGGGGATCATGTGACCCCGGGGCACGGCAACCGTCGTAAATATGAACCCATTGACCAGGGTCCGAATTTCAATCACGTGACCGTGGGGATGCTGCAATTTAAGTGCGGAAAACTTAAGTGTGAGTCCCTTTTTTCAGCGTTGTGACTTCAGACGGTCACCAAACGAACGATTATAAGTCGAGGACTACCTGTAAGGAAGTAAGTTTAACCTAGTAAATCCATCTCACTTCTGCAAGATCGCTCTACATTACATTAAACCTTGTGCTATGCTGTAGATTGGCCCTTTTATATGACTTGTGGACTTCAAGTCCCAGAATTCCTCAGCCAGGCACGCTGGCTGAGGAATTCTGGGAGTTGAAGTCCGCAAGTCATCAAAGGGCCAAGTTTGAAGACTCCTGCTTGTGGACTTCAGCTCCCAGAATTCCTCAGCCAGGCATGCTGGCTGAGGAATTCTGGGAGTTTTAAGTCCGCAAGTCATAAAGGGGCCAAGTTTGAAGACTCCTGCTTGTGGACTTCAGCTCCCAGAATTCCTCAGCCAGGCACGCTGGCTGAGGAATTCTGGGAGTTGAAGTCCACAAGTCATAAAAGGGCCAAGTTTGAAGACCCCTGCTCTAGAAGGTAATGGAGAAATAAGCTGGAACTCGCCCTGTCCTGGGATCACGAGATCACCAGTTGTGACCATCCCAGCCACCTTTGTTCAACCAAAGTCAACAGAGGAAGTTGGACATCAGACACGATCCATTTAACAACCGCCTTGGTTAGCAAGAGAATTTCTAGTTCCAATTGAGGTCATAAATCGGGAACTACCTCTGTTTGGAATGCTGCACTCTTAAGAGAAAGACGTTGGAGGAGGGAACAACAAGCTGTTTTCTCTTCAAGAGGGTTTTAAAGAAAGCCACACCTTTTCTGAGTGTGAGTAAGCCAGCCTCCGTTGACTCACAAACAATTTTTCTCTTTCCATGCAATTACCGACAGACCTTTTTGGCATCCGAAGCTGTAATCAACAAGAGAAAAACATGTCAGCTAAGCTCCAGTAATTTGGCGCTATGGAAAAATAATTTCTGGCTAAGCCCAAAGATCAGAAGCAAATTCTAAAGTTTTTTTCCTAATAAAGAGACAGCTGCATTTACTGTATAAAATCCAGCTAGTTATACAGAGCAGTGGTAATAATGCAACAATAATCTACTATATTGGGTTAGAATTATTTTTCTTACAAAAGCCCAATAGATTTGATTAGACTTGCACGCTTTCTCATCTCTGATTAATTCTGTGTAAAAGATTCAGGACGATAGGATAGGATAGGATAGGATAGGATAGGATAGGATAGGAGCTGGAAGGGACCTTGGAGGTCTTCTAGTCCAGCCCCCTGCTCAAACAGGAGAATCTATACCATCTCAGACAGATGAATGTCTAGCTTCTTAAAAACCTCCAGTGATGGAGCACCCACAACTTCTGGAGGCAAGCTGTTCCACTGGTTAATTGTCCTCACTATTAGGAAGTTTCTCCTTAATTCCAGGTTGCTTCTCTCTTTGGTCAGTTTCCAACCATTATTTCTTGTCCTGCCCTCTGGTGCTTTGGAGAATAAATTGACCCCCTCTTCTTTGTGGCAGCCCCTCAGATATTGGAACACTACTATCATGTCGCCCCTGTTTCTTCTTTTTAGACTAGCCAAACCCAAGTCCTGCAGCCGTTCTTCGTATGTTTTACTCTCCACGCCTTTGATCATCTTAGTTGCTCTTCTCTGAAATTTTTCCAAGGTCTCAACATCTTTTTTGTGGTATGGTGACCAAAATTGGTTGCAGAGAAGAGGTGGTCCACCCAGGTGTTGCTGAACAGCAGCTAGCGTGGCTTCAAGCAAGGGATCTTGGGAATAGATCTTCAGCAACCTGGGATGAGATATAGAGTATGGGTACCAGATCTGGGGTTGTAAAAATCTTCATGACCAGGAGATGGCAGCACAGGCATGTTGGGGTGATAATTCTTTAGCTCCATCTTGTGGCCATTCTGGATTTTTCTGCACACTGTATAATAGAGATTATTCGTTCCTGTATCCCCTTGCATAAAATGATACCAAAATTGTTTGGTCCGCAATAAAAATTACTTTTTTAATTTAAATTTAATTTTTAATTTAAAAAAAAATAGTGATGACAGTTCCAGAAGAACATCAAGAGGCATCAGGTGTCACAGATAAAGTACAGGGGACAAAGCTTTATGGCATTTTGGGTCAGCCCTGAGATAACTGCCTTACTCTGGAATGGAGAAGTGGACTCTGTCTCATCTATTGACAATTAAATATCTTGGGTCAATCCTTGTTCTAGGCCAAAGAATATGATTTAGTGCAGAAACAAACCATGATGTGGAGAAGAAGGTAGGTGCATGTATGAAGCTGAGAGAAAACTTGAAAAAAAAATAACCTTTCTCCAAAAAAGTGTTGGATTTGCCTCCAGAAGTTGTGGGTGCTACATCAATGGAGGTTTTTAAGAGGAGATTGGACAACCGTTTGTCTAGATCAGTGGTTCTCAACCTGTGGGTCAGGACCCCATTTGGGGTCGAACGACCATTTCACGGGGTCGCCAAACAACGCAGTCCGCCATTTCCCCCCCCTTTTCCTTAGCTGTGCTACTCCCTTTTATTCTATTGGCTTTTGAAAGCCAATAGAATAGACTCTCTGGAATAGAGTCTAATTCTATTGGCTTTCAAAAGCCAATAGGAATTGTCCAGGCTGTCTCTGCCCTGCTGAGCCCGTCAAAAGTCCCATTCTGCAAACGGTGCTGCACCAGTTGAGTAGTCCTCGACTTATGACCGGTTGAGTAGTCCTCGACTTACGACCCGTTGGGGGTCGCGGCATTAAAAAGGTTGAGAACCACTGGTCTAGATAGAATATATAGGATCTCTTGCCTGAGCAGGGGGTTGGACTAGAAGACCTCCAAGGTCCCTTCCAATTCTGTTATTCTATTATTCTCCAGTGAGTTTAGTTTCAGACCAAGAGGGGAAAGAATCTGCAATATTTTCACATCTGGGCTTATACACAAACTCCGCGTGACTCCTCTGTTCTCTTGCCAAGATCCCTTTGTGTTTGAACAGACTAAAAATGACTTAATCCCTTTGTAGTTGTTTTTTTTTTTAAAAAAAAAAACCTCTTTCCTCCACAATTAATGCCAGAGAACGAATGGTGTTTAGAAGAAAGTCTGGTTAATGTATAACTTTGCTCTATCCAAGCTTGACTGTGAGTGGGATAGGAAAATACGTTAGGATTTATTATGGTCACCATGATGTAAAAAAGATGTTGAGACTCTAGAAAGAGTACAGAGAAGCGCAACAAAGATGATTAGGCTAAAACATATAAGGAACGATGGCTGGAATTGGGCATGTCTAGTCTAATGAAGAGAAGGACGAGGGGTGACATGATAGCAGTCTTCCAGTTTAGTCTCTTCTTAAAAACTTCCAATGATGAAGCACCCACAATTTCTGAAGGCAAAGCTGTTCCACTGGTTAATTGTCCTCACATTTAGGAAGTTTCTCCTTAATTCCAGGTTGCTTCTCTCCTTGATTAGTTTCCACCCGTTGTTTCTTGTCCTGCCCTCTGGTGCTTGTGAAAATAAATCAACCCACCTCTTCTTTGTGGCAGCCCCTCAAATACTGGAACACTGCTATCCTGTCCCCCCTAGCCGAACCCAATTCCTGCAGCCATTCTTAGTCTCCAGGCCTTTACTCATCTTAGTTGCTCTTCTCTGCACTTTTCCCAAAGTGTCTCTCTCTTCTTAAAAACCTCCAGGGATGAAGCACCCACAACTTCTGGAAGCAAGTTGTTCCACTGCCTTCCTCAACACAACTCATTGTGTTCGGATTGCAGATCTTGAGACGCTGTACCAGCGTGAGTTTTGTTCTCCTCCCAACGTATTTTCTGGACAGGAAAAAAACGTTGTTTTGTATCCCTGAACCACAAATAATTCAGAACGGATTGGTCCAAAAGGAGGAGAACATGCTCAGTTGACAGAAAGGGTGTTTTTGTTCAAGGAAATGAGCATGAATTTTTCTCATTTTTGTTCTTTCAGGTCTATTATTCTTGTGGGGCTCAATTCAGTTCATGGGAAAGAGGGCTGATTTTGTCTCCTGGTTTCCCCAATAATTATTCATCGGGCATGCACTGCGTCTGGCGGTTTCTTATCCCTGCCAAGACCTACTTATTGTTGGAGATTTTTGACTTTGACGTGTTTGAAAGCACAAGGGAAGACCCAAAAGCCTGGGATGGGTATTTCTCTTTTACAAAAAATACAAATTCTTCACCCAAAGAAGAAATCACAGAGTCTTCAAGCACCGTCTTTCCAGCCAAGACTTCCGTTCCTCCTGATCTTGACTCAGCAGATCTTAATGATGGCCTTCCAGGAGCTACTTCTCAAAATCTTGAGTGGAAAGAATTCCATCCAAGTGGAGAACCCAAAGATGTCACTCAACCAAGTCAATTTCCAATCCAGGAAGAAACCAACAAAACCTTGACGAGACAAACGTCTGTTGGAAAACAGGAGAAGAAGGACTCGGTGGACAAAATATTCTTTGCCCACTACCCAAATAAGGAGAATGCCAAAGGTCCTCAGAAACATTTAGGAAAGGTGATATTTGGAGAAGATGCTGTCATTTCAACCATGATCTTGCCAGGGAACATCTCTTCCACTCCACCGTTCTCAGCAGATGTTTGCCCAGATGATGTTTTATATGTCTCGGACCTCGTTGCTTTTTCTTCTCGTTTCTGTGGGACAAAATCGCCCTTAAACCAAAATATGACCTTTGGATCTTCTCTTAAGATGGTGGAAGTTATTGTGGAGCTGATCACCACAACCGACCGTGGGCGGGGCTTCGCCATGCTCTTTGAATACAAGAATGGGACGGAAGTGATGCCTACGAACGACATCCAGGATGGAGAAGAGAACACCATGATGCTGGTGATCATAACTGGGATCCTGTTTTTTGCCATGGTCCTTTTATCCTCGCTCTGCATTGCATGTAGGTAAGTGAGAGATGGTGGTGGATTCTTCAGGGTTTTGTGTTTTAAGTCTTAATCCTCAATCCCATATTTCTGAAGTCACTTTAAGCTGCAACACGGATGGACTCAGTGGAGCGATGTTGCTCTGATACAAGAAAAAGCGACTTAGAAGGATATATTCTAAGGATATATAATAATTCTAATAAATATATGTACAGTATACCATTTCAGACAAGTGACTGTCCAGTCTCTTCTTAAAAACTTACAATGATGGAGCGTCCATGATTTCTGAAGGAAACCGGTTCTACTGGTTAATTGTCCTCACTGTCAGGAAGTTTCTCCTTAATTCCAGGTTGCTTCTCTCTTTGGTCAGTTTCCAACCATTGTTTCTCATCCTTCCATCTGGTGCTCTGGTGAACAACCTGACCCCCTCTTCCTTGTGGCAACCTCTCAGATACTGGGACACTGCTATCCTGTCTCCCCTATTTCTTCTTTTCTTTAGATTAGCAAAACCCAAGTCACGCAGCCGTTCTTCGTATGATCGGAGATTACTTCAACTCGGCAACAGGGAAAGACTCTTAAGGCAGTAGGGACTGCCCATTTCTGAATGACAGGTTACACAGAGTACTGTAGGACACATCACGCTGAGCCTAATAAGAATCTGGAACCCTGATAAGGGGATAATACAAGGAAAAGTGAGGAAAGTTGGAATCTCCTGTCCCAAATCATTCCACCTTGGAGTATTGTATTCCAAGTAAATTAGAAGGCATTACTGAAGCCTTGTGGTCCAGGCTCCCCATTTTCCAATCCAGTTAATGGATTGACTCATGATTGATTCTTGGGGACCCCAAACTTCAACCTCTTTCCTTGGTGCAATGCAGATCTGAAAGTTGCAAGCTTGTTGAGGACAACCCGTGTACAAAAAAGACGTGCTTGTTTTGTGAAGTATGAGACATGTTCTTCTTTCCTGTTGCTCTGCTGTGCTTTTCCGAAGCCTCATCAAATAGCAACCATATTAGTTTTTACTTCTCTCAGTTCTTCTCTTCATCTCCTTCTCCTTGTCTTCATTGGTGAGGCTAAAAGTAGCAGCCTAGTCACAGTCAGCGACTCGGCCCAGACATATTTCTCCAATTCTGGCCGTGTAGGTCACCTAACACTGTTCTAATAGTGTGTGTTTGTGCGTGTAAATGAATGGCGGGGAGGGACAGAAAGAGGAGGAAAAAGACAGTTCATGGGTGAAATGTCCAGAGATTCATTCTCCTCCACCTCTCTCTGGGGATTCTCCAAGGTTTTGCCACACTGCTCCCTTTGTGTACTGGTTGAAGAAGGAATGAAAGCTCCACTTGTTGGTTGGCTAACGTTTCTAATTGCTTTTGGCCAGGGAGCTGGCCCCAAATCCGTCTGGCCACCTTCGTGAATATGAACCATGCCGGGTAGAATCCAAGATGGGGTTGTTCCGATTCATTGGGGAAGACAAGGGGGTTGCCACCAAATTCCTCGCCCCTTGTGGAAACTGTGGAACATCCCAAACTGCCAAATCACAGTGTAGCCTCTCGACTTACAACTGAGCCCAGAATTTATGTTGCAAAATGAGAACATGGGTGACGTGAGTTTTGCCCCGTTTTTACGGCCTTTTCTTGCTACGCTGGCTGAGTGAATTCTTGGCGTGGTTGAAATAAGGGACACGTCGCAAAAGGGGATCACGTGACCCTCCCCAGACAGTCATAAATATGAACCAACGGTCAAGCATCCGAATTTAAACCACGTGACCAAGAAGTGTCGTACGTGTGAAAAACGGTCATAAGTCCCTTTTTTTCCAGGGCCGTTGTGACTTCAAATGGTCACTAAATGAACTGTTGTAAGTCGAGGATTACCTGTACAGCTCCCAACAGCAACCTCTCAGCAGCCATTTTGGAGCTCCTTCCTCAATTTCTCAGAGTTAATATATGAGCTTCTTCCTTAGGTTTCATTTATTAAGGAGAAACAGGGGGCCTGCATCTGCGTGTAACAGCAAGATTTCTGGACCTCTGGCCAAATTGGAGTGTGCAGTCTGTGACCCAATTTTATAACACAGTTGGGAGGGACCTTGGAGGTCGTCTAGTCCAACCCCCTGCTCAGGCAGGAGACCCTATACCATTCCAGACAAATCGTTGTCCAATCTCTTCTTAAAAACTTCCAGGGTTGGAGCATTCACCGCTTCTGGGGGCAGATTGTTCCACTGGTTAATTGTTCTAACTGTCAGGAACTTTCTCCTTAGTTCTAGGTTGCTTCTCTCCTTGATTAGTTTCCATCTGTTGCTTCTTGTCCTGCCTTCAGGTGCTTTGAAGAATAGCTTGACTCCCTCTTCTTTGGGGCAGTCCCTGAGATATTGGAACACTGCTATCGTGTCCCCCCTTGTCCTTCTCATTATACTAGACATTCCCAATTCTTTATATGTTTTAGCCTCCAATCCTCTGATCATCTTTGTTGCTCTTCTTTACTCCTTCTAGAGTCTCAAGATCTTTTTTACATCGTGGTGACCAAAACTGAATGGAGTATTCCAAGTGTGGCCTTACCAAGGCCTTGTAAAGTGGTATTATTAACACTTCACATAATCTTGATTCTATCCCTCTGTTAATGCAGCCTAGAATTGCGTTGGCTTTTTTGGCTGCTGTCACACACTGCTGGCTCCTATTTTAAGTGATTGTCCACTAGAACTCCGAGTCCAACTCAAATCAAGGAGATGCGTAGCCTTGTAAATGAAGGACTCTTAATAATTACAGGATGGAAGCGTTTTCTGTTCCTTCTTTATTTTCTAGGTGGAGGTTGTGTCTCAAAAGAAGCTCTCTCGAAGTCCACAGTGATCAAGAAGTAAGTATAATTATCTCAAGGCCATTTGGGGACTTTGGTTTACCACTTTTGAGGCTGGTTGCTGATGGATATTTGGAATTGTAGACTCAGATCCAGAACTCCGGTGTCGACGTCAGTGAACTCCAGCTGGTGATCCCATGTCAAGAAAATGAAAACAACAACCATTCTCTCGGGGAAAATGGCGTCGGTAAGCAGAAAAAGGTTAGGTAGAGCATGCTGTCCAATCTTTGTAACTAGAGAGTTCTCGTTCAGGGTCCAATACACCATTTCATCCTTGTTGTGATCTCATGTAACCGAAGAGCATTGCAAATTCCTTGGGTGTGGATTAAGGAATGACCTGCTAATATAGCAGAGACCTCCTTTAATAGCATTTATTTATTTTTTGAATCGCTGACAGGGAATTGTGAGAAGCCAAGTCTGATGTATCAAGAGCAGTGGCTCCCAAACTTTTCTACACCCCCGCACTCCTAAAATGCTTCTGATATATTCTCACACCCCTTACAAAATTTCGAAATAACGGCAACGAATTATGCAAATACACTATAATTTTGAAAACCCAAGTTTTTGCACCCTCTGGAATATCTTCTCGCACCCCCAGTTGGGAACCCCGGCTCTAGAGGTTACATTGATTAGGGAAAGATGATAGAAGACATGAAGAGATCTCAGAATCAGAATAGTGATGGAAGGGACCCTGGAGGTCTTCTAGTCCAACCCCCTGCTCAGGCAGGAGACCCTATACCATTTTAGACAAATGATTGTCCAATCTCTTCTTAAAAACCTCCAGTGATGAAGCATCCACAACTTCTGGTGGCAAGCTGTTCCACCGGTTAATTGTCCTCACTTTGGAAGTCTTCCAAGGAGAAGATCCATGAGTATAGAGCAACGTTTGGCAACTTTAAGATGAGTAGACTTCAACTCCCAGAAATCCCCAGCCAACAAAGAGTGGTGGAGGAGGAGAAGAATGAATCTCTGAGCAAAGCTGGTTGGGGGATTCTGGGAGTTGAAGTCCACTCATCTTAAAGTTGCCAACGTTGAGAAACATTGCTATAGTATAGAGTGTCTGAGAAGAATGCAGAATGGGTTACCAATGATTCTGAAAAATATGCTGGCTGTTTCTCTGGGGCAAATAAATACAATTGTGTATTTACTACAGTCACCTCCTGCCCTGGCAATCTGGAACCCATCATTGATCTCGAGGCCTCTCCAACATCAGCTGTGATGGGAAGTGATGAGGTGTTTATTATTTCTGCCAATCCAGAACCTGGTTCCTTGAGTTTTACCTCTTGTAAAATACAGGTAAGGAACAGGTGAGAGAGAGAGAAAAAGAGAGAGAGAGAGAGAGAAAGCGAGAAAGAGAAATATAAAGAGAGAAAGGAGAAAGAAAAAGAGGGGGGAGAGAAGAAAAAGAGAGAGAAATAGAAGAGAGAGAGAGAAGAGAGAGAGAGGGAAAGAGAGAGAGGGAAAGGTAAAGAAAGAAAGAGAAATAGAAGGTGAGAGAGAGAGGAGAAAGAGGAAGAGAGAGAGAGGAAGAGAGGGAGAGAGAGAGAGGAAGAGAGAGAGAGAGAGAAAGAGAGAGAGAGGAAAAAAAAAGAGATTCCTTGTTCAGATTTTGCTGCTTTTTAATCTTATTTTTGCCAGCCAATATTTTGGGCTTGCTTGCATTCCATCAATAAACACCAAGCTATATTTTTCTGCATGGATTCTGTGTCTGACCTGAACATAGGGACTGTCTGGGGACCTGCTGGCTGCAGTGACCCTCCTCTTCCCACAAAGCCACGCCGTGGCTCAAGAAAGGATGTTCAACTCAGCCACGCCCCGTTTGAAAATCCCACGCCATCTTCCCACGGCGTTTTCTCTCTCCTAGCCCAAGAAGTTGACCAGAAGCATCACCAGCCCCACTTCCGTCTCGGAATGGCTGATCCCCACGCCGACGGAGCCTGGCGGTCAAGCCTCCAACTCCCGGGGCGAAAACCCCAAGGAGGCTTATGGGAAGCAGCAGACCTGGCGCGCACGTACCTTCCACGACCTCTTGGCTCCATTCCCACAGCTGCAGGAGCAATGGTGCAACTGGACCACCAAAAGCCCTTTCCCCAAACTGAGCAAAAGCGGAGTGAGTATTTGCCCCTGGGGAGAAAAGGAAGCAGATGTGAAGCCAGGGTTTTGAAACCAGATCCAACTGTTCCATTTCTGGTTAAGGTAGGGGTCCCCAACCGCTGGTCTGTGGACCGGTACCGGCCACGGCATGCCAGCAACCGGTCCGCCCAAACAAGCAAAACCCCATCCGCGGGATGCAGGCAGCACACAAAACCACACACTCTCTGCTCCGTGGAAAAGCCTCTCTCCACCGAACCAGTCCCTGGTGCTCAAAAGGTTGGGGACCTCTGGGTTAAGGTACAGGTAGTCCTCGGTTTACGGCCGTTTGTTCGAAGTTATGACGGCGCTGGGAAAAAAGGAACTTAGCAACCAGTTCTCACTTTTGAGACCGTCACAGCATCCTCACGGTCACGTGATCAAGCTTGGTGACTGGCAGGTGCTGATGGTGGTTGCCCCATCCAGGGATCACGTGACCTCTATTGGGGGCCTTCCAGCTAGCTATGTCGAGGGGGACGCTGGCTTTGCCTCACAACCAAGGTGATTCACTTAACGACTGTAGCAAAATGGGCGTGAAATCAGGCAGGACTCAGGGATGGACGTTCTGAGCCATACATCAAGTACTCCTTGTATATAGGAGTGTAATAAAATCTATATGCTGAACCAGCATATAGATATATATTCTATCAGTGCTCTCTCTCTCTCTCTCCATATATATATATATAAAATATCTATCTAATCTATCTATCTATCTATCTATCTATCTATCTATCTATCTATCTATCTATCTATATCATCCATTAGCTATCATATATATTTGTCTCTCCTATCATCTATTTATCTATCATCTAACTATATCTATCATCTATCTATCATCTATCTATCTATCATCTATCCATCATCTATCCATCCATCTTTCCACTTATCCATCTTCTTTCTTCCTCTATCTATCTATCTATCTATCTATCTATCTATCTATCTATCTATCTATCTATCTACCTACCTATCTACCTACCTACCTACCTACCTACCTACCTACCTACCTAAATCATCCATTAGCTATCATATATGTTTCTCCTATCATCTCTCTCTCTCTCTCTCTCTCTCTCTCTCTCTCTCTCTATCCTTGTAACATTGTCTCTATTCCATCTATATTTCTTCCTCTCTCTCATCTGTAACCATCTAACCCATATGCAAGATCCTTAAGGAATGCTGCTTCTTCTCTATTTTCTGTCAAAGTGTCCAAGTTGTTGACACGGATCTTCTCTTCCCTTGCAGGGTTTTTCGACCTCAACCCCAACCCAGCCCATCAGAATTCCAAAAGTTACCTCCGCTGGAGAAATTGAAGGAACGTCTGAAGGGTCTCCCTTGGAAGGCTTGGCCAGCACCGCCTCTTCCCCGTGGACACATTCAGCCCAGAAACCGCAGAAGCTGACCGGTTGTTCTAACTCGAGAAGATCCCAATTTGCAAAGCCCTCTTTTGACTTCTTGACCGGTTCTCCTGGCCGAAGCCACCTAAGGCTTCATGAGCACTCTGAACTTGAGGGCAGTCTGTCCCCGGTCAACAGTCCCCATCTGGGAGAGAAAGATGCTCCAGATGGTGCCCTCAGATCGAAAAGCGACGTCATCAGCGGTTCCAAGCCCAAGGAAGCTTCTGTAGATATGGACGGGCCCAAACCAATGTTTGTTATTTCTGAAGAATGGGATGATCAGCAGCCTTTGGTTCTGGCAGAACATACAAATCAATGTGTCGATGTTTTGTCTGAGACAAATGCCGTTCTCTGTGAAAGAGGAATGGCCATGAGGAAGGAGCAGATGGTGGAACTGTCGCTTGAAGAAGGCCCGGAGGAGGCCACCGGAAGCAGCTTGGGCATGGGTCTGTGGGGGGAGCCCTCCAGTCCCTACCAAGATGTCTTTAAGGGTGACAGGAATGAAACCTATGCTCCTGCCCCAAAACCAGAGTCACCGGCCCGTTTGAATTCAGGAACTTGTCCGAATGTGTTGTTTTGATGGGAAGGTCCTTGTCTGGAAGGTGAAGAAGACTGAAAGTTCCTTTGAGATGGAAAAGAGCTGCTCTCCATACAGACATTCAGAGACAGCCTTGATCTGCTTAAGGGCACAATCCTGCACTCAACAATGCTTGCCCAAATCGTTGTCTAAGTTGGATGCAACGATTGTGGGCGATGCTGCGGAGCACAATTTTGGTCTTGGTGCCTGGAGACCCACCTGATGTTTTCCTTCTCAAATAAGCTTGCTTTTTTAAACAACAACAACAAAACATTGTGTTCGAATCAGGAGGTGTGATGTATCTAAAGTCTTTTGTGAATCCTCTCTTTCCATTTACAGTGACTATAGTAAGAAGGTTCAGCTGATAGCCATCCAAAGTCAGGTCAATGAAACACCGTCACCACACCAAGAGGGTTTGCATTCGCACAATACATCATGCCCAGGTTGTGTGAACTTGGATTCAGTTTGGGGCGTATTGGCGTGTTGCACGCACTCAAGCCATTTGCCAGAGTGGCGAGATGGCCAAAATATATCGTGCCAAGTAGGACACTTACGTGAATTCTGAAACCAGGCCAAGCCTTTTGAGTAGGCTTCCTTCTTCAGATTTTAAGAACCACAATATGCTTTGGAGCAGATGATGGTTCTCCCACCAGATCTGCCTGCAGCTCTTTAAAGCAAGCTGCCTCTTTTCTGGGATTACACAATTACACAACCCAGGGAAGAGATGCAATTGGGTTTGCAGCCCTAAACGCACCATATTTTGTATCGGCCCTGCTCCACATTATTAAGCCAACAGCTTGGCCTTTGGCTGAAATTCCTCACTTAGGAGATGTTCAAGAACGGATCAGTCCATGTGACCCTTAGTAAATTGCACTTGGAATTACAGTATTATTAGATGACGGGATGCACGCTCCAGATTTGCGTTGGTTGAGGGCTTTGAATTGAACGGGTGATGGATAAGATGTTACGCAAACTTCGTTACGATTTTTACAGCAAGATGCATGATTTGTTTGCAAGGCCCATGACTGTTATCAACTCCAGCTAGTCCTTGACTTACCATAGTTCATTTAGCGACCGTTCAAAGTTGCAACGGCACTGAAAAAAGAGAAATCATGACCGCTTTTCACACATACAGATGTTGCAGTATTCCCGATTAAAGTTCAGATCCTTGGCAACTGACTCGTATTTATGACGGTGGCTCACGTGATTCCCCCTTTTGCGACCATCTGATAAACAAAGCCAATGGAAAAACCAGGTTCACTGAATTACTGCCAATTGAACAACTGCAGTGATTTGCTTAACGTGGCCAGAAAAGTCGTAAAATGGAGCAAAACTCACTTAGCGAATTTCTCACTTAGGAACCTCAATTTTGGGCTTCATTGCTAAGTCAAGGACTATCTATAACGCTGCTCTCGGCGCCACTAAAACAGGCCACTGCTGGGTCTTAATTAGGGAAGACAATGTTCTCTCCAGGAACTATGCACAACTTCATACCTGAATTGAAACCAAGTTTTGTTTGTTTTTTAACCCGGTTTGCAGCTAATGGCCCGGTTGGTATTTTAATGGCCTTGTGGTGGAATGTGATTTTAGATCGTCAGATTCTTCTGAGGCTGGAATAGAAGGGAATGTTTCCCAAGTCCTGCATTTGTTTCAGGCAGCTGGTGGAGGAAGACCCTAAAATATCGCCTGGAAAGCAGATGCCAAGGAAAGGAATGGAAAAAATCCAGCTCTATCAAATGAGAGCATTTTTGTATTCATCGCTCGGGCGACGTCTGGGAGCTTTAAGACTGGCTCCTAAAATGCTTAACTCAGATTAATTTCTGGTTTTTCACCTGCTGTTGTAAAGCCTCCGTCTGCTCTAGCTTAGCGTACCGGGTGCAGTTGTGGAAGGGGCTTAAGATTTGGGTGTCTGGTGTGTGCTGCGTGCACATTTGCACTTTGAAATGAAGTATTTTCCCACCTGACAGGTAGGAGCACTAGATTGGACCGCGGTAGTGGAGGGACAAGCAAAACAATCAAATGGAAGGATTCTTTTCCCCTTACCCTGCTGCTTCCTGTTGTTTTTGCAATAAATAAATAAATATATTAATCAATTTACAAGAAGCTTGTTGGTTTTTTCTCGTCTCTCCAAAAAGCTGGGTTGTTTTTTTTTTTTTTGTTTTAAATCAAGGCATGTATCTTATGTTTTTTTTCCTCTATTTCATTTTCATACCTTATAGCTGCATGACTAGCGCAGGAGAGATGTCTGCAGGACACGTGCAAACTTAATAAATAATACAAAATAACTAACACACTTGCCCGGCTTTTATACGTTACTGGTTTGGGTAGAAAGCAAGCTGGTATGGAGCCCATATGTGTAAAACTGCCACCGTTGATAGGGGGGGTCGTTCTAAATTTGCGCATCTTAATTCTGAGCCACACAACATTGCAAGAATTGCATCGCTTGTCTGCAACCTCTCCCATTAAGTTATCGTGACCATTAACTGGGATTAGAATTTCAGTTGCTAAGTAAGGCAGTGGGTAAGAGAATTTATGACCTCCCCCCTTTTTTTTGGCTACTGTTGTTAAGGAAACAACTGCGGTTAAATGAATTGGGCAGTTGTTAAATCTGACTTCGACTCTGCTTATGGGAAGTTGGCTAGGAAAGTCGCAAATGGGGATCACGACGTGACCCTGGGATGCTGCAATACATGCCAGTTGCCAAACACCCAAATATTGGGGATGTTGTGAAGGACTAGGAGTGACACGATAGCAGTATTCCAGTATTGGAGGGGCTGATGCAACTAAGAGGGAGTCAAGCTATTCTCCAAAGCAGGGGTTCTCAACCGGGGATGCAAGACGATATTCCAGGGGGTGCAAAACCTGAGTTTTCAAAATTATAGTGTATATGCATAATTGGTTGCTGTTATTTTGAACTTTTGCAAGGGGTGCGAGAATATATCAGAAGCATTTTAGGGGCGCGGGGTATAGAAAAAGGCAGGAGCCAGAGCATCAGAAGGCAGGACAAGAAGTAACGGATGGAAATTAACCAAGGAGAGAAGCAACCTAGAACTTTCCTGACAGTTAGAACAATTAGCCAGTGGAACCACCTGCCTCCAGAAGTTGTGGATGCTCCAACACAGGAGGCTTTTAAGAACAGACTGGACAGCCATTTGTCCGAAATGGTATAGGGTTTCCTGCCTGAGCAGGGGTTGGACTAGATGACCTCCAAGGTCCCTTCCAGTTCTATTCTGATTGATGTTCATTAAGGGAGGACTACTCATAAGCCACATTTTTCAGTGCTGTTGTAACTTTAAATATGGATGAATGGAATGCAGTGCAAAAGATGATGATGATGATAATAATAATAGAAAGACTGAAAAAGGCAAGCAAGGGTAGTACCAATAGTAATAGGCACCTTGGGTGCAATCCCAAAACAACTGGAGCACCACTTGGACACCATCATCGGCATTGACAAATTCGCCCTTAGTCAATTGCAAAAGGCGGCCTGACTAGGAACTGCTTCCATCCTGCAATACCATCACAGTCTGAACATCTGACTGACTGTGCGATGATCAATAATAATGATATTGGAAGCGATGAGATGCTGGTTTCATCCTTGATAAGGATGACAGATTTTCCTAAACATCTAGAAGCGCCTACCTCTGATTTACTCTTTTGTAAAAGGGAGGCAATAGTGACAGAAATAAATTTTAGCGTCAACAGACAGATCCGTCGTGGTGGGTGGGACCGCCAAGAATTCCCTCTTATTACAGATAGTCCTCAACTTACAACAGTTCGTTCAGTGACTGCTCAAAGTTGCAAACAGCACTGGAAAAAAAGGGACTTAAGGCAGCTGTTCACGCTTAATGTCCGTTGCAGCATCCCTAGTCACGTGATCAAAATTTGGATGTTTGGGAACTGATTCATATTTATGACCGTTGCAGTGGGGTGTGTGTGTGTCACGTGATCTCCTTTTGCAACTTTCTGACAAGCCAAGTCAACGGAAAAGCCAGATTCACTTAACGCTTTTGGCAAGAGAAGTCACAAAACAGGGCAAAACGACTCCACAGTTTTGCCCCGACTATTTTGCTTAGCAACAGAATTGTTGGGCTCAAATGGGGTTATAAGTCAAGGACTACCTGTACTCATAAGGCGGTCTTCTTATCCGCAGAGCAAGGATGCTCCTTCCCCCTGGCTAAGTCTATAAAGTCGATATTATTTGGGATACCCCTTTGTTTTTTCCATCAATCACGCAGTAACACGGTTGGAAATTGGTCGGGAATGCACGTGTCAAGGCCATATTTAAGGTCTCTCAATTAAGCCAATCTTGGCTTATGGGCCAATCTGAGCTGATCTCTGAAGACAAGTGAAGCAAAAAAGTCCGACATTGTGCATTTTAATATTTTTCCAAAGATAAATCATGAACCCCCAAGCCCAACAAGTTATCGGAATTCTTTTCTCCCCCCCATTTCCAAGCCATCGTCTTGCGTACAAAGAAAACAAAAGCTGAAAACATTTCTCCTTGGAGCAGATAACAAACTTTGTGAAGACCCAGCCGTGTGGAGTGAACACTCTTAAATCCCCCTGGAAGACACTTGTATGATTGGAAGGAAGGAAGGGGTAAATTTAGCTGGGGGAAAACGAACCGCAATTTTTAATTCTTCTATTTACATTTGGGTGGGCTATGGAAGGGGAGAAGCTACCTGACCACCACACCTGGCCTAACCAGAAACTAACCTAGGAGAAACTGACATGGCTCTGTACGGTTTTTCAGCTCCCTTTGTTTCTCCATTCCCCGAGACAGGAAAACGCATCCATCGCGGCGACAGCTCCATGCGAACTTTGATGACTGCAAGGTCTCATTTTTGTAATTCTCCTGCAGCCAGTGTGGAAGTCTCAGAGGCAGAGAGGGTTAATTAATGGTTTGTGAATACAAGGAGCCGTGGTTCTGACGAAGCCGTTACGTGGGTTTTTACTGAAACAGGCTCATGATTAGACCCAGTTAGCAGGAGTCTCCAAATCTGGCAATTTTAAGACTTGTGGACCAACTCCCAGGGTTCTCCAGCATGGAGAAATTGAAACCCACAAGTCTTAAATGTGTCAAGTTTTGAGATAACGTCAAGTTTTGAGATAACGTCCGTTGGAAGCTCTATATTTTTTAAAGTGGGCAGCGAAAGACTGAAGTCTAGAGAGAGAGAGAAAAAAACCATCTTTACCAACCATCTTTAACATAAACTATAAAGGGCATTAAATCCTGGAGGGGCTTGTGGTTTTCTCTTTGGACCACTCCCCAATTAGCTCTTGGAAGACCCAGCTCTGAAAGATTACTATTTCAGTAGATAAAAATATAATGTAGGTTGGGTTTCGTTTTTAGGCATTGTGCCCAGCACAGTATTCTATGAAATCCCCTTAATTTGGAGGGCATAGACAGAAACCCATAATTTTAATGGTTTGGATTCAGGCCACTATTACTATAAAGTTGCATTTCTTAACCTCGGCAACCTTAAGATGGGTGGACTTCCAACTCCCAGAATCCCCCAGCCAGCAAACCTGGCTGGGGGATTCTGGGAAGTCCACCCATCTTCAAAGTTGGCGAGGTTGAGAAACACTGCTAAAAAGGAAGACAAGATCCTGGCTACGGAACCAGTATATAGATGCAAATGTTTTAAGCAATGGGAAGACTGTACAAAAACGCCCCCCCCCCCGTTTGATGCCTTCTGTTAAGTTTTGAGATTGCAAACTTACAAATTGATTAACCCATCCTCAGGATTCTGGTTCACGGAATCCCGACACGTCTGAAGGGTGCCGGGTGGGACAAGATCCATTTTGGATACAGTTATGGCTGAATGTAGTCAGAAGAGGGAAAAAGGCCCAGTCTTCCTAAGGGCTCTCGTCTTAAAATCTGCCCGAGAATGGAGGCAGCAGAACTAAATTTCAAAAGCTGGTTAGGTAAGGGATCCATTGTGTGTGCTTGTTCTTGTTGATGGTCAACAGGTTAGCTTTAAAAAAATAAGTTAGGAGAGAGGTCACTCCGACATGATAAAAAAAATGAATGATGGATATATGCAGAGACACGGTCTCCTGTCTACCATTCTCCAAAACTAAGGGTGCTGCTCCATTTTAGGGACAAAAAAAAGCCAGTTCAGGAATAGCCCTTGAGAGATCAGGATAAAAGCTGGCCATATTAATGTGCTAGGCTGAGCAACAGTATTGAAAAGTCTTCAACATCCGTTGGAGGATGCCAAATTTCCTTCCATCCTGAGGCCTTCTTTATCGTGAGGGGATATTTTTTTTAAAAAAAAATTCTAGTGGAATTTGATTAGTAAGAGAAGGGGGGAAACGCATAGTTGTTTTGAAGCATAACTCCCAATGGCTAAGAACAGGAACTCCTGGGGGGGGGGGGAGAGACTTTCTTATGGAGCCAGATGGTGGCAGAGGTGAAATTCAGCTCAAGATAGCACCAGTCTGAATCCTACAATTGAGCAGGGGAAGAAGAAACAAGAGGATCCCAAGAAAGGGAAAAAAAGATTGAATAAAAAGGAAAAAAAAAAAAGGATGAAACAACTGGATCTTTCCTATCAAAAGAGGCTAGGTCAACTGCACCAGCTGGTGAGCAGCATTTAAGAAATACGCGTGGAGTGTGACAAGAAAGACCAAGACACCCTAAAGGTGGCGTTTCTCAACCTGGGCCATTTTTAGCCGGGTGGACTTCAACTCTCAGAGTCCCTCAGCCAACATGTGGCTGGCTGGGGAAGTCTGGGATTTGTAGTCCTCGTGTTATTGTGCCCAAGGCTGAGAAACACTTAAGTGGTCGGTGCTTGGTATTGGACAGACCTTGTGATCTTTGACCTGGGAGCCAAGAAGCTGAGGCCATCAATTCAGGCAAGGTGTTGTGTTGCTCCAAGAACTTGACAAGACGCAGGGCACAGCCCAACTAGGAACCATGAAGATGCTTCTCTCCTGCCGTCCTTCGCTCTATGTTGCCTTCTCACCTTCTCCGTAAGGCCTCGCTTCATTCCACAATCGACACATTCACCGAGAACTGTTCCATTTCTACCTTTCAGCCTCGTTCGGCAAGTCCTTAAATTCCCACAGTAGCTCAAATTCAGGAAGAATACGGGGGCAGATGCACCCTTCTTGCTTTCAAAACGAAACCTCTTTCCCCCCCCCCCCAAAAAAAAAAAGGCCGAGGAGAACATAGGAAAAAAAAAATGACAAAATAATAACCGTAAGAAGAAAAGAAAAAAGCACGCTATCACATCAGAGTATCTGATGTAAAAAGTTGCCAATCCCCTTTTTGGCTGGAACAACCAAGCAAAAACTGTAGAGTTGGCGTTTCTGGGTTTAATTTTCCCCTTCTTCGTTGCAGGTTACAAGCACGGAGACCAGTTAAAGCCCACGGGGGGGATCCTTCTCAGTTTTTGAACCGTGTTTGTTCACAGATGTGATTAAACTTCCTGAAATTAAAAACCCAAGAAGGGAAAGTTACTATTTTTTTCTGAATGTCACATGAAAGCGATTTTCAACAAAGGAAAGCAGCTCGGCCTCCTAATTAATTCCCTCGGGGCCTCCAAACATTTGGCACCTCTTAATTCATCTCTCCGATTCTAGACCCATTCTGAGCTCAGAATACTCCTGCTAAGACTGGAACAGCTGAAAATAGTTTGCATACCACTACCAGCCGATACTGAGCTTAATCACTAAAGCCTGCCCAATGAAACAGCCAGGGCAGTCTGCCAAGAACTGCCAATCAATTTGATTGATAGATTAGCTAGATGGATTATATATATATATTTGATTGATAGATTAGCTAGATGGATGATATATATACATACATACAGAGAGAGAGAGAGAGAGATGTAGATAGATGTAGATAGATAGACAGATAGATGTAGATAGATAGATAGACAGACAGATAGAATAGATAGACAAGTTAGACAGATAGACAGATCGACAGACATAGATAGATAGATAGATAAATAGATAGATTACATAGATAGATAGATAAGACAGATAGGTAGGATAGACAGAGACAGATAGACAGATAGAATAGACAGATAGACAAGATAGACAGACAGACAGACAGACAGACATAGATAGCTAGATAGCTAGATAGGATAGGATAGACAGATAGATATAAATGTCATAGATAGATGAATGACATAAATAGACAGACAGACAGACAAAGCTTCACTTCAGGCCATTCTAATTAATACATTTCATAGATAAAATCTATTGATTTGAGCTGGATAAACAGATTAGCAACAGAATTTTATTCACCCCAGGAGAGAAACTACATCTCTTTTGCCCCCGCTATCTACAAACCGGTCTGCAGACTCGGAGCTTGAAGAGAGGACCACTCACATAGCATGGTGAGCTTTCACCTGAGTCCGACAGTTGCGACCCCAGTAACAATCAGGACGGGATGTGACAGCGGCTGCAAGACAAAACCCACTCAGAGTTCAGAGGATTTGATCTTTGGTGGAGTTGTGATCAGGCAATATCGGTGGGCGGATTTTAACAGAGAAGATTCTTGAAAGGAATATCAAACTGAAAGCAGAGACTTTTCTTTTACGACTAGTCGACAAGGAACTTGGGAAAAAAAAAAAAACAAATCTGGAACCTTGTTATGGGATATGTTGACCGCAGCGAGAATCCTGCATGTGCAAAAATGGAAAGTTGTATGACAACCATTGGTTTAGCACAGGGGTAGGCAAAACCTTGGCTCTTTGATGACTCGTGGACTTCAACTCCCAGAATTCCTGAGCCAGCCACGCTGAGGGGAAAGGGAGAGGCTTCCATGCTGAGCCATGCTGGCTCAGGAATTCTGGGAGTTGAAGTCCACGAGTCATGAGAGGACCATAGTTCCCCCATGCTGGCTCAGGAATTCTGGGAATTGAAGTCCATGAGTCATCAAAGAGCCAAGGTGGCCTACCCCTGGTTTAGCAGTTCAAATTAAAATTAAATTAAATTAAATTATTTATTTATTAAAATTTATAGACTGCCCCACTCCCGCAGGACTCCGGGCGGTTAACAATAAAAACACAACATAATATTAACAAAACAAACAATACAATAACATTCATCCAGGGGTCAGATTTTATAAACCCCAGGCCTGCCAGAAAAGCCAGGTCTTTAATTCAAATTAAATTAAAAATTAAAACTTTGAAAAATTAAAAATTAAACCGCTGCCGAGAGCCCCTCTACTCTGTGTGGAGACGGACGGTTAGGAACTTTGATATACCAACATGATAAAACAGCATGGAAAAAAGGGACTCGCAAGCGCTCCTCGCCTTTATGACCGTCATAACATCCCCACGGTCACACGACCAAAATTCCAATCTTGACCCCGTGACCGTGGGGAACGCGCTGAGACGGTCATTAAGGGCGAGGACTGTTGGCAAACCGCTTTTGTGCCATCGTAACTTTGAACATCGAGAACTACCTGCATTATGAAATGTAATTTTAAAATAATAATAATAATTTAAAAGCCAGGGAAATTTGGTAGGTGGGTGCTGAGGTTGAGAAATACTGCTCTGTCCTCTGACTCCTTTATACAACGTGTTTCAATATTTCATCCTTTCTCGGAGGGGAAGCAGGAATGAGTCAATGAGGCTGCATCGCGCTGCGAGGGCCTGGATTGTTCGCCTCATACCTGGCAATTCCACAGAAGGAATATTTTGCCTGTATTGGTAAGCGAGTTCTCGGAAGGTCCGCAGGCCGCAAAAATAACACAGCACCGTTTCTCCCGTGATTCGGTAATCTGAAAGAGAAAATTGGGGTGGTGGGTTATGAAGAGAATATCCCTTTGAAGAATGAACCCCTCAGAAAGAGAAAATTGGGGTGGTGGGTTATGAAGAGAATATCCCTTTGAAGAATGAACCCCTCAGAAGGAATTTGAGAGGTGGTTGAACTCAGGGCTCAGGATGTGTGTCCTTGTGAGCCTGCAAATACTTGAATACAGAATAACAGAGTTAGGAGCCTTGGAGGTCTTCTAGTCCAACCCCCTGCTCAGGCAGGAGAGCTAATTTAGACAAATGGCTGTCCAGTCTCTTCTTTAAAATCTCCAGTGATGGAGCACCCACAATTTCTGGAGGCAAGCAGTTCCACTGGTTAATTGTTCTCGCTGTTGGGAAATTTATCCTTAGTTCTAAGTTGGTTCTCTCCTTGATTAGTTTCCATCCATTGCTTCTTGTCCTACCTACTGGTGCTTTGGAGGATAGTTTGACTTCCTCTTCTTTGGGGCAGCCCCTGAGATATTGGAAGACTGCTATCATGTCTCCCCTCGTCCTTCTCTTCATTAAACTAGACATACCCAATTCCAGCAACCGTTCTTTATATGTTTTAGCCTCCAATCCCCTAATCGTCTTTGTTGCTCTTCTCTGCCCTCTTTCTAGAGTCTACATCTTTTTTATATCATAGCAACCACAACTAGATGCAACATTCCAAGTGTGGTCTTACCAAGGCATTACAAAGTGGTGTTAACACTTGGAGTAAACAGGAGCAGAATCCAGAAAAAAAAAGATGTCTCAGGAATATGCGACTGGAGGGGATCAAGATTTACCTGGTAAAATAAACGTTCCTTTATGAAGAGCTAGGAGGCTTTCGTTCAGCATGTCTTTCCAGGTCAACCCCTTGGATTGCAAGTAATCCTAGAAGAGAAGACAATGTAAAATTAAAAAAACATTCAGAAGAACCTCAAGCAGAGATTTGAAGCTCCTGGGTAAAGTGTGAGAATGAAAGTGACAAGTCCCTAAAACACAGGAGGAGGAGGAAGAGGAGGAGGAAGAGGAAGAGGAGGAGGAGGAGGAGGAGGAGGAGGAGGAGGAGGAGGAGGAGGAGAAGAAGAAGAAGAAGAAGAAGAAGAAGAAGAAGAAGAAGTTTTTGAAAACTGACCGTACCTTTAGAATATCTGACTCATAGTTATTGCCATTAAGAACACCGTCTAAACACTTGTCACCAAGATTGAGCTCTGTTTAAAAAAAGAAACGGAAATAAAGGACATTATTACCGCTCTGAAGTGGCTGCAAAGTATTCGCCAAATCAGGCAGGACCTCTTAGGGCTGAGCTGAGGTTTCCCAAACCAGATGCCACTGTTATATTATCCTACATTAAGAAACAGGGAGTCTATTTACTTCATTTAACTAGTTTTATTTACAGGAAATCCTTACTCTTGGGAAGCCAACTGCCTCTTGCAGGAGACGGGCTGGACCCCGAGAAGCGAAAGAATATTAAGGAGCATCAATCAATTACAACAGAGCAGGGTTGTTTGCAAGGGGAAAGAGGATGGTTTCAAAACAAGGTCATACCACAGAATGGGGCTAAACAGCCCAAGCAGGACACACGGACACATCCCCAGTACAGATGACAGAAGGACTGCAGACAAATGGTACCTGTGAATATGGAAAGGAAAAAGATAGATAGATAGATAGATAGATAGATGGATGGATGGATGGATGGATGGATGGATGGATAGATAGATAGATCTCAATTTTCTGCCAAAGAAATCGTGGATTGAAAAAACCCTTCAGTCATCAAAATTTCAGGCCTAAGGCGGGACTAGAACTCCCAGTCTCCTGGTGATTGGCCCAAAGTCACCTAGTTAGTTTTCATGCCTAGGGCAGGACTGGAACTCACCATCTCCTGGTGGGGGGCCCAAAGTCACCTAGCTGGCTTTTATGGCTAAGGCGGGACTAGAACTCAACATCCCTGGCTTTCTACCTTGGGGCCTTAACCACTAGACCTGGCTCTAACTAAAGATCTGACCACAGATGGAGTAGAAGCAGATGAAGTTGGGCTGACCAGCCATGATGGTGTTCAAGACATCTGCTTCTCCTTCAACTCCATTTTTGGTCAGGGTGAAAGCCCCCCTCCCTCCCGTTCTTCGGGGAAGTTCTTGCTTACATTGCTGTGGGGCGATGTTCTGGTTCTGTTCCCGTTCTGCCCTACGGTCTGGCATGGGCTGGAAACAGCAAGTGCAGAAGATGTGGCTTCCTTGAGCTGGGCAGACATATTCCTGGACTGCTGCATGGGGAGAAATGACCAAGAACAGGTTGTGCAAAACAGGTCACTCCTTGCAGGAAAATTTCTCAGAAGCTTCACAAAGTGGCTGATATGTGCCTTTCTGCCCTCAGGCTGGTACTCAAAGACTGATCTAAGAGCAGAAGGTCTGAGGGTCCAATAAAATTTCTTTTTTTTTTAAAAAAAAAAGAAATATCACACAAAGGCAGAATAAACAGCACAGGGCCCACCCACCCACATTTGACTGAGCCACACAGTAGGAGAACCAGGAGCTTCAGTTGAAGCCAAGATCTTGATATGCTTATGATAGATACAAGGCCCCCCCTGGCCTCTCCAGTCCCAGAAGATGCTCTCACCTGTTGGGAAGTTAGAAGAAGTTGATGGGGAATCTCCAGGGACCTGCCCAGGTTCTGTTTTTCCTTCCTGGTCTGGAGAGGTTAAAGGTGGGATGGTTTGTCGGCGATAACCAGGACATTGCCGGCATAAAACATACGGCTGGCTGCAAAAGAAGGAGAGTCACGTTGCTGAAACTGACAAGGACATTGCCACAAACTAAGTTCTGATCCAACCAAACAGCCTCCAGTCACTTTCAAGTCTTAACTGGTTCATTGTGGCACTGAAACAGACAATTGACAATTAACCAATGGAACAGCTTGCCTCCAGAAGTTGTGGATGTTCCATCGCTGGAGGTTTTTAAGGGATAAGGATGAGAGGTGGGGAAGAGTAACTTAAAAACGGAATGATCGTCGAAAGAGGTTGTGAGGACTGGCCACACATCCGATGGTCATCCTTGTTTGGCTGAGGGCATTTTCTCTTGCAGAACTGTAAGCTGGAAGCCGAGAGCGCCTTTTGACTGAAAACATCCCGGGAGGCAGGGAAGGCGAGAAGAGCCCAAACCAGGGAATTAAGCCAACGATGATCCGGCTTCCGGAGCTTCTGACCAGTCTGGTCAATACTGTTTGAAATCAGTAAAGCTTTTTGTCTGAGACTTTCTTCTCTGTCCGTGTCGGAATCCGAATCCTTTGGGAACCGCTGGGAAAGTAAAATGGCGATCGGCAAATCTCTCGGTGTTTTTTTTTTTTTTTTTTTGAAGTTAGAATGCTGACCGGCAGGCTTTTTGGTGTTTCTTTTTTTTTCCTTTCCCTTTCCCTTTTTATTTTCTTATGATTGGAATGGTTGTTTTTGGTATCTCTAAGTATTTTTTTTTTTGGAACGGACTTTTTCTATTTAATTATTATTATTTTTTTTTTTTTTTCTTCTCCCTTCTTTTTATTGTAATGACTCTTTTTTGAAGGACTTTTTTCTGTTTTTTTTTGCAATTTTTAAGAAGGAGTAAAGCTTTTTTTAATTCTTTTTCTCTTCCTTTTTTTTTTCTTTTCCCTTTTTTCTTTTTATTATAATGACCTTCTTTGGAGGGAGTTATGATTTTTGAAGGAATTTTTATAATTTTTTAAGAAGGGCTAAAGGTTTTTCTTTAAGATGGCTCCAAAGCGTCCAGGGATTTCTACAGCTTCTAAATCAACAGTTTCACCCTCTTCTGGGGGTCAGCTAATAACTATGAAGGATTTGCAAAACATGATGGGAGATGTTATAATTCAAATTAGGGCAGAAATGAAAAAGATTTTAGAGGAAAATAATAAGATCTTGAGACAAGATTTTGTTTTGGCTTTAGAAGGAGTTGCTTCTGTTCTTGAAAAGGTGAACTCCCATGTGGAAGAGGTAGCTGAAAAAGTGGACATAATGGAGGGGAAAATTGAAAGTATGGAAAAAGAAATGGAAAATGAGATTCTTATGCTTCAATATGGACAAATGGAATATGCCTTAAGAATCAGAGGCCTGGAAGAGTCTTTGCAAGAAGATTTGAAAGAAATGGTTGCAAAGGACTTTGCATTGATTTTGAATAAAGAAAAAGAGGGAATACTTAGTGAAATTGAAAAATTATTTAGGGTTAACTCTGTGGTGGCAGCACAGAAGAATCTGCCAAGAGATGTGGTAATTTACTTTGGTAAAAGATCCTTACGCAATCAAATTGTGCAAGCCTATTATAAGAAGAGATTTCAAATTGCTTCACAAGATGTCATAATTTTTAAGGAGATCCCATCTAAAATTTTAAGAAGAAGAAAGGAGTTTGCTTTTCTAGTAAATGAACTTAAAAAGAGAAAAATTCTATTCAGATGGGATATTCCGACTGGAATGGTGGTGAACTACCTGGGGACATGTCATAGACTTAATACTGTTTCTCAAGCAAAAGATTTTTATACTTCGGTCCTGGGGGTATGTGCATCGCCATCTATTAGGTCTCAACAAGTCCAGATTGAGGAGCAGAAGACAACTTGTGTAGCACATAACTCCAAAGAAAAGCAGCAACAGAAGAAGGTTAAGGAAGTTTCATATTCAGCGGTCTCTGAATCTCTGGGAGATGTTGGACTTACAAAGTCTTTGGAGCAATCTTCAAGGGTGGCTCTGGGAGAAGTTAGACCTACAAAGTCTTTGGAGCAATCTTCAAGGGTGGAATTGCTGCCTGAAATCGAAATTGGGAAATTTCAGCTTGAGGGGCACCAACAAGAGAGGAACGGGCAGAGGATAACTTGTACAACTTACAACTGTGAAGATCAACACAAGGAGGAATTCACTGAGGAAGTTTTACAGGTATCGGTCCCTGAGACTTGTGCAACATATAAATGTAAAGAAAAAGTAACATATAAATGTAAAGAGAAAGACCAACAGAAGAAGGAGGTTGAGGAAGTTTCACAGGTACTGATTCCTGAGCTGGTGGGTCAACCAGGACTTACAAACTCTTTGGAGCGATCTTCAAGGGCAGAATTCCACGCATTTTTTTCGATGCTTGCGGGCAAGAGAGACCAATATGGATTGTGCTTATAGTAGATGCAACTGGCTATTAGACAGAAGATTATGGATATTGAATGAAAATTTTAGATAAGAAGTTTGTGTTTATAGTGGGTGCAACTGGTTATTGGACAGAAAATTATGGACATTGAATGAGAACTTTAGACAAGAAGTTTACTATTGAGATTGTGGGAGAAGTAAAACTTATATCGTTTTTGGAAAATGTCTTATGTAATGTCTAAATATGTGTTTTGGGATAATAATATATTTCAGTTTTAAGTTTTAAACCTTTAATGATAATATTGTTTAAACCTGTGTTTTGAAGGGATTATAATTTGTTTATTTCAGTGAGGGGATTCTAATAAATTTGTGTTTCGAAGGGAGTATAATTTGTTTAAGTTTCAAGTAATGCTTAAATTTGGTTTTTAAATATTATTATTAATATTTCTAAGAGAAAATAATTTGCTTAATTAAATGTCTAGATTTGTTTAGGAAAGAAAGTAATGCTTAAATCTGTGTTTTTGGAGAAAGTTTATATAGAATGATGATTGTATTTAGATTTGTTTAGGATTTAAAAGTGTTTCAAGCTTTTAAATATTATTATTAATATTTTTAAGAGAAAATAATTTGTTTAACTAAATGTGTCTAGATTTGTTTAGGATTTTTAAGTTTTTTTTTTTTTTTTTTGGATAGGTGAGAAGATTATGAAGATTGAAGGAAATATGTATTTATTTTAAGTTTTCTAAGAGTATTTAGTTTTAATGGTACAACAAAGGTTTATATGTTTATCTTTTTGTATTAGGATAAAGAAAGAGGGAGAAATTAGATTTTACATTATAGCTATAGATATTCAAAGAAAGTAATGTTTAAATTTGCGTTTTTGGAGGGAGTTTATATAGAATGATGATTGTATTTAAATTTGTTTAGGTTTTAAAAGTGTTTTAAGTTTTTTTCTCAATTAAGCCTGTACTCAGCTCTGGGAAGTCTAGGGGAGGGTTTGGGAGGTTGGGGAGGAGGGGGGTGAGGTAGGGTTGGGGGGGGTATGGGAAGGGGATTTGTTTTTGTAAAAATTTAAAAATTTTCAATTAAAAAAAAAAAAAAAAAAAAAAAAAGAAGAGATTGGATAAGCCATTTCTCTGCAATGGTATAGATCTCCTGCTTGAGCAGGGGGTTGGACTAGAAGACCTCCAAAGTCCCTTCTGTTTGTGTTATCCTGTTAACCTCCACTTCAATTGTCATTGTGGGTCTTCCTGGTCTGGAAACTTTACAAGTGGGCCTTGACTTACGACCAGTCGATAGAGACTGTTCAAAGTCACGAAGGACCTCCTCAGGGTTACTTATGACCCAGAAGTTGCAATGGTCACCGGGTCAAAATGTGAGTAGTTGGCATCCCGTATGTATTTGTGACGCTTGCAGAATCTCGGGATCACATTCCAGCCGGCTTAGTGCAAGAAAAGTCAATTGGGGAAGCCGGGTTTTGCATAGCAATTGTGGCTAAAATGATTGTCAAATTGGGTGGCGTTCACTTAATCCAGGGGTCTTCAAACCTGGGCCCTTTGATGACTTGTGGACTTCAACTCCCAGAATTCCTCCGCCAGAATGTGATTTATGACTGCTAATTAGAGGAGGGAATTGTGCTCAGGGGAGGGGAATTCAGATTTTGGCTTCGACCGTGTACGTGCCGATGCTATGCTTCTCGAATAAAGATTTGTTAAGGTAAACAATGCCTCGGAGTTCTTTGAAGAGTTTCATCTGTCGGAACCATGACATTCCGATTTTATGAATATTGTTTACAGATTTGAGAAACATCAGCCTGGTTGTAAGAGAACCCACCAAGCCGTATCTACTACCCACAAAGCTGTTTACCTAATATCAGAGGATTCGCTGTCCACGTCCGACAGATCCAGTAGGTCTTCAGAACTTCCTTCTTCATCTGAAAAGGATCTGCGCACTTTCGGCTGAAGCATGTCCTGAGTGATTTTGTTCCGGGCATCCATACTTCTAATATCTTCTTCGTTACGACACTTGTCTATCAAGATAAGAAAGGGATTTCTGTTAGGGCAAAGAGACGGTCACGGAAGACCTTTCACTTCTTGACCCAAAAGCTTGTTCAGTTCTAACTGAAAGCGAAGAACTGAAAAAGCTTCATGGATGAGAAGCGAAACATCTTCAGGGAAAAACAAAGTCCAGTTGCCTTTGAAAAAAGTGTCTTTTGGGACCAACCGTGATCTGGACAACTGAGAATCTCCATAGATAATAAGCTCATGAGTTCAACGTGTTTAAAAAGGTACAGTGAACAAACTGATTCATGACTAGTCCTTGCACTTAGGACGGTCGCACAAACTTATGACCTCAGGGTCACGTGATCAAAATTCGGGTGCTCGGCAAGCTACGTGTATTTAAGATGCTTGCAATGTCCTGAGCTCAGAAGAACACAATTTGTGCCCTTCCCAACAAAGCCAACAGGGGGGAAGCCAGATTGGCTTAACAATCACACAATTTGCTTAACAAGCACGGGTCCTACATTTGGGCACAACCACCTTTGCCTCTTCTTAGCAACAGAAATTCCATACTTAATTTGCTGGCTTTGTCAATTGCTCCTGCTTTCATTTTAACAAATCTCGTTAAAGAAAATTCTTTTGAGATTTATACTGGGTAAAATTACGTTTAGTTCGGGCAGCTCTCCAGAGCCTAATTGTACATTCCCAATTTTCCTTTTTTTTTTTTTTAAAAAAAAAAACCCTCTCCAGAGTGCAAAACATTGGATCCGTGGCCCGTCCACGCATCCCCCTGCATCCATGCCAAGTTAAATTGTAACAAAAAAAAAAAAAAAAATAGAACACTGCTCTCGTAAGGAGAAGAATGCTGGCGGAGATCCCACGCTCCTCACGTGCCTGGGTGCTGGATGAGATACGCTTCGACCAAGTTGTTCAAAATGTGATTTTTACAGATCCGTTCCACTGGACACCGACATGTCGGACAGAGAGAAGATCGCTCCATCCATCCTGAGTAGCAAGCGGCACAAAAAGTATGCATACACGGCTGCAAACTAAAGACAGGAAGATGGAGGGGGGGGGGAAGAAAAGATGAGAGAATGAATCGAAGTAGGACACAATTGGCCAGCAGTCTAAACCTTGAGAGCTAGGAAGAATATGCGCTGCTTCAGGTGCACGTCTTCCTTCCGTCTCCCAAGGTCATCCCCGTACACCATCAAAACAAGTCACCTGTTATTTTAAAATTCAGAAATTAAAAAAAAAAGCCAACACAGTTCTAGACTGCATAATACCATTTTACAAGGCCTTGGTAAGGCCACACTTGGAATACGGCATCCAGTTTTGGTCACCATGATGTAAAAAAGATGTTGAGACTCTAGAAAGAGTGCAGAGAAGAGCAACAAAGAGGATTAGGGGACTGGAGGCTAAAATCTATAAGGAACGGTTGCTGGAATTGGGTATGTCTACTTTAATGAAGAGAAGGACAAGGGGGGGACATGATAGCAGTGTTCCAATATCTCAGGGGCTGCCCCAAAGAAGAGGGAGTCAAGCTATTCTCCAAGGCGCCTGAAGGCAGGACAAGAAGCAACGGATGGAAACTAATCAAAAAGAGAAGCAACCTAGAACTAAGGAGAAACTTCCTGACAGTTAGAACAATTAACCAGTGGAACAACCTGCCTTCAGAAGTTGTGAATGCTCCAACACTGGAAGTTTTTAAGAAGAGACTGGACAGCCATTTGTCTGAAATAGTATAGGGTTTCCTGCCTGAGCATGGGGTTGGACTAGATGACCTCCAAGGTCCCTTCCAACTTTATTATTATTGTTGTTGTTATTAAATCAAGTTATTTAAAAAAAAATCTGAGAAGTTGGTACTCACTGGTGACTCACATGTTAATCACGTCATGGCCATGTACAATGGACTGTGTATTTAATTTTCACAATCAAAATACAGGCATGATTGAGGAGGTCTGGAGCTTCCTTCATCTTGTTCCTACCCATTTCAACTGGACGCACCTTGGCCCAACAGTTTAACCATTACACCACACTGGCTCTCACAATGTGGCTGATGTATAACTTGGTGCTCCACCAGGAATGCCCACTGCATTGTCCACTGAAATGGGAAACTGATTGGCTGAGCCAGAAGGCCTCTTTCAGAAGGTTCCATGGCTCACGCATGGAAGTGATGCAACAAGGGAGAAGAGCGATGTAGTAGCCACAGAGCAAAGGAGAATTGGAATAATGGGTGGAAAAGTGGAGCTTGGAAAAAAAAAAGTCCCTATGAAAGTGAGGTGAGAAAGCTAGAACGTAAGGGAGCTAGAGGTTCTGGACCTAAACTGGACATATAGCCCAAATAAAAGAAAGAGGTGGACAACTGCTGGTAGGTTGGGAGTGCTTAAGGAGAAGAAAGAGTCAAAACAAAACATGTGTGCGCATTTTAAGCTTTGATCAGAAGTTGAGAATTTGGAGTATTCTAAATATGCCTGGGCTACTCTTTCTAGCAGTCTTCTTCACTCGGCCTTCTTCTTACAGACTCTGTGATCTGTGATTAAGCAACATTCAGAAGTCACAGGTTGCTTTGCTTTAGACCTCAGCAACCAGCATTTGATTTTCTAAGCTCTATGGTCACTAGGTCAGGAAAACTGACTGGTCCCTCCTAAGAAACACGAGTTCCACTTCTTGAGTTGAATCAGGTCAACGCTTCTTGAGTTGAATCAGGTCAACGCTTCTTGAGTTGAATCAGGTCAACGCTTCTTGAGTTGAATCAACATTTGGCTCTTGGACTTTAAGACAAAATAGAGGCAACCGGGCAACCTTTACTCTCAATCACATTCAATGGCTACAAAGGTGAGGTATAACTAAGGTTCTCAACTGTTCTCCTGACAAAGTCTCCTTCTCTTTGAAGTCCTACTGGGGAGAAAATGAGCTAGTTCAGCCCTTTCCCTCCATCTAACTGTCTTCACTTTATGTTTTCAACCAGACACACCTTCTCCAGTGGGCCACCAGCTCATATGCACTACTCCCTTCTCTGTCCATCCACCTATACCTGACACAATCATGAAGAAGTTCCTGGCAGATGATGCAGCTCAGGCTTTCTCCCATTTTGTCGGGCTTCATGGTTGCGGATTTGACATCTCCAGGGTCTCTCATTGCTTGTCCGTCTGGGGTGGCCACCTGAATGGCAGAGCTGGCTTCACCATCTGCAAGAGAGGTTCTTATGTCGCATTGGGGAAGGCATGCAGAGCAAAGACAGCATGGAACTCACCACATTGTTGCTCAACAATCAAGAGCAGGGGTCTTCAAACTTGGCCCTTTTATGACTGGTGGACTTCAACTCCCAGAATTCCTCAGCCAGCGTGCCAGAATTCTGGGAGTTGAAGCCCACCAGTCATAAAAGGGCCAAGTTTGAAGACCCCAGTGCTAGAGATAAGTTCCCTGATGATGGGCGTGAAAGTTTGGAAGGATAAAACTTTGATCCTGGTGACAGACTCCATTTGGATACTGCCAGTTGTCTCCCCAGAAGACCCCAAAGAGGTTCTTGATGCCACTGGATGCATTTCTCCCCTGAATTATTGGCCCACATGTAGGAGAGGGAAAGACTAGGAACCCAACCCTTTCTCAAAACGCACTGGCCTCCAGAACAGTGTTTCTCAACCTTGGCAGTTTGAAAGTGACTGGACTTTAAGGCCTAGATGAGGACTGAGGAAATTCTGGGAGTTGAAGACCCCTGGTATAAGGTCTCCTTCCTTGAGCAGGAGGTTGCAGTAAAGACCTCCAAGATCCCTTCCAGCCCTATGATTACTATGTTCCAGGTTCTAAGGGCTGTGAGCTTAGCTGCTGCTAAGAAGGTATCAAATCCCTCACTGCAGAACACACACACACACACAAAAAAAAACTTTGTCATCTACCAACCTCTTCTGATTTTCTTCCTAACAGGGTGGCATGAATCTTTTCCTTCCTTCCCTGAAAGCTGGAACAGGGATGTTTTCTCTGTGTCCCTCAAAGAAGTGTCAGATGTTTCTGTATTTACAAGAGGTTGCCTGAGTTGGAGCAATGACTCTGGTCCCGATGGTACCAATTTGAGCAAAGCAGGTGCAAAAATCAAGGTGCAAGGTTGGGATCCTGTAATCATGGAAAGGATGATCGTGGTGAGGCAGGGGTCTTCAGACTTGGCCCTTTTATGACTTGTGGACTTCAACTCCCAGAATTCCTCAGCCAGGCACGCTGGCTGAGGAATTCTGGGAGTTGAAGTCCACAAGTCTTAAAGTTCTCAAGTTTGGAGACGTCTGCTCATCTACTTCCCGAGCCAATCTTTGCCCGTTCAACCCCTTCCTCCTCTAACAATACTATGGTCACCCTTCAAATGATGATTCAGCCTTTGGGACAAAGTGGCTCCATCTTTACCAACTACTGAGGGCTTCGCCTTCTCAGTGGATACGGACTCAGTGGGAGAGGTAGGAACAACTTCAAAGAGGTTTGACGTCGAGGTGGATGGCTGTGGCTCTTCGTAGCTTGGCTGAGAAGCTGGTGGTGGTGATGCCGTTGAGGTCCCATCCCTGCTTTCTCTGGCGCTTGAGGTATCTTTGGTTGTGTGGCATCCACTGTCAACCTTGGCTTCTGGAGAGGGAGAGAGGGAAAGTGTGACCTCAATAAGGCCAAGAGAGCCAGGAAGAGCTGAAATGTTTCACAGGAGGTCCACGGCTCAATTCTTCCATGCTGTTAGCCTTTACTCACCTCCTGGATCATTAGCTCCATCCTTTTTGGGGTGCAAAGATTCATACAGGTATGCAACGTCTGAAAGAAGACGGTTGAACTCAATAGACTAAAGCAAGAGGGCCCTCCTTATAGGTTGTGGGTGCTCCAACACTGGAGGTGTTTAAGAAAAGATTGGACAATCGTTTGTCTGAAATGGTATAGGGTTTCCTGCCTGAGCAGGGGGTTGAACTAGATGACCCCCAAGTTCCCTTCCAACTTTAGTATTATTATTACTACCTGTGTCTCAGAGAATTACAACAGCTGCAGCCCCAAAGGTCAGCGATTTCCCCTTATTGTACAAAGCTATTGAAAAATAATCTCTTACTGTTTTCTGGCTCAAACTTCCTGTAAACAACATAAATCACGTCCCCGGTTTGTAAAGGGCAGGTCTGTTTCTTCACTACTTTCTGTTTATTAATCACCGTTCCATTCGTGCTGCAGAGGGAGGCAAGAAACACAGGTGGGATTAAGGCCATCAGTCTCATTTCTACCCCTAGTTTAATGCCACTCCATGTTCAACTTACAACAGTTCATTCAGTGATGGTTCAAAATTACAACGGCACTGAAATAAGTGACTTAAGACCGTCTCCCCACACTTATGACCACTGCAGCATCCCCATGGTCACGTGATCAAAATTCACATGCGTGGCAATTGGCTCATATTTTTGACATTGCCGGATGGGGCAATGGTCCCCGTTTTGCGACCTTTTGACAAGCAAAGTCAATTCGCTTTATTGCCGCGTTGCTAACTTAACTGCAGGATTCCCTCTTAACAACTGTAGCAAGAGAGGTCACAGAATGGGGCAGAGCACAACTTAACAAGTGTCTCGAATTAACAGCAGAACTGTTGAGATCAACGGTGGTCGTAAGTCTGAGGACGACCAGCACGAATACAAAACAGGCTCATCCAACCCAGCTATTTCCGAAGAAAAATCAAGCCCTCCAAAAAAAGCCCAAGAGACATTTATTTTCACCCGCAGAACCACAGAAAAAAGACAAGAACAATGCAGACCTGGTATCCTGTAACAAAACCTGACCAGATTTTTCATCCACTGTTATTTTACAGTGATAGCCGGAGACCAGTTTATTGCCAGGGAAAGATAAGTCACAACCTTGGAGAGAGAGAGGGAAGGGAGGGGAGAAAGAAATGAGCATTGCTAAATCTGCTAATTTCACCTGAACATCCGGCAAAGCCTCCTGCCGTTTCTCCCCAGGGCCACCAACCTTGCACAGAATTTCAAAGCCGCCTCTACGGGAAGGGCTGTCCGTTTTGCGACTGCAAGGTGAGGGTTCGGGGGGCACCGTACCTTTTTTCCTCCCAATGGTCCACTCTTTTTTCAGCAACAAGACGTGGGGCTCGGCTTGTTCCAACCCCAACCGGATCAGCTTCCCCCAAGGTTGAGGCTTTCCGATGGGTGGTATCCGCCCTCCGAGGTCCATGTGCTCCATCTGGACTTACATCTGCAAAAGAAGGGGAGAAGATACACTTTCCTGGAAAAAAGGAACAGGCTTTGCAAGGATCCAGTTTAAAGAGGTTCCTTCTCGGTATTCCTCAGCTGCACTGGCTCTTCCCCATCTCTCTGCACACTCGTCACCCTCTTTGCTCTCTCTCTCTCTCTCTCTCTCTCACACACACACACACAGACAAATGTTTGAAGAAAAGACTTTGCAAGGATCCAGCGAAGGAGGCCCCATCTCCATATTCCTCAGCTGCACTGGTTCGTCCCCTCCTCTCTTTGCACAGCCATCCCCCTTCCCTTTGCACACTTGCACGCCTTCCCTTTCCACACCCATCCCTCTTCCCTTTGCACAATTGCACGCCCTCCCTTTGCACACCCATCCCTCCTCCCTTTGCATAGCCATCCCCTTCCCTTTGCACATTTGCACGCCCTCCCTTTGCACACCCATCCCCCTTCCATTTGCACACCTGTCTTCCCTCCCTTTGCACACCCGTCCCTCCTCCCTTTGCATAGCCGTCCCCCTCCCCTTTGCACGCCCTCCCTTTGCACACCCATCCCCCTTCCCTTTGCACACCCGTCCCCCTCCCCTTTGCACGCCCTCCCAGCCGTCTGAACTGCCTTTTGCACCCCAGCTCGACCACCTCTTTCCAGGCAGGGGCTGGCCGCCCCCTCCCCAAGCCCCTTTCCAGTCCCTTCCAGGGGGTCTGCTCCTCCCTCGCCCCTCCCCTCCCCAGCCGGGCCTACCTGACCCGCGAGCCCTTGCTGGCTGTGCATGCTGGGGCCTGTAGTCCTGCCCCCACAGGGAAGAGGGCCGCCCGGTCAGAATCTTCGCCCGGCGCCCTCCGCCTTGGAGGCGCGGCCAAAGGAGCCCCGCCGCTCACGCCCCGCTCCCGCCGCCCGGGAAGCCCCGGGAAGAAGCCGCCGCCGCCACCGCTGTCAACAGACCTGCTCAGCCCTCAGCTGATCCGGAGGGGCGGGGCCTCGGCGCTCATTGGCCGGCGGCGCTGCGTGGCGGCGCGAGGGCGGGGAAAGGAAGTGGCGGCGGCAGCGGCGGCGGACGTGCGCGAGGCGGCGGCTAGAGCGTCCCGCGGGAGCCATAGAGAGGGGACGCTAGAACGGCGTTCTTAGGGCCAAGACACGTGCCTGGGCGAAACCGCCTCTATAGCTGGTGGTTCAATTATATCTCCATCCAATTACATCTATAACTTTTATATAAACGTGTACATATACGCCTATATTTACATTGTATATAAATACATACGTGTATGTATACGTGTAGGTGCATACCGACACACATACACGTGTATAAAAAATCTACATTTTTTATGAATTCATAAACCATTGTAGCATAATATGCACAAAGTAGGAGTGTATAATGCAAATAATACAGTCGTTCATATATTGTATACTGTAAGATATATATTTCATTTTATCTACCACATTGGAATATATGTTATGCAGTGTATTATGCGATGTGAACATACTCACCTAGCATTTAGATAATATAAAGATACGCACATATATTTACATATATACACATGTATGAATGTGTACAGTATATAGGGATATACACATAAAAGTTATATCTTTATGAATTCATAAACTATTGTAATATACACTGATATAATGCAAATATTCATATATTGTATACTGTAGGATATATTCAAATGTGTGGTAGATATGAAATATATTTATACAGTATATTATATCCAATTATATGATGTGACTATATTCACATAGCATTTAGGTAATATAACTATATCAATCCCCAAGTATGTTAGAAATTATATTTGTCTTCCATAATTGCATATTCTAATAACATAATCACATGAAATAAAGCGATACGCACTTGACTAACCTATTCAAAACGTCACTCTATTCCAATGTTTTCAGTTCCCAAGCACAGAGAGAGGAATTTACCATTTGCTAATTCCAACTAGGATTAGCAAAACCGGCTTCTTATGGAAGTTTAAATTAAAAGTCCCATCCTCCCTGCTCCCTCATTGGCTGCAAAAATTAACAGGCGGGACTTGAAATGAAAACAGCTGTTGGCTATTGCCAGGGTCAATTATTGGGGCCAAAAAAAAAGGAATCCAGGCAATTGAACGTTGAAACGTTTCATGACCCAACTAGGTGACATCATCAGTGTTAGAAAGGAGTGGGGTTCGTTCCAGTAGCTTCCCCTTCAACATTGGTAGGAGACTTCTTGGTGGATCCAGTAAGGGACACCCTGATCAAGGAACCAGCAAGACTACTCCCACCAATAAGGACAGGGCAAGCCACTGGAACAGATCAAACCCCACTCCCTTCTACCACTGTTGATGTCACCTAGTTGGGTCATGAGATGTCTGCAAGAAAACCACCCAACTCAGAAAGCACCAAGTGCTCCCCACAGCATCATTTCTAAGTTTGCAAGAGATCACAGCAGTAAACTTTTCTTTTTAAACCAAGAAAACCATAGGGATCCAAAATGTAAAAGTTGACATTATTTGGGGGGGGGGGGAGGTATCTATCTGGTTGCTAAGAGTCAACGACAACTTGATAGCACATAAACAATCAATGAACATTTTTTAGGATTATAACAATGGGGAGATTTCTCTTTGGAAAAATACCAGATCTTATAGACCTTGAAGGGGCATCCAAATTTTATTAAGCTTCTTAAGGAAGAAAAATAAATAATATCATAGTAAACTCTTAAGCATAAGCTACTGATTTTATGTTGGGATTGAGTCCAATTCCACCCACCCCTCAGTTGTTCTAAACTTAGCAAGGGCTTGCATTTTAGAAGACGAGCAAGCCAGTAACTATCTTTTTAAAATATATTCAGGACAAATCCAGAGAGATCATAGTTTCTCATTTTATTATTTCTAATTTGTGGCTTTACAGAGACCAGGGACCGCTGTGGGGGAGAGTCCCAGATTGCTGTTTGCAGATGTTTTGACGAATGATTGAACTGTGCAGGGTTTCTGATGGATGGAGAAGATGGATGTCAATGATGGCTTGTTAAACAGAGCCAAACCTGTCTGCTGCATACAAATTACAGGCATGAAGAGACAGGCTGTCTTTCTTCTAAACATAGTTCAGAGTTTAAACCCCCCCCCCTCCCCTTAACCAGGCACTGATTCACACACGGACTGTGACCTTCAGCTTGGTCAATTCGGGCTTCCAAACTCTTGTTCATTTTTACAATCAGATCAGGGCTGACCCTTTCCTCCCCTTATTAAAACCTCCGGCAGGGTTATTTTAAGAGTCTCGAAAGAAGAGATAAACCTGTTTCTGTGCTAATTTTTCTCCTGACAGAATCAATTTGTTCTTCTCCAACCTAGGCCATTTTCCATTTGATTTCAAATTGGATTTGGACCTCCAGGGATTTTGGATGTCAGCTTTCCTAATGTAGTGTCAGTGGAAAGACGCAGAGAGATAAAAAGTCAGCTTCGGTTAAGAGGGGATTTCTCCTCCAGCCTTTTCTTCTTCCTGGGTTTTAGCCTGGTTTGTCTGGCTGGTTTTCTCATTTATCTTCTGAATGGGTCGGCTGAGAGCAGCATAAAAGAGACTGAACAGGGATAAGGCCCACAAAAGCGAAATGGTTCTCTTTGGAAACACCCAGCCTTGCTGTACATCAGTGGTTCTCAACCTTTTTAATGCCGCGACCCCCCCAACCGGTCGTAAGTCGAGGACTACTCAACCCGTCATAAGTCGAGGACTACTCAACTGGTGCAGTACCGTTTGCAGAATGGGACTTTTGGCGGGCTCACCAGGGCAGAGACAGCCTGGACAATTCCTATTGGCTTTTGAAAGCCAATAGAATTAGACTCTATTCAAGAGAATCTATTCTATTGGCTTTCAAAAGCCAATAGAATAAAAGGGAGTAGCACAGCTAAGGAAAAGGGGGAAAAGAATGGTGGACTGCGTTGTTTGGAGACTCCTGTGAAATGGTCATTTGACCCCAAATGGGGTCCCGACCCACAGGTTGAGAACCGCTGCTCTACATCATGTTTGGAATAGAATACAATAGAGCTGGAAGGGACCTTGGAGGTCTTCTAGTCCAGCCCCCTGCTCAAGCAGGAGACCTTATACCATTTCAGATAAGTGACTGTCTAGCCCCTTCTTAAAAACCTCCAGTGGTGGAGCACCCACAACTTCTGAAGGCAAGCTGTTCCAATTGTTCTCACTGTTAGGAAATTTCTCCTTAATTCCAGGTTGCTTCTCTCTTTGATCAATTTCCAACCATTGTTTCTTGTCCTGCCCTCTGGTGATTTGAAGAATAATGTGACCCCCGCTTCTTTGTGGCAGCCCCTCAGATACTGGAACACTGCTATCATGTCCCCCCTGTTTCTTCTTTTCTTTAGACTAGCCAAACCCAAGTCCTGCAGCTGTTCTTCGTATGTTTTAGTCTCCAGGCCTTGGATCATCTTAGTTGCTCTTCTCTGAACTTTTTCCAAGGTCTCAACATCTTTTTTTTTTTGTAGTATGGTGACCAAAATTGGTTACAGGATCATGAAACAAGGTTTATTATCTAGGTTGCTGTTTTCTTTCATTTTATTTATTTTTAAATCCCGTCATGTCAGAGAAAGTTTCGGTTTTTACCTGTCCTAGCTTTTTAATCAAGTACGGTCATGTGATCAAAACTCATGACACATGACAGCCACGTGTTTAGGACGGTTGCAGCATCCTGGGATTCCCAGCCAACTTCCCACAAGCAAAGTCACTCTGTAAATGCACTTGGTCACAAAATGTGCAAAAATCGCAGCATGGACAAGGCTAAGGCATGGATCAGTGCAGCGCCTTGGCCACTAGATGGCACTGTGGGTCTTTCCGAAACTCTCACTCATCCTGTTTTGCAAAAAAATAATTTTCTTTCTTTCTTTCTGGAGATTTCAATTTAGCCCTTTTGTGCTTGGCTGTGTTATCTTCGGCCTTCCCTCCCCTGCCTCTTCTTGTAAACTCTTTGTAAGCCCTCTGGCAGTTTTACAGATAAAATGAGAAAAGGGGAGGGAGAAAGGAAGCCCCAGGCTGAATTTCTCAACCACCTTCATTATCGCACCTCTGTAATAACTGCAGATTTTCCTTCCCTCTCCTGCTTTTCTGAAAGCAGCTGCACCCTCCAGGCCCCTTCAACCTGCCTTAATAGACTGCTTTTGATGAGAACAAAGGGGCACAAAGGAGCTGCGTGGGATCCTAAGCGTATGTTGGCACTGAGGATCTTGCGCAGTGTAATAAAGCTGTACAGTACAGTAGTTGTTGACGTACAACAGTTCATTTAATGTCCGAAGTTACAACAGCACTGAAAAAAAAAGGGACTCGTGGCTGTTTTTCATGCCCACTGCAGCTTCCCCATGCTCCCATGATCAAAATTCAGACAGTTGGCAATTGACTCATAGTTATGACGGTTGCGACGTCCCGGGGTCACACGATCCCCTTTTTGCGAACTTCTGACAAGCCAGATTCACTTAACAACCGTGTTACCAACTTAACAACTGCGGTGATTCACTTAAGGACTGTGTGGCAAGACAGGTCACAAAATGGGGCAGAACTCACTGAACCACCGTCTCACTTAGCAACAGAAAAGTTGGCTTCAATCGTGCTCTTAAGTCGAGGATTACCTCTAAGTAACAGGATGCTGGTTTGTTCTCTAGCAAACTGGGAGTTTGGGAGTTCTAGTCCTGCCTTAGACCCCAAACCAGGTGGAAGACTGTGGGCCCATCTGAGTCCCTTAACTCTGCAAAGAAGGCAGGAAGGCCAAATCCTTTCCAGAGATGTTGCCAAGAAAACTTCATGGAGTTACCAGGCAGCAATCAAGACAGACTCAAAGACATTTAAACAGGTTTGCAGCCAACGGTGGTTCATGCAATAAACCATGGTTAGTATGATCCATCGACCTAACCAGATATCGATGGAGATTCTCAGTCATCCAGGTCATGGCTGTTCCAAAGGTGCTTTTTCACGTGGCAACTGGACTT